TAATGTCACAATCAATCATGTGATTGTAAAAAACATAATTTAACTCGAGAAACTCTTTTGAAAGTGACATAATAGTACAATGACATGCATAAAATTACAGGACTAAGGCAGGAGCTTCCTGATATTACCGTGGGTGGATCTAAAAACAACTTCAGGTCCGTTTTTGAGATAATAGGGTCGTAGCAGGGTTAAAAGCTTAATTTTAAAATCTAGATTTTTCACAATATCTCCTTTAAGACATTGTGTATAGGCCTGGAATACAATGCAACCATGATATTATGGTTCATCAATTTGAGGAAGGTTTTGGAGAATGCTGGTAAGGCTCTTTAATTACCCACCCATGCAGATTTAAGAGACAAGTTTGAGATTTGTTTGCTACAGGCAATCATTTAATTTATGCATATGGGAGGCCTACATTTTTTTCTTTCCCTCAACTACACAAGTCAACATATGAATGCACCTATGACTCAAACTCTCAGGACCCATCACATAATAATATCGTTAAATTGACTAACTATTAACAAAGTCTTGCCTTATATCTTTGTCATCTGCAAAATAGATGTGAGATATAGTTTTCTCCTGCAGTAAAAAACAAGCCATGAAAGTAATGTATGCAAACATATACAGTCGCAGATTTATCAGTATTATCCTTCACTTCAGATCCACCATTGCCTGTAATCTTTTTTGAAATACTACCATGTTTTTTCCCAGTGCAGTGTGGGTGTGAGCTGCAGTTGAAGACAGCATCTCTCCACGAGGATATCCCTGCGATAAACCACACGCCTACGGCCACAGCGGGAGAGTGGTCGGCTTCGGCTCAGCACTATTAGTCAGGAGAAAGAAATATTAGTCCCCGGTGAAATGGGAAGTCAATACGAAGAGCAAAGCCAGTTATAGTGGGGACAATGTGGCGAGGACGAGTCTCTTTCAAGCTTTTTAACATTTATCCTCTCCGCACAGTGTATTAGAAAAGTAAATATACATGTAGGAGAGTCAACAAATTCATTGTAAATAATAGTTCCTTTTTCTTGATTTGAATAGGCTAATATTTTTTCTTTGAGCCACATCTCTACGTCTGCTCAGCTGCCCTCTCCTTATACCCTTGGTTCAAAAAGTGGAGAGGGTGTTTTTTTTTTGTAAAATTAGGGAAAATCCTTCTATACACATTTAAGTGACTTAAACAGACCTGCCCTCAGCCCTCTGTTGACTCCCCAAAGTATTTATTTTCTTCCACTGGGTTTTTGAAATCATCCTGCCGAATCAGTAGGGTGTTAGACAGGGGTGTGCAAACTTTTTAGTAAGAATGCCACTTTAGTTCACCAAACTAGTCCGGGGGCCGACATCACGGACTGAAAAACTGTCTTGACTGGCATCGGGCTGTTCTGAGCTTTATAATGATTTATAACAGAGCTGAAGTTGGCTGGATGACAAATGTTTACCATCTCACTGGCTACATTAGCATCCTTAACATCAGTGTGCAAATCAAGTCAACGACGTACTGGGCTTTTTAACAAGGTCTATATTGGCTGAGCTGAAGTTGGATGGATGACAGGGTGAACTTGTGTTTATGATCTTAAACACTACTTTGGGGTAGCAAGGCACAGGGCCACATAAAATTACACTGAGGGCCGCATTTGGCCCCCGGGCCTGAGTTTGGACATGTCTGGTATAAGAGGATTCCGTTGTTTGAGAAGAAGTCAAACATATAGGCTCCCACCCGACTTCAATTCACCCCGTACGGATGCATTTATTTTTATTGCATGTATTTTTGCAATCAAGAACATGAAAATTCACACCTACTGTTCCAAATAAGCAATGTCAATGAGAGCCGTCATCCACTGAGAGGGAACACATTTCTGAAAACTCTGGCATGGAAAGGGTTGACACGCTTTGTGGCATCCTGGGTAGACAACACATAAACGTTGCAATAGTCATAGTTGGAGTGATGTCACGTTTTGCCCGGATCATGTTTTGTTACATGTGAAACACTTGAGGTTGTGTTCTCCAGATGGCCTGTGCATGTGCGGCTGCTGTAAACACGCTCGGCTCTTTGTGAGGCAGGCATACACAAACACACACACAGACACACACAGACACACACAGACACACACAGACACACGTGCAAGGGTCCAAATCAGTCCATCTCCGTCAGTCTGCACTATTCACCTCACCACTCTGCCCCCTTTGCCCTGCAGCCTTTTAAAGAGAGTGAAAGGAGAGAGATTTGTCTTAAATGTGCGACAATACAAGCTAAACTAAAGTGCACGTTGATGGATTTTACCATCTGGACAACTGTTTATGCAAAAGTGGTTTATTTTGATTATATTGTGGCAAACCAAAGAAATGCAACACAAAATAAAAACAATATAGAATAAGCTTTGAGTTAAATAATTATCGATTTTCTGGTTATTTACAAATTTCGCTAATAATGAGGTTTATAATGAGGCTAATAGTGAGGCTAATAATGAGGCTAATAATGAGGCTAATAGTGAGGCGAATAATGAGGCTAATAATGAGGCTAATAGTGAGGCTAATAGTGAGGCTAATAGTGAGGCTAATAATGAGGCTTATAATGAGGCTAATAGTGAGGCTAATAATGAGTCTAATAGTGAGGCTAATAATGAGGCTAATAGTGAGGCGAATAATGAGGCTAATAATGAGGCTAATAGTGAGGCTAATAGTGAGGCTAATAGTGAGGCTAATAATGAGGCTTATAATGAGGCTAATAGTGAGGCTAATAATGAGTCTAATAGTGAGGCTAATAATGAGGCTAATAGTGAGGCTAATAATGAGGCTAATAATGAGGCTAATAGTGAGGCTAATAATGAGGCTAATAATGAGGCTAATAGTGAGGCTAATAATGAGGCTAATAGTGAGGCTAATAATGAGGCTAATAATGAGGCTTATAATGAGGCTAATAATGGGCTAATAGTGAGGCGAATAATGAGGCTAATAATGAGGCTAATAGTGAGGCTAATAGTGAGGCTAATAGTGAGGCTAATAATGAGGCTTATAATGAGGCTAATAGTGAGGCTAATAATGAGTCTAATAGTGAGGCTAATAATGAGGCTAATAGTGAGGCTAATAATGAGGCTAATAATGAGGCTAATAGTGAGGCTAATAATGAGGCTAATAATGAGGCTAATAGTGAGGCTAATAATGAGGCTAATAGTGAGGCTAATAATGAGGCTAATAATGAGGCTTATAATGAGGCTAATAATGAGGCTAATAGTGAGGCGAATAATGAGGCTAATAATGAGGCTAATAGTGAGGCTAATAGTGAGGCTAATAATGAGGCTAATAGTGAGGCTAATAATGAGGCTAATAATGAGGCTAATAGTGAGGCTAATAATGAGTCTAATAGTGAGGCTAATAATGAGGCTAATAGTGAGGCTAATAATGAGGCTAATAATGAGGCTAATAGTGAGGCTAATAATGAGGCTAATAATGAGGCTAATAGTGAGGCTAATAATGAGGCTAATAGTGAGGCTAATAATGAGGCTAATAATGAGGCTTATAATGAGGCTAATAATGAGGCTAATAATGAGGCTAATAATGAGGCTAATAATGAGGCTAATAATGAGGCTAATAGTGAGGCTAATAATGAGGCTAATAATGAGGCTTATAATGAGGCTAATAGTGAGGCTAATAATGAGGCTAATAGTGAGGCTAATAATGAGGCTAATAATGAGGCTAATAATGAGGCTAATAATGAGGCTAGCAATGAGGCTAATAGTGAGGCTAATAATGAGGCTTATAATGAGGCTAATAGTGAGGCTAATAGTGAGGCTAATAGTGAGGCTAATAGTGAGGCTAATAATAACAATAATCACTGCTTTCTCGCCTTTGTTGCTGCGTGTTTCTTTAGATCTCAACACAACAAAGTACATTGATTTAGTTGAAAACCATGAAAAATGACATCTCTCCATGGTTCTCAAACTGGAAATTTCAAAGCGTCCCATTCCTACCATGAGAAAAGTCATCAAAGTCACAGTAATGACTTGGTCCACATGAAACACAAACAGTTCCATGTTTTCTCTGTCAGAGATATGGCACATTTGCAGCCAATCCAGAACAAACAAGGTTCACCATAAACATAGATATAGATAGATACGATTATAGTCATGGCTAATATAACGGTTGCTAATACTGCACATGCATACTTTTAAAGCTAGGGTTAAAATCACACAAAAAATCCAATACGTAAAATCCACAGGTCCTGGGTTCGAATCCCGGTCGGAACAGGGCCTTTCTGAGTGTAGTTTCCTCCGGGTGCTCCGGTTTCCCCTACCACTAAAAACATCCACGATAGGTATGAATGTAAATGAGCGAGTGAATGGATGGTGTTGATTGGAGGCTGACTCGCTTCCGTCATCACCGTGTGTGGAATGATTGGAACAATATCTGGACTCTGAACATTGTCAAGCGCTTTGGGTGACCCTGGCCTGTAAAATGCGCTATATGAATAAACATTACTTACTTACTATGTATTCAATTCCTTCTAACAAGTTCCTGCTCGGTTCTATCATTAGTCTTCACATGCATTTAACTGACCACTCTTACTCAGCCAATCAGCTCTCATCCCAAAGCATCAAATATTGACTCACAGGGCTCTTTCTTTCGATGCAATCAATTCTAATACATTGAAGACAGGATGTTGTCGATTGACATTTTACTTTTACCAGACCCTATAATTTTAAAGAAAAATAAGTTAGGTACCCTAGCTTTGAAGAAGACATCGTTGATATATACCTTGGAACTTTAGCTATAGATTAGAGCAGTGGTGTGACTCCCACTGGTCTGTATTGTGCGTTGCAACACTGAAATGCCCTGCTGTGGGAAGAACAGTATCAACATTTCCTTCAAAACGTGTGAATCTGAGAGTTATAAAGACCCGTGGCGTTCATCTGACATCATGACATCATCATAGTGGTGAGTCCAGTGTTCAGAGCCTGAGACGGTGGAAAGTCCTAATTACGCGGTACATGAGACGGCGGGAGATGGTGATTGGCTGTGACGTGTGGGTGCGCCTGTCCCGACCCGAGCGCCGCGGCGTCAGGGGAAACTCGCTGACCGCACACTTTCTCCAGACCAGTGTCCATCCCATTACACAGAGACCAGTCGGTTGGCCCATTCAAAAGAACATTGAGATTAAAGCCGGAGTACCTAACTTTGGTGAAGAGATGAAGTAGCTGACTTGTTGAATAGATTATCTGATGAATTTTGCATTTCAAAAACTGTAAGTTCTGAAAGAGTACGAGGAAGAGAGATTTATGCCTCCAGCCAAGAGCAAGTAGTGGAAGAGTGAGTGTGTGTGCGTGTGTGTGTATGTACTGTACGTGCAAATGTGTGTGTCTTTTTTTGTCCAATACCAAATGTGTGTGTTTTCAATTTAACCATGAACCATGTATTTCGCAGGTTGGTTCGAAATTAATAATTACTACTACTACTGAGTATTGTACTACAGTAAATACTGGCCATTTTGTTTGTTCAATAGAAACAGTCTACCAAACATATTTTACCTACTGAAGGTTGAAAAAGCTGATCTAACGATATAAATAAATACATGCATGTGAAAACTTTAAAACTACGCTGTTTTCAGAGCCAGGAACTAGTTGGATCCTTTTAATTTGATTTAGTGTTTATGGTTTCAAACTTAGTACCCCAGCCTTGTGTATATAAAACTCCTTCACAACACAGAGCAGACTCAACCGATTGGCAAAAGCCCTGTACTACAACATTGTGAGAGAAAATGTCGGCTATTGGATCGAATCTAATGGAAAATGATTTTGTGTTGAATTGAAATCTCACAATACCTGAACTAATTATGATTCTACTTGTCTTCTTTACAGGGTCCTTGTACGACTAATGCGACTAGTCACTCAAGGCTGCTCACACGCGTGTGTTTTTATCTCTGAATAAATTAATAATGACAGTTTCAAGGTGGACTGAAACTACATTTGTAACGACTTCTGAATACAGCCCATACATATTCCTCCAACACTTTGAGACGCCCCAAAACCCTTTTCAACTTTACTGTATGCTGTGCATAGTTTGATGGCTCCTATTGATACGAGAACCTTCCACGCACACGCGCACGCACACACACACACACGCGCACACACACTGCATAAAGTATTGGACATTATACTGTTTATATTATTTACTGTTTAATTCAGATCAGAACTTGTGAAAAAGGATTTCAAGATCTAACTTTGAAGTTTTTTGTCAGAACATCTATTCCACTCCAATGAATTATTAATATAAATCCAGAGCATATAGTTGTATTATTCAAGAAGGCGGCTAATGTTAGGCTCCAATCTCATTATGCAGAGTGGAATACATCTAAAACACCGGACTCTCATTTAGATAAACCATTAGGCCAAATATTTGTATCGTGAATGCATTATCAATTATTCTAGGTTGACTGTAGCTTTAGCTAATGATCATAGACTGTATACAAATGGACAATGCTAATCCAGGTTCAATGAAGTGCTCATGGACAAAGTTTTGTTGTGCTGGCTTATTGATTTACATTGAAAAGTAAAGTCCTCTAGCTCAATAACATTTTGCTTGTGTCACAATCACCGTTATTGGAGCTTTTTAAAAATCTGTGGTTTAGTGCTCTCTGTGATCCTAGTGTTTATATTGTGATATTCTCTTTGCAAATCCAGGCCTAAAAATATAAATACTGACCAATTAGATGCCTTCATTTGGGGGGGAAACACCAACTTGCCTTAGCAACCATGTTAGCAACACGTCTGCCCCTGTTGCAGCGCAAAGCTAACCCCTTCAAAACAAATGCTCATATAAGAAAATAGGCTCCAGCTACCTCATGTTCACGTCAGCTCACCACTCCTGATATTCATATGGTTATGAATGTTTTTTTCTCTTCTTAGATACCAAGTGTGTTTGTACTGGAGGATTTTCTGTTGTAGCTGAAGGCGAGTAGTAACACTGTTTGTATACGTATAGATCCATGGATAATTGTAAATAATTGTACAGCGCATGTGATAGATGCACAGCCATCTATTGACTATGGAAATCAAGACGTTTTACCAGAAGTAGTTCTGCTTTTGACTTGTTTCTCACAAAGAGAAACAAGTCTCACTTCCACTGTTTCTTTTCACCGGGTGTCATCATTGTTCTTAAATGTCTTGTAAAAAGTAAAAACCCGTAACACCTGTTTGTCTCCAGGGAAATACAGTTTTAGTGTCAGATACTGTGAATCATTCAGGACAAATGAATGACTAACTTACTCTCTATATGAAAACAGCTAAAACAGATGTTAATGTGTCTCAACCGTTCAGATAACTGCTTACAAAGCAGTGCTTCCCAAAGTGGGGTTTGGGGTCCCTTTGGTTAAGATAAGGGATAGAGGGAACCTTTATCCCTCCCACAGTGGAGAACAAAATAATTTCAGCAATCAAATCATTTAGTTTGGTTTTGAATTTAACAGGAAAACTTATATCTTCACTTTTTGTCATCATCAATGTCATAATTTTCCACCTGAGAAAATTAATTAGATTAGAAATGTTGTTTTGTGATTGTACCTCCACTATTCTTCACTGTCTTTACACACAGACACTCATAATGATTCTAAAACCTGGTCCTTAACCCAGTTTGAGTGACCCACATGAAGAATCTGATAACCTGGTCTTAAACAAACCTTCTTTCCTCTCTCTTTACTCAACAAACAGCCCTCAGCGTCATTAGCATTAGCACACTCCTGTTTCAGAATAGGCAAGGCAAGGCAAGTTTATTTGTATAGCACAATTCATACACAAGGCAACTCAAAGTGCTGAACAAAACAAGAAAGCATAAAAATCATAAATAATCACAGTACATTAAAACAAAATAAAAAAAAAAGATAAAAATATAAAATCCCTCAGTTGTATGCACAGCTAAACAGAACCGTCTTTAACCTGGTTTTAAACATTGTCAGAGAGGAGGCCTGTCTCACATCTTCAGGAAGACGGTTCCAGATTTTAGCAGCATGAATCTGAAAAGCAGCCTCCCCATGTTTAGTTCTGACTCTGGGCACTAACAGGAGTCCAGTCCCTGTGCTCCTCAGAGTCCGGGCTGGTTCATATGGGACTAACATGTCACTAATATATTTTGGTGCGAGGCTATGGAGAGACTTGTAACAAGCAGAGCTGTTTTAAAGTCTATTCTCTGAGCCACAGGAAGCCAGTGCAGAGACCTGAGAACTGGACTAATGTGGTCGTACTTCCTGGTTCTTGTCAGGACTCGAGCTGCTGCATTTTGAATGTACTGCAGCTGTTTTACAGCCTGTTTGGACAGACCTGTGAGCAGGCCATTGCAGTAGTCTAACCTACTGGAGACAAATGCATGGATAAGAATCTCCAAGTCTGCTTTAGATACTATGTTTTTGATCCTGGCAATGTTTTTTAGATGTTTTTTAAAAAGCTGCTGATGTTACTGATTTGATGTGGCTATTAAAATTTAAGTCTGAGTCCAGTATTACCCCTAGATTTCTGACCTTGTTTGAAGGTTTTAGGGAGAGAGACTGTAGGTGACAGATGACGCTCTCTCTTTGTTTCTGGGGACCAAAGACAATCATTTCAGTTTTGTCTGCGTTTAGCTGAAGGAAGTTGTTTTGCATCCACTCACTGATCTGTTGGATACAGTGAAGGAGTGAGTCCACTGGTCCATGTTCTCCTGCAGTCAGTGAGACATAGATCTGAGTGTCGTTTGCATAGTTATGATAGGAAACTTCGTTTCTGCGTATTAACTGACCTAACGGCAGCATGTAGAGATTGAACAGAAGAGGTCCCAGGATCGACCCCTGTGGTACTCCACAGGTCAGGGCCATATGATCTGAGACACAGTTTCCAATCTCCACTGGGTGCAGTCAGAGCTGCACCCAGTACACAGAGCACCAGCCTCTCACTGATCCTCCTGCAGGAGGTGAGGACAACATGTATCTTTCTTTTTAAATGTTTTTATACAGATGTGCTTACTAGTCCAGCAAGTACTGTAGCTGTAAAACCTTTTTTTCTTAGTTTCACTATACTGATAAAATGATATCGTACTTATAAAGCGCTTAACACTTAATTAATCATGAACAATTAAATACTACAATTAATAAACTACTACAATAAAATAAATAGATTAGGGGTAGGGTTAGATTAGGGTTAAGGTTACATTTAATTAATAAATTGTGTTATTTCAACATTTATTAAGCCTAAATAAGGTGCAGTTTTTATAAAGTGTTACCTAAGACGCTTTACAGAAGAAAAAATAAGAAACAAAAATTAAAAAGTTAAAAATAAACAGTATAGTGTGGGCAGTTTTGAGAAGTTTGAAGTTCTGAAGTCCACGTGTAAAAACCAGTGAGTTTGTAAGTTGGAGACCAGGTTTACCTTCTCTTTCTCATCAAAGTAATATTCAAAACATTCTTCACAGAAGAAAAGCAGCAAAGGGGTGTGAGTGTGTCAGTGCCACCAGGCCATGAGTCAGGTCCCCGCTCCCACAAGGAATGTTTTATACGGCAGCAGTAGACATGCAGGCTTTTCTGGAATGGATAAGCAGCGAAATCACGAAACTGACAATACTGACGATACCTGCAGCATGTGGGAGCTGCCTGTGTCCCAGTCACCATGAACTGGATAAACCTGCGAGTTGTAGATGTGTCCTGAGGCTAGAATCCATGCGTCATCTTATTCGAAAACAAGAAAACATGCAAAGAAAGAGCCCAGTGAGTCAATATTTGATCTGAAGTCGTGACAAAGGCAAAAAAATTATATAGATATAAAAACTATTGATTGATCTAAACTGTTTTGTGAGTGAGGAACTTGTTACATGGATTATATTGCGATTTAGATACCCTGGCTTTCAATATCAGGCATAGTGATAATAAGATAATTATGAAACAGGTCCTTTTTTGTTTGCGAAAGCCAAAAATGTTTCAATACATTTATAATAGTTGGGAGAAAGGTGAATGCCAATTTTTCCAATGGAGCAAACGTATAGATTCATAACAGGGCATAAATAAAACCTATAAAGAGAAGAAAATTAGAATACCAAAGCTCTAATACTTGAAACAAAAGAGCATGGCAACCACTTATAACGATATAGTACTTTTCTGACCAACTAATAGGATTAACCGCTGGACTAGTGGTTCTCAAAGTGGGGGGTTGGACTCCTAGTCAAGTAGAGTCTAGCCAAGATGATGGAGAGAGAGAGAGAAGTTTATAGTTTCCTGCCTGCACCACCTCAATTGTATACAATAATTACGTTCTAAAATACACCTAGAGTCTAAACTACCGCCTGTGGGACATGTGTAAGCAACTTGACCCATTTGGAATGCACTAGGAACCCAGTTTATATACCCACAATAAACTGTTAAAGCTGGGGTACCTAACTTTGTATAGTCAAAATATCGCATGAGGGTGGTCCTATCATTTCCACTTTTCTGTTTGAAAAAGCTGATATTGAAATGGGATAGAAACCAAAAAACACATGAGAACTAGAGATAAAACTGTTTTGGATTTGATTACATAGTTAGCTCCTTTGTGAAACTTGCTCCATGTAAAAATGTGATGAGTAACAGTCCAGCCATCGGGGCCTTCCTCCTGCCCCTCTTATGTCTAACCTTGACAGCAAAGGCTCAGCTCCAGCGCCCGCGAGCTGCAGCGTTGCTATCTTTAGCCGCCGAAGCTCTTACCAGTGGTTGCCTCCTCTTCCTCTTCCTCACTGGCTCTTACAAACTCACTCATGCGTGCCGTTTTACTCAGCTGAATTTCACGCATGCACAGTCGTATCGTGCATATGTGGTGTTACCGGGCAGATTAGACGGGGCAACCTACTTCTGGATGTAGCACATGTTTAGATGTGAGAGCATGAAACAGCGCGGGCTCCCTCTCTGCCTGAAGCCGACTCCAGAGCCATGGGACTCTCTCTGCGAGCAGCTGGACTTCAATTGGACCATAGTGTGGCAAAATCAAGTCCATGTCACCAATACAGTCGGGCCTTGGCAGTAATTATCAATGATTCATGAAGACGATTTTGATTTCTATTACAATTCAAGCAATGTGTGCAGTTGTAGTGTCACCATTCTGTCTCTTTCTGCTTCATTGAGTTTGTTAGTTTGTTGTGCATGGCCTCACACAAAAACATGTTTACACCACCAGTCATGTGCGTCTCCATCATAGACTGTAAATACTGTCTCCATTGTCGTTTTGTTCAGACAAGTAATGACCCAAGCATAATATAACAATCATGAAACACAATTACACATGCTAATACAACATGCGTTTGCAGTTACGTGGTTATGACTGTAGCCTCAAGACAATACATAAATATGTAATCAATTAGATGGTTATGATTTTATGAGATCGCCTAACTGCAAGCCATGAATGATTACATTAAAATGCATTTGCCTGCATAAGATAAGATAAGAGATCCTTTGTGCGTCCCACAGCGGGGAAATTTCAGTGTTGTATCACAGGTTACAGAACAGAAGGAATGAGGAGAACACAGCACAAGGTAAATGAACACAGCTCTATACTAAACTCTATACTAAATAACGGTATATTAAACTCTATACTAAATAACTATATACTACACAACTCAACACTAAACTCTATACTAAAAACAATACGCTAAACTCCATACTGAAAAACTCTATATACATCTAAAGGTAAAGGTGCACTTTTATTAGTCCCCGCAATTCAATCCTCTGCATTTGACCCATCCTGATGCCGTGAAGGCTTACGAAAGAAGCAGTGGTCGCAGTAGTAACAGCGCCCGGGAACCCATCTCCAGATGTTGATGCTCGGCTTGGTCAGGACTACCGGAGCTGGAGGTTTTAACCTAGTGAGCATGTTTTTAGTGGTAGGGGAAACCGGAGTACCTGGAGGAAACCTACACAGGCATGGGGAGAACATGCAAACTCTACTCAGAAAGACCCTGTGCCGACCGGGATTCGAACCCAGGACTTTCTTGCTGAGAGGTGAATATCACTATACTAAACTACTGTATATACTGAATAACTCTATACTAAATGCTATACTAAAAAATTCTATACTAAACTCCCTACTAAATAAAACAAAATAAAATCTCTAGCTTTAGCATAATGAAGAAGCAAGTATAAATCCTGTTTATTCTAGTGCAGAAATATATGCAGTTGCAAATAGGACTTGTGAGAGTGTCTTATGAGGAAGGTGAAGGATATAGAAATGGGAACAGAAAGGCAGTGGCTGTAAATGTGTGTTGTGGGAAAACGGAAGTGATCGGCCCAGGCTCAGGTTACGTCACCTCCTAAATCCCTTTAAAGACTCCTGTACTCGGGTCGCGCCAGTTCTCACGGCCGCGGTGTTTGGAGACAAGCCTAAGCCGTAAGTCACATATACTTACAACAAACGTGCTCGTGTTTTGGGGTCAAGTTCTGAACAGGTTCATCGACACCGTTTCAACAAACAGAATGATTTTTAGGTCACGCCGAATTTGAGATCATACAGAGATACCTGATACGTTTTTTAATAGTTTGCATGGTCCCCCCTTAGGTCCTTCTCCCCTTTTTTAATGCATTCCTAACATGTTTATTAACTGAACTCTCTACATTTAGAGTTTTTCAATCAACTAGCATGCTAACAACCAAATTCCTGGTTGATATATTCTTGAATGACACGCAGACCGCACGTACCTCTTGTCGTTGAAAGAATAACTATAAATGAATGAGCATCATATTTTACTTACCTCCCAAAGATTACGTTTTGTACAGGTTTGAAAAGAGTAAAAAAGGAGACAAAATTAGTTTAAAAAGTTACTATATAAGAATCCTCCACTTTGAACTCTATATAAAGACAGAATAGGGAACACTTGGAAGAGTTTGGTAGCTTCTAGCGGGAGCTACCTTTTGGTCCTACACAGTATACAGAGGAGGCTGCGTTTGTGCTCCCGTTTTTGCTCCATTTGCATGACAGAGCGCACGGACTAAGACCAGACAGGTACATATTAACTAGTCTAAGGTAAGGTAAGAACATATGTCAGTATGTAAAAACGGTGAACTATTCCTTTAAAACTTCTGTCGATGGTCATTTACCCAACACGAACCAAAACTAACTCTGGATTCTGAGTTATGTCCTGTCGTCTCTCTGCGCTGCACCATGAAGCGTGTGAGCAGAGAGTCGTCCTGTGTCCATCAGGCCACGCTCCGGGAACTCGATCCGCTCTGTTCCTTCCGTCCTTCTGCCTCACCTTTTCTCCAGCGCTCCCCTGACACCCTTCTCTGAGCTGCAGGCGCTGACAGACCTGCTGTGGGGGGTTCTGTTCTCACAAAGGGACAGTGTTAAGTTATTCCTGTTACTTAGATGTGGTAAAATTGAAGACATTTTCCAGTTTTCTTTAGTTTTAGTATTTTCATTTCACTTCCTGTTGTAAAATAGTGACATCTGGACATGGATTTCTTCTCTCTTCTGCACTCGGCACAAAATCCTATAATAATAACACATGGCTTATTTAATTACTTTTATGATTTAGTTTTGGAATCAGAGGTCAGGAAAGAATTTAGTCTGCAAATTGTCTACAAATGTTTGAAGAAATATATAGAACTTTGGTATTTTTTCTCCCATATTCAACAAATATACTTTTACTAATGGCTTTCTGAAAGGTGTAAATGTTTGCTATTTGATCAACGTTTTCTTGGTTGAAGTCAGAATGTTCGGTGTTGTAGCTGCAGAGACAAGACAAACTGTGGGCGTTTCTTCAAGTTTTAAGGTAAACAGAAACCAGACTACTTTCCATCCACTGTTTCTTTGGAGGAGAACAACAACACACCATATTAGAAGTTTATACAAGAATACATGAATAAAACTTAACTCTTGATTTGATAGAATCCTGCTGCAAAATAGATTAAATATTGTTTCCACTTTTGAAACAAGACCTCACTAAGTTCTTCATGAATCAGCAGTTCTTCTCCCTCCCAGTGTCTGTAGGATGCTCGAGGACCAATTGTTTGGAAAGTTTCTCTGCTGAGGGACCTTTGCATCAGAAATAACCAAAATAACTGATCCAGACACGCTGCAGACACAACTCTGATAAAAAGTGAAGGAGCTGCCTCTGGGTCACATGATCAAATATGAAAAATATCAACTTTTGCATAAAGGTCTTTTAAGTCAGTATGTGATTAAGAAAGTTAAAACCATTCACCTTCTGCCCACAGTAACAACATTTATAAGATAGATTTAGAGATAGAGATAGAGATAGCGAGATATATAGATATAGATGGATAGATAGATAGATATTTTATTGATCCCACGTAGAAGAAATTCAGGTGTCCAGTAGCAGCAGAAACACATCCATCCATACAAAAAAATATCAACAAATAACTTTAACAAGTAGGACAAGTATGAGTCAGGTCTGTGGAGGTGCAATCCCACATTTCCATACTTTGCCACTAGCAAAAAGCTGCTGTCTATACCAGCCTTTTGTTATTGAAAGGACATGGCCAACATTTTATATTTTTTTTCATTCTAGTTGGACACACACACAACCACACATACTGTATGTATCTTATCACAGATATGCAACTATAATTCTGCACATTTTCAGTGTAATCTTTCATAATAATAGTAATAAAACAGCCTCATTGTGCAGCTCAGAGTTTGCAGTGTGTCTTCTCTTCACCAATGAGGTTTGTCCTTGACAGTATAACAGATTTTTACCCACATTCAGAGGGCGCCTGAAGCCTTTTTCTTCAGAGTCACATGCAGCACGTTGGAAAAGAAGAACCGACCTAAAGTAAACTGCGTAGATATTGAATTCAGACTTTACATTGTTTATTATTTATTAGAAAGTTCACCAAAATACAACACAACCTTTTTCCCATTCTCTCTCCCCGTCCTTCTTGCCTCAGTGGGAGAGCAAAGAGCCGAGATGGTATGCCCTCCCCAGTCGAGTTCCCAGTGTCATTAAAAATAAATAAATAAAATGGCGAGCTTAATCGAGTGCGACAGAAACACTAAAGCCAGTTCCCAGGGTTTCCCCACATTGCACCATTTGCTGGGAACACACCCCTGTCTTGCACCATCTTGAAAATGTGGCTTTTTCCAGTCTCAAAAATGACAAAGGAGAAGCAAGAAGCCAATTTATTACTGCAGGTGGACGTATTGAACATATGATCTGGCAGATTTATTGTGATTTTATATATTATAGAGGTGGCGGCTTTTTTCCTATACACATTATCATTGTATGTGCTTATCAAAAGAAAGTAAGATGTATTATGTTTTAAAATGTTTTATGAAATGGACAATTCACACTTGCCTCTTAATGGTTAAGTAGTTCAGTAAATCAAAGTGCTATAGCAATAAGCAAGAGTATTCTTTATTAATATAGCACTTTTTGAAGAAAAAAAAACAGACACACACAAAGTCACAAAGTAATTGCAACATGCCAGACCAATTGTACATGTTTTTAGTGGTATAGGGGAAACCGGAGCACCCAGAAGGAAAAAACCCTCGCAGACACAGCGAGAACATGCAAACTCTACAGTCTATGGTCCTAAGTGGGGTATCAACCAAGAGCACAGAAATGTAGATAGATTCAAGATTCAAGAATGTATTTACCATTAGCAGTAAAACCACATGGGAAAAACTGTGCAAGACTACCCCAGTGTGCACCAGGATAGCACACAGCAGAGCTCTTGCCACGGCACCATGCTTTATAGATAAAAGTGACCATTTCGTTTTTGTTTTCCATGTTTTTGTTGTGTAATGGCCCATGTCCCTGAATATGGCACATGTGCTATAAGATGAAATATGTCTCCAAACTCCCGCCTTTTAAAACACACAAGCCCGCGTTATTGTAGCAACCTTCGATCTCACGAGGCTGACAGTTTGCCCTTTTCACAGATTAAGTCTCGATGGTATGCACCTGCACATGAGGCCAGCTGGCAGGGGGCATATCTGCTGTCTAGACCTCACTTAAGGCTATTTGTGATTAGTGTGTCGACATGAGGAGATTTCAGGGCCACGATCCCGGTTTTCGACCTACTTGGTTGAGGACTAACAGGATTAACGCAGTTGGAACTCGGAGCCTACTTTTTCAACAATGAGGCCAGGAGAAAGAAGTAAGATGTATAAGATGAGTGATGTCACCAGGAAATGGGAAATCTCAGCACCTGTTGTTTATCAAAGTTAAAGGGGATGTGGTGTTCCTTCATGATCAGCTTGTTTTGATGTCGGAATGAGTAATCTTGTATTGTCCTGCTTTGATAACAACCCCACCAGAACAGGGCCTTTCTGAGTGGAGTTTGCATGTTCTCCTTGTGTCTACGTAGGTTTACTCCAGGTGCTCTGGTTTCTTCTACCATTAAAACATATACAATAGGTAAAATCCTCCAGCTCTAGTCGTCCTGACCACGTGGCATTGGAAGGACGGGTCAAATGCAGAGGACACTTCATTTATAGCAACAACTTGTGGAAGCTAATGGGGATCCAAATAAATAGATACATAAATAAATACATTATTAATCATGTTTGAACAGACAGTCAATGAACCATTTTTTCATCAAGCTGATTTTGAATCTTAGGAGATAGACTCAACAAAGATAACACAATATATACAGTATAGTTTCACATTAAATAGCAATAAAAGACATTCTTGCAGCTGTATAGATACAACCATCAAAAGTAGCCTGCTGCGTCCTATCAGAAAATATTATAATAACTTTGCCACAAGAGGGTCAGTAACAAAAATAAACTAGACTGGTTTGTGGTTCATCTTTACCACAGGGAAATAGCCGCTCTCAAAACTGGGTTCATCGCGGGTATTTTTTGACCATGGCCTCAAAGACATGGGGTGAAAAGTACCATGCAGAATTTTTATCAAAGGGACAACAATAAACTTCAAGGCAAACACGATGACAGTGATGGGACGTGGCAGGAGGAACAGAGCGGCCACTGTGCGCCCCTCTTTTGGGAGGTGAAGCCCCAAATACCCGATGTGCTCCGCATGGCCTCCTCTGTACACACTGCTGCTGTCCTCACACAGTTACACAACTTCCAGAGAACATCACAATGACTTTGAATTATCACCGAAAATACACGTGATGCAATGAATGGCATTTTTGGGATTGTGAAAATACAGAAAGTGCATGTGTGAAACTGTTTTGAGAATGATGCGCTCGGGTGATCTTGGGATTTAAAATGCGCTATATAAATAAACATTACTTACTTATAGTATTGTGGAAGGTTAGAGCTCAAAGGAAAACATAGAATCTGAAAATTGAAGAGAGACAAATGTAATTTTCTTCCAAATCTGTGTTTTGTACATACATAACCAAAAGCAAATCCTACCTAATCAATCTATCTCTTAAAGCTGGGGTACCTAAAACCTAATGAAATATGTAATAAAATCTTTGTGACTATTTGTAAAGAAAACTAGCCTGGCCTTATCCATCCGTACACTCCGCTCAATCATTTTCCTGCATGTAACGTCTGGGTCTGGTCGCTGTGTTTGCGAATACAATCTATTGAATTCCATCCGACCAATCAGCGAGCGCGGGAGGCGGGTCTTGTTTAGTTGTGGGTGACGTCAAGAGTTTGCGCCGAACGGGCAGGTTGTAGTTTGGCAATGGCGAAGAATGCGATAGTAAAGTAATCCGGTCTGGTTCTATCAAGAAATTGAAGCCGAAGCAAGAGGAATGTTTAGCAAATGTGACTGCTGGCAAAGATTGTGGCGCTACTCCCCACGGGCTCCGTTAGCGGCAAATGAGATGGCTAAAGCTAGGCTAAATTCTAAATTCTAACGACAGACTCGGGCGCATTACATACGTCACAGTAAACTCAGATCCAATCGTTTCAATCTGCAAAAGGAGTTAACCCCTCCCACCTGTTCACGGAGCTGTTCAATGTTCAACCTGTTCAATGGAGCACCTCCAGACCTTAGTATGAAATGTAATTTGTACTATGGTGTGGTACCACCAGGCTATAATAAAACAGTTTGATTCTCTAGTTTTCATCTGTTTGTATTTTTTGCCTTCTGTCACTTCTTTAGGTCAGATTTTTCAGACAGAATTGTGAAAAAGAGGAGCCAATCAGCTCTAAAGAGACTAAACTGGCTTTACACAAAAGCAATAGCAAGATTTTGTGAAATGATTTTCTTACATTTTTACTTGGACAAGACTTTTTCTGTTCTGTAAATAAGGCATACAGTATTTATGCAAACCTAGCCAGCCTGGAAATGCATTTGATGACTGTATTTTCTCTCAAACAAAAGCTCTCACAGTGAAATCTCGCAACACTTAAGTCATCTCCTAAACTTTTTTTTTTTTTATTGCAGAGAGAAACCCAGAGACAACGGTCATAGAAAGATCTCTCTCCGGCACAAGCAGCCGAGCTCACGTGCCTCTTCACATCTGCCTCCCACGTGTCGCTCCTCTGCCTCTCTCCAAAGGTGCAGCCCAACCATAACAACACCAGCCATCACAGCTGCCCTCCCCCCCGACCGCGAGCCTCAGAGGGGGGAGGGCTGAGGGAGGGAGGCCTTGAAGTTACAGCAGGACTTCTAAACAGTGCGGTTACCACGTGGGAATCGATGTGTGTAATGATGGAATGAATGTCCATATATTTTTTTGTCAATACTGTTTTATTTCATTTTATTAAAAGAGAAAGGCTCAGGGACTCTCACTCAACTTTCCTGTGGTCGGAAACACATACATTATTGATGGGAGCTTTTGAGTGGGGCGAAATTAACTAGTTTTTCATTTTCCCATGTTGTCCCCTGTCACACTTTTTACAATTTGTGCAGGGACGCTAGATTTTGTCACTTATTGTACTTTGGAATAGTAAAGAAAAAAGCATAAATGACCGAAGACTTGTGTGAAGCTTTAGGAAGTCTAAAATAGTGAAATGACAAGCATCGATGTGTTTTATGGGGAAGGGGGATTAATGGGACGTCAAGATATAGACTTGCAAAATATGTCATGAACTCGATAGCACAGCAGCATATTAGTACAAAAAAGATTTCAAAGTCAACTAGGGGTAATACTGGACTCAGACTTAAATTTTAATAGCCACATCAAATCAGTAACATCAGCAGCTTTTTACCATCTAAAAAACATTTCCAGGATCAAAAACATTGTGTCTAAAGCAGACTTGGAGATTCTTATCCATGCATTTGTCTCCAGTAGGTTAGACTACTGCAATGGCCTGCTCACAGGTCTGTCCAAACAGGCTGTAAAACAGCTGCAGTACATTCAAAATGCAGCAGCTCGAGTCCTGACAAGAACCAGGAAGTACGACCACATTAGTCCAGTCCTCAGGTCTCTGCACTGGCTTCCTGTGGCTCAGAGAATAGACTTTAAAACAGCTTTGCTTGTGTACAAGTCTCTCCATGGCCTCGCACCAAAATATATTAGTGACATGTTAGTCCGAAATGAACCAGCCCGGACTCTGAGGAGCACAGGGACTGGACTCCTGCTGGGACTCTGAGGAGCACAGGGACTGGACTCCTGCTGGGACTCTGAGGAGCACAGGGACTGGACTCCTGTTAGTGCCCAGAGTCAGAACTAAACATGGGGAGGCTGCTTTTCAGATTCATGCTGCTAAAATCTGGAACAGTCTTCCTGAAGATGTGAGACAGGCCTCCTCTCTGACAATGTTTAAAACCAGGTTAAAGACGGTTCTGTTTAGCTGTGCATACAACTGAGGGATTTTATATTTTTATCTTTTTTTTTATGTACTGTGATTATTTATGATTTTAATGCTTTCTTGTTTTGTTCAGCACTTTGAATTGCCTTGTGTATGAATTGTGCTATACAAATAAACTTGCCTTGCCTTGCCTTGCCTAGGAGCGCAACTATTTATGGCTATTCAACATATGCAGAGCGACTGAGAGGCAGTGGAGGGGGTGCCAAAAGAACCACTACACCTATTGTCAATGTGCAATCATCATGTGTGAGTAGAGAAGCTAAAAGTTGCTCCTATAAGTAAGTTGTTGAGGCGATTTTTGTTTTTACTGAGAGTTTATCTCTTGATTTTGTTCTGTATACGTTTTTTTACTTTTTGTACATCTTTTTACACATCTCCTCCCCACCGCTGTCAGAATGCACTAGGACTCTTTTGCACAATCTGAGTGTGCGTAAGCCAAATGTGACATGTAATTTTCTCCAGTGTGAGATCAATAAACTGTATCTTATCTTGCCTTTTCTCTCTATCTTCTGTCTGAGTGTGTAATGTCAATTGTAAACTGTGACAGTTTGTAAGCAGCGACAGTGTGTAAATGTCATGCTTATCCATACTATAATATACTATACTTGGAAGAGGCATAATGAAATTCTGGCTGTTATCGAAGACTACTTTTTAGCAACAAAACAAAATAGTATATATGTGTTTGAAAGGCTGAATTTGAATTAGTTTTCCGCCTTGTTTGTAAAATTCTGTATACAGAGCAAAGCCTGGGTTACAGTGTCGGGGCACGTGCCAGCTGGGTCTGTGGGTAATCCCAGTCTCTAATCAGAGGAGAACAGGGAGACTACGGGCAACAACATCTGCTTAAGTCCTGCTTCTAATGAGAAATAAAAGATGCAAAACAGCAGAAACGTGGCATTTTTAGCGGCGACATGTAACCCGCAGACAATGCTATCGAGTGGTTTAGCTGAGACCATGAGAACGGGTTTCCGAGAGAAGAAAAATAATACTGTTGACAAGCTGTTACCAAGTCAAAACAAATAGAAAAACTCTCGGTGGAAACTATACAAAAGAGAAACTGATTACTGAAACTGAGTATTTCAGCTTGCTTATCATTCTGATGCCTATTGTTCTATTATACGTTATTGTAAAAAGTATTAGCTAGAACTCTGGAGCATTCAATTGGACGTTTTTTTTGTGTTGGAAGTGCATTTACTCCGCTTATGTATGTTTTTGATTTTCATAACTTAGACTGATTCTGTATGTCATTAGGTTTATGAAATGATCTTGGTCCTTGACTGGTTCGGAGCCATCTCAGCTTGGAGCAAGTGCTAGTTACCATAGCAACACACTATTATTTGCAGCAGTTAGCATTTAGTTTAGCTATTTTTCATTTATAATAACCAGTATTAGCTTGTATTAAAGATAAAAGCCGAATTACTTACTGCTAATTAATACTAGTGAAAACCTCAAACTGTAGAATTCTATCAATTTTAATGGGAGCCGTCATGATGATTGAAGTTTTAGTCGTTTCAGGAAGCTGGGATTGTTTGTTTTAAACATTCAGACCGCAAATAGAAAGAATATAAAGTTAGATATAGAGAATAGTAAGAACACATTGTTTTTCTGTCATTATAACTCTAGTTGCTGCATGACGAAGTGCAGACATTACTGAAGACAATATGTAATTCTGCTGGGATCTGGAAAAGGAAAAACACACACACCCATTAATTTAGGTCCAAGATGTACAGCATGCGACAAAAATTCACCCTGTGCCAATGGATTTTCTACATATCGTGTTATTCTCCCCCACACTCGCCGACCGGAGTTCTGTGTCTGGCCGTTTTCAAACCACACAATCCAATACTTTGCTCGTATAATTCCCTGGTGCGATGAATCACTCTCATTTCTCACAGGCCTGGAAATGCATTTGAGGAGAAAAGATGATAGCATGAACGTAATAACAGGGGTGAATGTGTGACGAGATCCACGGTGCATTTAGGGGACAATCCAACATTTCAACTCCACCCTGTTTCTCTCCCTCTGGCATGACTTATAGCAGTGGACTTTCTCTGGATAACCCCCGGGCGATTGAGCAGACACAGTATGGCAAACTAAAGCTTTTCAATCCCCTTCACATCCATCTAATTCTGTAGGTCGAGCTCTAAACGAAGACCCAGTGACAGCTTTATGACCTTTTGGGGAATAAAAGCCAGAGCGACTAATCTCCTTCCCCCTCACAAACCCGCAGCAGTCAGAGGCGATGGGACGGTCACTACATGGTACCGCCAGCGAAATGAGATAATCGTATTTCAGTGGTGAATTCAAAAGAGTTGTGTATTTCTGCGTGAAGAGAAAGGAGCTATCAATAGGCCTGCAAGCATACAGACTTGGAAGGAGCAATGGTAAATGATGGGGTGGCGTGGTGATTACTAGGTGACAGCAGTTAGGGAGGAGCCGCGTTGGATTTGAAGTAATTGCAACCGTTTTTTGCAGTATTTATTCTGCCACGCTGGCTTAAACAAGGAAAGTTAGTGTAGAGGAAGACATGAGTGTGATAGTGCATTGCAAGAAGTGATGAGAACTAAGTCATAAATTGCTAAAGTTTGGTAAAATGTATCGTCATTTTGACTACCTTAAAACAAGATTTGCAAATGGGACAAAGAAAAATTATCTTGTTTTAAAAGTATACAAGAAATGTCTCCCTTAGAATGAGAAAATAAAGAAGCAGCTCTTGAAATAAGACTAAACAGCTCCTTCCCATTGACAAATCTTGTTCTAAGACAGTCAGAATGTATTCAAAACCACCCTATTCAAGCAATTATTATATCATATTTTATCACTTTTGCAGTGTGGGGATAAGCCCTTGTAGCCATTGTTGTGACACTAGCATTCGTGGTAGTTATAACAGACAGTAGTAACAGTAATTGTGTATGAACTGTGCTTTACAAATAAACTTGCCTTTGCGTATTAGTGGAGTTGGAAAAGGCTCAGGTCCGAAAGTAAAATTTATGTTGGACTTTTGAAAATGACAACTATCAATAGAGTGAAGATAAAGGACGCAGGCAAGTCGCTATGTGGAACAAATATCCTCACTGCGCTGATGTTTTTGAGTCTCAAAAACAATTCTTTAAAGGTTAATGTTGGTCTTCAAAGTTAAAAATGTGCATTTTGTACTTTCAGAACTGGAAGATGGGCTGGCACTTTGCAGTAGTAGTAGTGGTGGTGGTAGAAGAAGTCGCAGCAGCAGTAGTACTAGTAGCATTTATATATTCCATCCTAATCATTTTAGTTAGTTAATCAAGTTGCTTCAATTTAATCTTAAAATTTGTCATCACATATGTCATTATCCTAACAACATACTTGGATGACAAACTAAATCACAAATTGCTTGAGGACTAAAAAGGAACTCACACTTTTTGAACCGAATTCCAAGCCTCATTAAAGGCGGTGGCGTCTCCTGTATTGAATAGTATTGATTGCCCTGACCCCTCGGTATAGTCTCAGCTGGGGTCGGACAAAAGCCCCCTCGCCCTCCACTGACCTCTGACCCGCCCCGTCCCATCACCGTCGCTGACTGCCCCCTTCCCGCTTCCATGGAGACGCTAAATTACATTACATTGTCTTTGGGCAGTTTCTCCGTGGGGTCGTATAAAGACGGTGAAAGCGGTGAGTTCAGGTGCCTGTGTGAAAGCGGGCTAGAGGTAATGTTATTGTTTACCAGCCCCCAGGAGGGCACTTGGACTCAGGCCCAGAAGGCACTGTGATAGTATTGCAATATTCCACAAGCACCCCGTGTATAAAAAGTAACCCATATATGCTGTAGAATTACTGCATTGGGTTGATGGCACAGAGGACGTATAAATATAAAGTGGGCTATATATTTGAACAGCTGAAATGGTTTGTCCAATTGTAACTCCAAGAACAAATGGTAATTGTGCAATAAAAGGTTGTTTGTTGTGTGTCAGTGTGTGTGTGTGTGTGTGTGTGTTTATGGTAAGGGGGGGGTGTTTTATGGTTTGAATATAAGATCCACTCATATTCTGCACAAAATCACAAACAATGCAAACAAAATCCGAATGTTTTATTTGTTCCCAATAGGACAAGCACAAATGTCTTGTTTTAAATGAAATGCAAGCAACGACAGTAAGACAATATGAAAAAAGGTTTTAAATCGAGAGAAAACCCGCTGGATTCAAGAGCTTCCGACCTTATAATTGGTCTTTTTTGCTGTGTATAGATTTTTCTTTCTAGACTATTTTTTGATCTGCATTCTTAGAGAGTACTTTTTAACTTCAAACTGTAATATGTGTTTAATTTAGGCAACAGGACCGTGGACGAAATGCAGTGCGCTGTGTCATTCTATGTGGCCCTCTGCCTTTCACTGTGTCATCCAGCCAACTTCAGCTCCACCCAAATAGTCGTACTGAGCCTCACTGTTTAGCTCAAAACCATTGGAATCCAGTCTTGAACAATATTTTTGGGGGATTTTGTCACAAAATTGCATATATGGCACTAATGTCTCTCTTGTGTGAATCAGCATTAACATATGAAACCTTATTTTAAAGTCCAGAACAGCCTGAATCCCGTAAAAACCATCTTACATCCATGTTCGGCCACAGGAGAAGTCTGGTGAACAAAAGCGTTTGGACACCCATGGTTTAATTGCATGAATGTATAAACAAACACTGAATACATTTTAGTACTTTTGAGCGCTGCTTGCTGCTGGTTTAAGATAAAAGACTTCACAATCCTGGTACAAAATCGTCAAATGAAAGTGAGAACTGGGTCAAATGATATAATCTATAGATATTATACTATATATAACTAGACCAGTGAGTCAGAAAAAGCAAAAACATGAGCATTTGGGTGTCGATTCTTGCCAAATCACGGTTGCAATTTTAATAAACCAAGCTTTATTCAATTTACTGCCCATTTCCTGGCGCCGCAGGCTGGCCGAGCGGTGACGGCTGCAACGGGAACATCACCATGCAAATGTATTCATAGACCAGATGCTGCGTGGAGATGATATCGCAAAGACACCCTTGAAACTGGCAACTTTTGAACAAGTCCTCTGTACTTCATGAATACCGCGGACAGGTGGGTCGGACGGGTCAAGTGCAGCTATTGGTGAAAGCTGCTGCGTTCCTGTGTGGAGGATTTCACAACTAAAGCCGGATCCCACACGAATAAAAACAGGGTCATAAATGTGTGATGATCAGAGAGAGATGTTTGTTGCATAATATGGTGTTTGAGTGGCAGCTATGTGCTTAAGCTGCTGTGGATTATTATCTGCAGAGACATGTATGGATTCAATAGGCTTAGAATGAGTGCATTTTATGTAAATTCTAGGATGAATTGTTATCTAATGCTTCTCTGGACTTTCTCTGGAAATCACACAGATGTTTTGCATGTGTGTATACAGTAATCTTAACTCCTATGACTGTTTTTTATATTATACAAGTGTGTCAATGGTTGGTGTTGGACGGAGGGGCTGATGGCACATGCTGGTTGCCTCGCTTCTGTCAATGTGCCCCAGGGCAGCTGTGGCTACAGTAGTAGTTTATCACCATTGTGTTTGGAGTAAATTAATAATAACATGTAAAGCGTCATTGAGTGTCCAAAAAGCGCTGTATAAAACCAATGCATTTCTATTATTATTAATTTTGTTTTATTGAGTTGTGCCAATTTTCGTATCTTAATTTCAAAAGTGCAACTTCAATTGTATATCATTTTCTACATAAAAAAGGGACTACATATTTTTGACCCTATGACACTGTAGTATCGTTTATATTTTTCATAATAAATAATATCGATTTCTCCTTTGTGAGATCAATAAAGTTTCTCTTATCTTATCTATTGCAGTCCATCCCTTCAACAAGCACCACCAGTTATATTTGCAAGAGGAGAATAGTTTGACCAATGGTGTCTGTCAAGGATTTGAATTCATCGCATCCAATCAGGAAGCTGTGGGGGCGGGTCTAACTCGTGCTCATGATAAAATACTGTTTTGGACCTGTGTGTGTTTGCTTGTTATGAATATTTAAAACATGCAATATACACACATAAGTAAGAAAGTGTCTGGCCCAACAGCTCTTGAATAGCTGGGTGCGCTATAAATAAATTGCCACTAGCACGTTACTCGTCTCTTGCGGCGTTTACTTTTCCAGACAGACTCCAGGCCCGCTCATTCATCTCAATGGGAAATCACGATGTTTGAATGAACCATACATTTCAATGGCACCAATGAAATGAGCGCTACTGTTTCAGGCTATTCAACATACTGTATCCATAGCAACTCCCTGAGGCTAGTAGCGAACCGTATAGTGGATGCTAACAAAGAGGAGCTAACCAGGAAATAGCAAAGGGTGTGCCAGAAGAACCTTAGGCGACAATACCTTACATACGCATTATTACTCTTGATAAATATGTTGACATTGTGGTTCTTGCATTTTTCTTTCTCTGATTCGGTTATTCCATTAGTTCTGTGCTAATGTGGCTCACAGTCTCCAGAATTGATGCTAATGTGGAATAAGTGACACCTGACCTAACAGGTTTTTAAGGTCTTGAGTTCAAATCAGGAAAAAACATGTGGCGACTCTTAACCTTTTCACCGCTAATTGAGGTGATTAGCCTGTTAGCAGCTGCAGACCGGGAGGTGGCAATCAAAACAAATAATGCTTTGGCATTTGAGGGGGTGGGACAGTGGGGGGTGATAAGACACTTAATTACATTCAGGGTGAGAGGAGGTGTTTGGAAAGAAAGAAGAATGAGGCAAGATAAGACAACAACTGAATGTAGGAGATTTTAACCAAATAAAATCTGCTTTTCTCCAAAATCAAATGCGTAAAATCACATTCCGTAAATTCTGGACTATAAGCCGTTATTTTTTTCTAGTTATTTGAACCCTGTGACTAATACAAATATTTCAGTTTTTCCAATGTTGTTTTACTGCAAATAGAAAAAAAATTCTTGTTATATGTGTATTTTTTGTGGAGTTAGGTTATTGTCAGAGCAGAGTTTATGGGTTTATAATTTATCGACAATTTATGCGTAATTATTTTGACTCTATAAAGTTTTTTGTAGCTTTAGGACACTTTTCTATTGTTAAAATAGATTGGTAAATGAGTACTGGCAAAGACGCTAACGGTTATGTTGTACAGTATCTGCTACATTACAACATGAGGCTTATATTCAGGTGCGTCCTATATGTGGACTAAATCTATTTTCTTTTTTGTTTTTGTGTTGCTGCATGGCTGACATACAGATGCGCCTAATAGTCCAGAAATAATGGTATTTCAATTATAGGCGTTTAATATTAAAACTCGTCAACTGTGATAGATTCATTGACTTAAACACTAAGATTTATGCCCAGGAAAATCATGCTTCGATTCAGAATAGAGAACAACTTATTTCAATACAGTGCTTTGTTTTATTAGACATTTCAGTTGTTACAAAAAATGTACACTTATATTAAACACATTTGTTGTAATTACAGGAATGTATAAGATTTATTTCAAAAACTTCTGTTTCATGGTGCTTATTTAATATAGCGTAACAATAAAGTATTTCCAAAACCCAAACATCACTCTGGATAAACCTCTCGTGTAGGGCAACACAACCAACCGTACACAACCATTTAGTGGGGCAAACATTGTGCAATCGTGTGAAGAATTATTATTCACAAGCATCACTTTAGTGCTAGTCCAAAGCCTGGATAAAGATGCATCAGAGAGTGTAACTTGCATTAGACAAAACAATATTATTTCCCAAATGAATGCAAATTACTGATTGCTAATAATGGATAAGGGTCACAAAGGGGAAACAAGTTCTGTGCTCTTTGCGCTAGTCCCAAACCCAGATAAATAGACTGAGATGTACATTATGGAGATGTTTAAATACCAAAACGATGTGGGTAGTGTTTTTGTGATGCAGAATGAAACAAGGAAAGTTACTGTTGTATAAGTTTTGTGCTAAAATCCCTAGTGATGCATTTAGTGTAGCATCACGTGCATAATACTATACCCCTGTACGTTAGGAGGCAGATCTCTCGTTGTATCGGTAAATATTGCTATTCCAGCCACACGTATATAATGCATTTGTGCCAGTCCCAAGCTCGAATAACTTTATATTACTAGAAACTGTGATTCTCAAGGTCAACAATACATAGAAAATATGATGTGTATACAAAGACATTTTAGCATATCATAAATATCCTTTGCACTATCCGTCTAATTGTAAAACGTCTTTTGGTGAAAAAAAATCTTCAAGCACTTAGTGAAGACTAATTGCTTCGAACAGGTTCCTTCGATCTATAGCGGTTACACTGCCAAACATTTGCGTTCAATACTGCATCTGCTTCTACGGCCAAATCCATTCTCTCTGCCTGAAGGGGAGCGCGGTTTGGTTGGCACAAATCGTCCGCTCATTTAACGGACCATTAAGACTGGAAGCAGTGGATAAATGTCCCGAGTTAGAACCAGAGCAGCGCGATTGAGACGGGTTTTTTTTCCCCCCAGAGTTTACCGTTTCCGCGTTTTGTTGTGCTTAACCATTTTCTTCTTCTTTAGGATCATTTCGTAGAGTTTCTCCAGTCCCGGCTGCAGGCCCTGGCCGTCCACCGCGCTGCAGCCCTGTATGTGGTGCAAAGTGTACATGGTGAGCTCGTGAATCGCTAGCATTTTCTCCACCTCGCTCACGGACAACGCCGACTCCTGGTCCTGCTTGTTGGCCAGGACCAGCACCGGCACGCCCTGGTTCTCCGAGGTGCGCGTGATTTTGTGCAGTTCCACCCGGGCCTCCTCCATCCGCTCCAGCTCCGTCGAGTCCACTACGTACACGATCCCGTCCGTGCGTCTCGTGTAGGATTTCCACAAGGGGCGGAGCTTATCCTGACCCCCAACGTCCCAGACCTGGAAGTTGATGGCCCGCGACGCTCCCATGGCGACTTTGATTTTCTCTGTGTTGAAACCTTTCGTGGGGATTGTCTTCACGAACTCTTTCAGTTTCAGTCTGTACAGTAGCGATGTTTTTCCGGCAGAGTCCAGGCCGATCACGACTATATGCAGCGATTGGAAATTGGGTAAAAACGATGGCGTGCCCGGGGCGATGTCTGTCAGCTGGTTTCCCATTTTAGAAAATAAAATAAAATCCACTCCCAGAAGATTCCTGGATAGTCAAAGCACCGGCAGGATCAGATGGTCTGGACTCCTTCATTTAAAAACACACAAAAAACCACATTAAGTGAGTTAGCATTATCACACAATGGCTTCACACATTAATTTGGTGTGACAGCGAATACAAAGAGAGCACTGAGAAATTACAGATAGCTATGGGGGAATACTGACGAGGGTAGCAATTACCAACGCGCCTTTCGGGAAAATTAATGTTTACTTTGAGATAGCGGAACGCATTTAAATATAAGGGGATTCACAGCATTGTGTAAGATAGCAATTAAAGGTTCAGTGTGGCTGCTCGGGCTGTTTTTAGAGTGTGGATGCCAAATGCTAATCGCTTCTAAGCCATTTATAGATTATATTAAATATGTCTTATGAATTGTTTTTCTATTAGAAGCCGGTGACTTTATTTTTTTTTGCCTGATAAAAAAAAAAGAACACCGTAAGAACTACATGGACTCAACATTGAAGTAAAGAAGTATTAAATCATATCTTATGCTACTTTGTTCTGCTATTTTTTTTAGTAAAATTGCATTACATTACTAGATTGCATTTGATATGTGCAGTAACTTAAATGGGTAATGATACGTATATATGCTGTATTTTAAAGGTACATTACTCAAGCGGTCCATCTAACCAAAAGTTGATGACCTTCTTAGTTGACCTCGCATCAAAAATATGATATCACTCTTATCAGGTTATATAATTCTTTATAGTGGTCATTTTCTAAAACACATTATTGTAATTCAACATGTCAATAACCATGCAAATCTCTTCTAAAGAAATCTAACGACCTCAAATCTGGTAAATACAGAAAATGCTTTATGGTCTCTAGAGTTCCTATTATTAAACTCACAGCCGCAGGGGTCCTCTAAATATTGATTTATCTGGTTATACATTAAATGAGCCTTTAATTAAGAGTTAATATGGCCTAACACTGACCCAAACCAAGCCATCAACAACACACAAGCCAACTGCAGATTTAAAACCAAATTATAATATACATGTTTTTGGTAAATTATAATAATACTAATGTATGGAGATAGTATTTTGTACATGTGCAGTTAATTGGGAGTCCTGCTCTTGTTATCTGTCCGTATTTGGGCTCTTTAATCCTCTTATATGGTCTAAAGCTGCTGTCTGTGCAGTGCAGTGGCGTGTACTTCTCTATGCAGTAATATAATCCCACTGTTATTGTTATTGACTTCACGATGCCTTCTCTAAAGTACGCGCAGAACAACACGATTTTATTAGATTTAGTTACGAAAACATGGGAATAAAACATGTAAAATCAATGATGCAGCAGTCTTACCTCCAAAATGCGCTTTGCAAAACATTATCCACATGACATAAACGCGTCCATGGCTTCGTTTGTGGTTGGGAGTTTTGATATCGGCTCCTCTGCGTGTCTTGCGCTCAGATAGATGAGCGCTGAATGCGAAGAGACGAGAGAAAAGCATCCGAAAGGCGCACTGACGTAAGGATCAGCTGAGAGGCTTTGACGCGCCCCCTGCAGGCGGAGCGCGGCACTGCAGCACATCAAAAGGCAAACACACAACTACTGTATCATACCCATGGATCTATGTCTATCCATGTGCTGGGATCAAAGCGTGTGCGGGGAACATGTTTGAGCAGACAAGAATAGTACAAAGGAGGATATAAAAGTAGACTAAAAATACAGATATTTCAATTTGTATTAAACATGTTTTCACAAGCAATCACAGCCCCTTCATGGGATTATAGCCACAGTCTATACACGAGTGGCAAGTTTATTTGTATAGCACAATTCATACACAAGGCAACTCAAAGTGCTGAACAAAATAAGATAGCATTGCTGTTGTGGCTTGAGCTTGTGTCTCTCTGTGTTCTTTAAAAATGATCTGTGCTTCCCAAAGAGGGGGTCCACGCAGGGGGAAACGGGGTCCTTAGAGGCACTGGCTCCAAAGGTTGTCCACACAATTAGTAATTGAGAATTAAATCAAACATCTACTTTTTACAAATGAAATCATTCATGGTTATGTAATTTGTGTCTAAATATAAAAAAAAAATCATTATTAAAAATACAATATTTCATAACCCACTTCTGTCATTTAAAATTAAAATTCTAAACCGCAAACATTTAAGAATAACATAACTATTTCCAAACATTCACATTGAAATATTTACACTTGTATCCTTTAATATTTACAGTCAATGTTGTATCCGTATGTGGACCTAACAGACACTAGCTCCCCCCAGTGGCTGTTCACATAATTTTGCTCATCGTTGTCTGTGTTCATTTAAAGACGTTATGAATATATTATGCATATATCATACAATAAATATTCACACAACAAAAGGTTAGAATAATTTTTTTATTGCAAAAGTGCCTAATTTTCTCAGTGACATAAAGTGCAAACAGGAATGCAAGATGAAGGCAACTGAAAAAGGTCTGTACACAACAAACACGTGGAAGACCTCCAGTAAAGCAGACATCGTTTACGTTTCATTTCATGTAATATTGCACAGGTTTAGTGGAGAGAATAATAATAATTCCTCGGTAGTTGCAAAAAAAATGCATGTCAGAAAACCGTCATGCGCAGAATAATCGAAGTATGCAACAAATCAAGTTGAAATGAAAGCATAGAAGTCCTTCAAAGTCAAGTGCGCAATGGTACCTTTGGATTTTTTTCACATTGTCGACGCCGAGGCAGTGCACAAATCATACTTATCATACTGATGTAGTGACAGCAAACACATTTAGATTTCACATACAGTCGAAGTGGGGGTGGTGGAAGCGGCGCATTTGATGACGTTGTAGACGCTGATGGGATGAGGCACGGTGGAGTTGGCGCCGCAGTCCACGTACTCGTATGTCTCCAGAGAGAGCTGCTCGATGTGTGACAGATACGAGATCTTCAGGGTCATTCTGGAAACACACGCGACATCGTTCGAAAGACGGTAAAACGAAAATACGCCGTGGAATTAGTTACAGTGTTTTAAACCATTTGCACACGGCAACACAAACAGCATACACAAAAAAGTATTCTGTCATAGTAATCAAAGCATATTGTGAATAATTGTGTTGTATATATTTTTTGTCTCTTTGTGAGTAAGGATGTTACAGTTTACCTTCATTTCATTCATTAATCATTTGTGTGAACGGATGAAAATGAGCTCGTAACTATGTCTGCTCTGTGCAATACATTCATTGTGCCATGTCCCTGCCAATTGAATAATAACTAAAAGTGGACTGGATTTTGCTTCCAGACACTACAGTTATAACTTTTTATGCTTGAGAAGCCATTCTAGCTTGTATTTGTCTTGCTAATAAATACTATATCCTTAAATATAAATGCACATGTACTGATTATTACCACATTACCGTATTTACCATTTTGAGTCAATGTAAAAAGTTGAATATTTAAATCGATGCAACTTGTGTTTTCTTTGATAATGTTTCTTATTTGTAAAATTGAATCAAAGGGAAAAAAACACTATTATTGATGTTTTTTCTGACCATGGAAGTTTAAAATACTTTCATTTTACTGATATACTACTACCATAATAATAACACAAGGGTCATTTATTTCGTAAATTACAATGAAAAGGGTCTAAAAGCCACAGGTTAAAGCCCTATGCCAGAATAAAAGCAACATTTCCTCCAGTTTTGTACATAACTGAACGTTTACAGTGTTTGAGATAAATTGCCGTGTTGTGTGTTGAGTGTGTTGAGTGACAGCTGGACTCACTGCAGCGCTAGGAATATGGTGTGAATCCTGTAGCTGCTCCGGCAGAACGTGCTAAAGGACACAAAACAAAACAAAGGGTGTCGACACGGGAATAATGACTGACATTTGGAGGAGATTTGACCAATAATTCACTTACTTTAAGTCTTTGTCTTTGATGGACATGTGGGTCGTGATTTTGTACTGAAGAGAGACACAACAATATTAGGTTAATACAAACAAATAATCTCAAATCCTTTCAAACGGTTGTACTGAAATTGCATGACATTACTGTTGCAAATGAGTACTTAGTAATTACTCATACTTTTAAAATCAACACAACTTGAGCAGCTTGAAACATTTGACTTGTGTGCATTGTGTGTTTCTAACTTGTACTTCCTGGATATTGTGTACCTGTGTGTAAAGGAGCACAGATTTGAGCTGCAAGATTAATTACAATTGACTTTGCAAACAATACCCGTTGTTTTTATAGAGAAATCTCATATTGTAGCTCATTCCCTTTTGTTGCTGCAAACGTGATCTAAAATGGACTTGTCAGGACAATGACTTCCTGCGAGTGACTAAGTGTGTAGGCTTTTCAGATTCTGTCGTGCAATATACCAAAATGCTGATGTTGCTGGAGTGGTTTGACAACACCAAACACAACTATTTTGAAACACATACTGTATCATTGCAAAAGTAATCATAACCACAATATTAAACAGAAAATAAGCATTTCAATAATTTCACAAAATCTGGCATTCCTGCATCGTAAAAGTTTAAACAATCTGGGTTAGTACATCAATTGAAAGCCCCATTCAACTTCATTTGATGTATTTTGTATAGTACTCAATTACAACAGAAGTAATCTTCGAGGACTTTGCGAAATATTGAGAAATTTGCCAACAGCAGATTAGAGAATCTGTAATTGTCAAAGTAAGTAAGTGAGTAATCTTTATTTATGTACCGCCTTTTCACTGCAGATCTGAGTCTCAAAGCGGTTTACAATTGTTAATTGTGGGCATTTGACTCTCACTCCACACAGAGATGAGAGCGGGGCCCAGAACAGGAGGCGCATGCCAGACCTATTGTACATGTTTTTAGTGGTAGGGGAAACCGGAGTACCCCGAGGAAACCTACACAGACACGGGGAGAACATGCAAACTCCACTCAGAAAGGCCCTGGTCCAACCAGAACTCGAACCCTGCTGAGAGGCGAGAGTGCTACCCACTCAGCCACCGTGCCGCCCAAAGTATTGACTGCTTCAGCAATGAGTTGTGGATAACTGCTCAGTGATGGGATCTTACCCTTGTGTTTTAGTCCAGGTTTACTGTGTATGTGTGACATCACTGCATGTGTAATCAATATCATCATTATAGGGGCCATTGTCCATAGGGCAGCGGCACGAGTCCGTAAATATACATACATGATCACACATCAGGATATTACATTTGCTTAATTGATATTATAGAACTAAGAACTAATGTTCCTGGATCAGCGACATATCTGATGCCGGTATTTTTATTGCTGCATTCTTAACAATGTGTATAAAGTAATTAAATGGAATGTACTACATGTATATGTACTGCATAAATAGAAATAGGACAGTATTGGACTTTATCTGAACTTGGCTGGTTGGTCTAGCGCTTGGTTGGAATGAAATCCTGTGGCCGCACTGGCCCTTTGAGAACCTCTACTATTCTACGGCCTCCATTACAAGGTCCTCCTCCTCCTAACCAACAAGTCCCTCCATAACCTGGCTCCTTCTTACCTCACTGACCTCCTCCCTCATCACTGTCCCTCCCGCCGTCTCAGATCCACAGACTCCAACCTCCTCACTCCCATCAGGACTAAACACCGAATCTTGGGGGACCGAGCCTTTGCCGCAGCTGCCCCCACTCTCTGGAACTCACTGCCACAATCCATAAAGAAACTCCCACTCACTACAGAACTTCAAATCACTACTCAAAAACCCAACTATTTCAGCTTGCCTTATTTTTTGTCTATTTTTAGTTTGATGTGTTTTGTAAAGCTAGTATCAAAAAAAATTGCTATACGTTTGATAATAATGCAAATGACAACAGCTTTTTGAAATGTATTATTATTATTGTCATTTTTCTGTATACTCACTGATTTCTGTGACTGGGAGCTGATGAGGGAGACGTTGTTTAAGTTGGTGTTGCCCACAATGGTTTGCTGGATGAGGCCTGTGAGGTTGAGCTGCACGATGTTAACAGGCACATAGTTGGCATTGGAGATGTTGAAGACGTTCTGTGACAAAGCAAAACCGCGTTATAAAAGTCAAGGAAAAGGGTTTAACGCTCAAAGAACTTTGTCCTCTGCAGCAATGAAACCAGTGCAATCGTGTAAAGATACTGCTTTATTGGTGCATGACCCACTTTAGTCATGACAGTGGAAAAGTCTCAGTCAGTGTTTTTTAAAGCAAGGGTTGACAAACATATCTGGGCTTGTTCACACTAAAGGGTGCAAAAGTGTGACAAAAGGCCAACATTTGTTAAGATAATTTTTTTTGTTTTCATTTTTTCTGTCCATTAGTAGTTGCTAGAAGATAATTGTTTTTTACAATGGTCAGGTTTCCTCTAGCAGCTGTTTATTTGAGTAACGGACATGATGCCTTTGACGGAATGAGCTCTGGAAATGGTTAACATGGTTAATGGTCAGATGATTAAGAGATGTCTTTTTTTTTTTTTTTTTTTTTTTTTTACACAGTAGAGACAGAGACCTTTTATTTTCTATGTAACTGGCGTCACAGTAGAATGATCAAAATTGGTTGTTTAAAATTTCGTCAAAAATGTATTTGTCAATCTTTTCTTTTGATTTTGTCCACACTCATCTCTTCATTATGTCTGTGTGTGAGATATTTTCTCTAATCTAAAATAGTAATTTGAGTTTTTGAGTTATAACCTTTTAAAGTCCAGATACCATAATTGACACACCAATTTCCCAGTACTGCTTTACTTATTTGAACCAAAAAAAAAACAGCTGTTAAAAAACCAAATGTCATGGATTGTCTGACACATTTTATCAGAGCAAGCATTTTGAGCGACAGAAACATTTGCTTAACTCTTTTTTCCTGTCAAACATTATGAATAAGCAAAGTTTGCCAACAGGCAGATTTCTGTTTTTTTTACTTTTCATTTGCCAAAACAAACCTCTGTCTCTTTTGTCTCCAGTCTCAAACTCTTTTGGCTGTGAGGATTCCATACAATATTAAGTTTCTCTTTTAAAACAAAAGCATTTCCTCTATATCCGTTTCGGGAACCTCTCCAGCGGCATTTTTGTTCTTGCAACAGCGTGGATTAAACAGCAGCACGCAATGTTTGATGTTGATATCAAAATACCCGAATGACTTCCCAGCTACAGTATGTACAGCTCTTTCATTTTTGCAGAAATCACAGAGAACCGGCTCCATAAACAGACAAAAAAGCGACATCCACATCAACCATCATTCTAATCTCCAAGAAAATATATAGATATGCAACGATAATGGAGTATGAGATGACTAGAATGAGCAACACTGTCCTCTAGTGGCAGGAGTAGGAAATTATATTCTACTAGATTCAGATCTAAATTTACCAAGGTGCCCATCTAAAGACACAGTTGTATAGAACGTCATTTAGAAATAAAGTTTGTTTTGGAAATATACTAAGAATACTTTTGTTTTAGAATGCAGAAAGGTCGTAGCCATAGCACTAAGTATTGGCAGTAGGGTGGATGGCGCTAAAAGCAGCTCCAGGTTCGTCATTTATGAAGGAGCAATGCTGTAAACTCTTCAATAAAATGATTTTGCATGTGTCCAGTTTAACATGGACCGGGGCTCGCTCACTCACCGTGACGTCCATCTCCACGGTGTTGTTGGAGAAGAAGACTGTGACGGAGAGCAGGGACGCGGGGGTCAGCGTGACGCTCCGGGGAAAGAGGAAGAACAGAACCAAACAGCAAACAAACAGGCACAGAGCCGTGGATATACACACGTACAGCTTTCTGCAACAAACAAACAACAGAGATTATGGCACCGATAGAGTCGCATTAGAGAGGAGACGATGGAGAATATGTTGTTGTTTTAGTCACTTTTAGTCACTTTTAGTATATCGACTATTGGCTGTGATTTCCCATCCCACTAAGGACGAAATGTTGGTTCATCTGATCCCCCGACAAAAGGAAGCATTGGCGTTTAGTTTCCTGATACGATACATACCAGATACAGGACACTTTCATTATGATACAATATAATCTCGAGCGGTTCAGAAACAATCCAGTAAAAAAAGACACTTTTATGGTCAAGTTTGTGTGAAAAGGAATCTTCACACATCAACTTCTCCAAAAGAGAGAAGGAGGAGGGGGAGGGGTCAAAGTTACATCACAGAGTATTCCCGCGCACAGTCTGACTTGCGAATACTCTTTATTGGGACACATTCGGAATACTTTCTTTTATTGTGTATAAAAAACACATATCAGCAATGTTTCACAGCCGTTCATTCTAAAAAGTCAAAAATCAGTCAAATCAGTGTTTTTACTTTAGTGGAGAATATTATACGACCATAAAGCAGATTTTGAAGTTATCGAAACAGGCAAATGGAAGTGAAAGGATATTGTTTCGACTACAATAATAAACTAATTTGATTGAGATTAATGCAGCCCTGTCCTTTAAGCCACAAACAACACAATCATTTTCATACAACAAAACACAAAACATCTGTGTTTGAAAATGTCTTACGTGCGACTTGGTTTCAAGCGTTTATCGTTGCACATTATCACAGCAACCAGCTGGTCTTCTTGACCTAGAAACAATAAGAGGAGGAAATAAAGAAGTGCGAACAGAGAATGTCATTCTGAGTGACACAAATGCAGAAGCGAGAACATGAAATGGAAGACTTTGTATTTGAAGGGACTGACAGACTTTTGACTTGTTGGACGTTGATTTGATCTTAAAACAAGCTTTGCCAGTGGGAAAAGCAAACACTTTTTTCAACAGCAGTAATAGATTTGTTTTAAAAATGTGTTTGTTTGAAATTAGTTTGAAAACAGAGCTTTTAGAGAAATGAAAAGAGGGGACATGTTTTTGACAAGGGATCATGTTTAAACATGATTAAAAGAAGTTTAATTTCTCATAGTCTGGGCCCTGGTTTTCTGGTCCAGTCCTACGTTGATCTCAGTCTCACACTGGAGCAGAGAAAACAGTTGGTAACATGAGAAGCTGTGGACAGAGTGTGACCTCTGGGGATGCGGCCGGTGCCTCTGCAGGTGGGGCAGGGCTGCTCCATGGTTCCGTACGAGGGAGGATGCTGCATCAGACTTCGGACTCTATCCAGTGTTTCTCAAAGCGGGGTGCTGCACTACCGATGTAACCATTTCTGGACAAAAGAGAAGACAGCGTTCAGACTGAGCTACGTCTCTGGTATTAAAGTGTTATTTTCTGCAATCATAGCTGCTAAAATGGGTTGACTTCTGCTTTATCAGTTCAGAAAAGCCTAAACCACAAAATAGAAAGTAGGCAATTTGGATGTGCACATCAGACCTATCAAACTAGAATAGAGGACAGCACTGGAGCAGAGCCAACCACAAAGACCAAAGACATAAATGAGTTTTATATGTGCTGCTCTGAGTGCTGTATGAAACCACAGTCAATACAGCGTATGATAAAAGCTCATTAAACCGTTCTCACCAGTGCAGGGTGTCTCCTCTTTCAAACTCCACAAACTCACAGCAGCTTCTACACTTCTTCTTGTGTCTCAGTGTCAAAGAAAAAATTATATCTGTATTATTATTATTGGGGTTATCTGAGATTAGCCTGAAAGGTGTGTGTATGTGCAGGAGGCGGGACTTACATTTGTCCATCACCACACTACCATGTCTTATGCGTGAGATGTGGTTCTGGGCTTATAGCAAAAAACAAAAAAACTGAGCTTGATAAAAATATATATATATATACTAAAGTAACACACTTTCATGACAATAATACACAACTGCAATAATTGTATGGCTCATATTTTCTTATTTGAAAAAAAAAAAAAAACATACTACGAGGGCTTGCCCCACTTAGTCCCTGGATTTCAGTAACACACTTTTTAGATGAATCACTTTTACAGTTTGTTGGTTTTTATGATCAATACATTTACACTTGTTTAAGGAAGTGTGAACTGGACGAACACACACACTTTCTTCATTATGTGACTGCAGGCTTATGTGGTGGTGCAGCTGGAAGTTGCACTAATGAAGACAAATATGGCTTTTCTACAGTAGGAAGGCATTACAGTTAAGATAAGATAAGATAGGATAAGATAAACCTTTATTTAGTCTCACAGTGGAGAAATTTCAGTGTCATCGTTGCGCACATTACAGCAGAGAAAGGAAATAAGAGCACTCAGATTGTACACATCAAAGTCGATTATTTAAGATAATAGACAATAAACGAGGGGTGTTTACAATTCCTGGAAGTTAGAGCATTAATCTAAAGACTGATGTTGATTGGTTAAAATAACACTGTCAAATAATACAGAATATTCATAAGAGTCACCATAAGATTGACATATATTAACGTTACTAATATGCTTTTTGCAGTGTAAGAAGCTAAGACAATATGTACAGTTCAGATTCCAGAAAAAAAATAAGTTTCGTTTTTGTGCAGATTTCCAGCGCACATAAATGGTTCTTGGGTTGTTTGCGTCACAAATGCGTGAAAAAAAGCATTAGTCACTCACCTTTCCTCCCTTCCCTCTGAGTCCGCCACCTTTCCGTGCTGTGATGTCTGCGTCTGTTTCAGTAGAACATCATGTGGCGTCTGAGGAGAAATGCAAAGTGTTGTTGTCAGACTAAAGTATCGCGCACTTCCTCCTCTGAGCTGCGTGGGTTACGTACTGCGTGGGTTACGTGCTGCGTCACTCACGGTCACAGTCACAGAGCATGGTCAGAGTGCACAAATGCTGACACTACTGTATTGTATAGATTCAGATTCAGACTTGTTTTATTTGCCATTTGCAGTAAAACCACTTTGGAATGCATTTGCAAAAGTCCCCAGTGTGTCCCCAGTGTGCACACGACAGGTACATGAATAAAACAAGGTTAAAAGTACAGAAATAAAACAAACTAAGCAAGTTCAGGAACGACTAGGAATCTATTAATGTATTACATGAGACTTAGAAACCGAAGTGGAAAACCTCTGACAAACACAAATACACACACATTCATATTTTTACTGATTTAATTGTGCCATTAAAAGGACACACTTTTTTACTTACCCATCAGACCACAACATGTTGTCTTTATCTTAATAAACAAGCATGTTATGTTACATTTTGTATACTGCATGTCTCAGCTCTCAGCCCAAAGCCTCAAATCGGTGACTGTTTGACACTTTGGTGGTCCTCTCTTTTTCTGTCTGAAAAAACTATCTGAAGATGAGACAGACATGTTTTTGAGCCACTATTAGTTACATGAGACTTATGTTTAAGCAAACCAAAGAATAATTACAGACACACAAAAATACACACACATTTATATTTTTGCTGTTAACAAATTGTGCAATGTCATTAAAATGCCAATACATAGATCCACTGTTTGCTTTAATTATGTGGTTACAGTGACCTGCTAAAACTTCCTGGAACCCACTCAAACTTCCTGCAAACATATATGAAGATATAGCGTTTTGTATGGAAGCCCCAAATGTATGTCATTCAGTGTTTGGCATAGTTGCGATAAAACAATTAGGTTTTATTGAATTTGTTTGAGTAGTAGCAGTCTATGGGTTTCAGCTTTCAGACATAGGGTGTAACATTTTAAGGACATCAAAAGATTTAACATTTTGGGGAAGGGAAGAGTTGTTTTTTGCAATGGGAACAAAATATCCAACTCCAACGCCGTTTATTTTAATTCAATCTTATCTGTGTATAACTCACAAGAGCAGTCATCTTTACCAATGTGTCAATTCACCAACAACATATTTGAGAATCTGTTGGAGAATGTTTAAAAATGAACTTAAAAAGTTAGCCTAAACATATAGAACTACTATTATTGTGTGATCACGTTCTCTTTCAAACCTTCATCACCAACATAAATAGCTTCTTGAAAGAGAATGTGGTTCAGAACAGGTTCATAAAATGCGGTACGGCCGGTCTTTTAACCTATGTCCTTTTGTATATAGGCACAGTTATGTAAAAGCGGAAGCAAAGTGACAGAAATCATGTGCAAATAGTTTATTGGCCATTTCTTAAACAGCAAAATGGTATTCTTACGTTTACATCTGCAGAAGGCGACACACAAAGTAATGTATGCACTGTAAATTCAGAAGTCATTTGCAGAGAAGATGCTGCAACAGAAAGAGGAAAGACGACAACTCGATGCTTAAAATCACACGTCAAACAAACCGCAAAACCAAAAGGTGAGAAAAGAAACGTACAGAAATGATCTCAGTAAACTTTCAAAAGGCTTTACAGTAGTATGTACTTAGGGATAGCTTCACCATTGACTTAAGACTTATCAATAACAAAAAATGTCCTATTTAAAAAAAAGTTTACTGCCGTTCATAACAACCCACTCATGTTTAAATAATTCCTTTACCCCGGTTAATACAGATTTTCGCTAAAGTCTAAAATATGGCAAAACTGTCCCTTGGTTCTTTTAAGTCTTAGGAATGTAATGGTAGTTATAAGTTGCTTTGTATTGGAAAGATATGACCGAGCAGACTAGGACCATGACAAAAACCATGTGCACTAAATGCTAAAATGACCAGGGATACCGCTATAGCTTACATCGGTCATGGCTCGTGCAGGCGTATCCTAGAAAGCGGTAGAAAACCCAACAGTGATCCATTTTTGAATACATTCCACACGTCAACATCATAATAATAATAAACAGTACTCTCGATACAGGAAAAAAGATTGCATTGTTTAGGCAAAGTTTCACTACGATATATTCAAGAAATGTCTTAAATACGTCTATTACTGCACTGCTCGACTCTTGAAATTAAACTCGGCCCAGTAGCATCCACAAATATAGTCGTTTTTTGTTTTTTTAAATAACATTCAGAAATTATCGTCTTAGCGTTTCACCAGAGCCAGATGAAGCAGCTACAAGCCGTACACACACTATGAAGAAGCAGGTTACATACATTTGAGTCCGTCTTCAAAGCACGTAAAGCTCTATTTCCGCACGTACGACGACAGAAACTGAGTCTGCCGAGTGCCTCTGTCAGGGTCATTGCATTTATTTCACCTTTTCAAAAAAATAGTCTATTATTTCTTACTTTTGTGCCACTTCAAAGTTTGTTTCAAGTCTATATAATGATACAATATACTATGCATACACCAATCAGACACAATATTAAAACCACACATTTTTTTATACAGGCATTTAAAGCTGGGATACCTAATTTTATGTTTTCAGAAAAATTATTTGTAGAAGGAAAATGATGTGAAAAAATTCAAATCACAACATGCCGTCTACTCTTTGATTTAAAAAAATACATGTTACATACTTTTAATGCTTTTATGTGACTCACTATTGAAGGCTGAGAGCTGATTGGCCGAGTGAAGGTGGTCCACTCATTTTAACTTTTCTGTCTGAAAAAGCTGATCTACAGATGTTAAATGTATGCATGTAAAAACTAGTGATATAACCAAACTGTTTTGAGAGCGAGGAACTATTAAATTAATTTTATTTTATTTTTTTGTGATTTGAAACTTTCTCAGTTTTAACGTGAACCGAAAAAACAAAAACAAAAAAACGTTTCTACAGGTTTGTACCGTAACTCTTAATTTTTTTTATTCAACACAACCTAATTTATTGCCCCCACATGTGAAATTATCACCTACCAGCAGATTGAATAAATATTTTTTAACCAGCATAAAGAACCATCTGTTTTACCATTGTTGTTTTGGCCATAGTCTCACCATTTAAAACTATGGCATTTTTCATTATTGGTCCAAAAACCCTAAGACCTTTCAAGCGTAAGAGTAAGTTTAATTCAAAGTAATTCCATTTTATTTCACTGACTGAAGGAATACATATCCGTTTTATTGTAAAAAGGACAAAAATGAACTATAAACCAATTTAAAGACATAAAAAAATAGACAAACTCCAAAATCAGTAGCATCCGTCATTGTGGACCCAGCCTTTTCAGCAGCCCTAACTTTCAGTTGGCGTTCTCCACATCTCCCAGGTTCCTTTGGTCCCTTATACATTAGTAGCGCGTTTACAAATAAAATAAATAACCTCACAAGGCTTTCTCTCTCTCTCTCTCAGACCCATATAAATTAGACTCTCAAACATAGACACAGCATTTTTCCCTCTAACATTTGTGCAAACCAGGACCTAAAGGAAATCTGCCTTCTCTTTACCTCGTCTGTGGCTAAATATTATGTCTGATTGGTCTAAACAACAAAAGCTCCTTAAAGGGCAAGACTAATCTACTCTTTGTTCCATAAAAATAACATAATTCAACATGTTTCTTTGTAGTTTTGAAAGGCCATAACTCTTATTGGTGGCTGTCCGCGGCTTCGTTTTGGCTCTCCTCGGCCATTTGCACCAGTTCGTTGACGGTGTGTAGCAGACTGTATCCGTGTTTCCTCAACAGGCGCTGGTTCAGACGGTGATCTCTGAATCCCATTTCCAGCAGCATGGCCATCATCGAAGGGTCCTGTCGTGTGGCGGGGTCAATGCCACGCTGAAAACAAACAACTCAATAAATATATATATAGCACTTATCCGCTTATCAGGTGCTACTTTTATCAACTGCATCGAAGCACGCGGCTTATATAGCAAAGAGTCTAATGGAAGGATGCTAAAAAGAGAGCTCAGTCAAGACCGTTTTTCAGTCTGAGATGTCGGCCCTTGAACTAGTCTGGTGAACTAAAGTGGCCCTCTTGCTAAAAGGTTTGGACACCCCTAGTTTAGGCGCTGATTTTTATTTGGCTGTATCTGTTTTTGTAGTTACCATGGCAACCGGCACAAGCAGGGTGTTGAAAATGCAGGGTAAAATGCTGGACTTCCATTCATTGCCGACATGGAAGCGAACAGCTAATGTAAGCAGCATGCTCAGGTTCTACAAGAATCTTGGTATTTCGTCTCCAGCAGAGGGAAATACTCACTTTACGAACACGAATTTAAATAAACAGTCAGATTAAATGTTGGGTTAAAGTAAGGTTCAGGATTAGGCTTGCCTCCTGCAGGACGAAATACAAAAGACTTAATTTTTTTGTGAGCCCTGCTAATTAAATGTTGGTGTCTTCAGAAGATCTCGTGCCATTTTGGTTTTGTGTAAATAAAAGCTTAAATTAAACTGCAGCCTATTAATGTACAAATCCTAATTTCATTTTTAAATTTATGAAGTAGGATAGGTGTATAGAGAAGGTGTTTGGCACAAAAGTGAATTGGATTGAAAGGTGTGAATGGCTTAAATGCAACAGATGTGAATGTGAAATATGATCATGATGCATAATTCAAAATGTGCTACTTCCCAAAAGATATTTTTATTCCAGAACGGACATCTGCTATTGATGACGACAACAACAGATGTCAATTCTGGTAAATGTAACACCAATCAATCAAAAATGTTAAGTGTTCTGCAATTTTTTTGAGACTATTTAATGGATTATATCATGTTTTAGAATGTGAAATAATATCTTCAGTTGATAACAAATGATGAAACAAGGGTAAAGAAATGCTTGCTGCCTGTAACTCCCTCTGCTACCACCAGAGGGAGGGAGTGAATTACCAGCTGCAAACACAGCCATGCGAATGAGAAATTAGCAACACTTAACCCTCTATGCCCATGGTTCATTTTGGGGAACTTTCCTCGCCTGGTTTTCTTTGTGTATAATTGTTCATAAAACAGTCATCTTTTGATGCAGAGTTAAGCAGTATACTTTGTTTTTTTCAGTACAACCTGGGGTTTTAGAATATTCATATTGTAAATCTGTCATATGAATTATATAAAAATTGTGGAATCATGAAGACAAAGAAAAAAATCAAACGGAAAATCAATTTAACAAAAATGTATTGAAAAAACACAATGAAATGCTATAAACAACTTTTTACACTGCATAGAAATGTTATTTATGGACTTGGGGATAATGGGGAAAAAAATTGAATCTCTAACTATTATACTTTTTACAAAATTCCACTATAAAAGCAAAAAACTCTGTACTCCTGATGCCCTTCCTGAAGCAGTTTGTCTATAATGCTGGGGTTGCTTCTGTAGTACAGCTGTAAAAAACGTAAAACATAAGAAACTGAGCCAAAAAAAAAAAAAATACATCAATTATTTATATAATACTTATATTTATATACATCATATACACATAATGTAATTTTACTGTATTTATTATCGTCTTTATCAATAATGCGCACTCTTCAGCCGGTTATTGCAATCGCAGCTGTAGTTTCAACTGTGGGACAACAAGTACAGACAGAGGAGTGAGAGATCTCACTCTCTGACGATCTTTGGCAGTCCCCGTGTGTTTGTATCTCACAGCTGTTTGTACCTCACGGGTCACGCTTTGGACACGGACTTTCAGACAAACGTAGTTTATTCTACGTGCATCGCACAGACAAATCAAAACTAGTTTCGGAAAGCCCTGAATACGTACTTCACAGAGGAAAAAAAAGTAAGTTGCTACGTTTTACCGTTCGCGAGTAAATTGATCATTTGTAAAACATGTGCGCGTGCATCGGTGCCGATGCACGCGGGCATATAGGGTTAAAACCAATATTGTTATGTTAAAAGGGGGAAAACTGCTCTGAGCGTGATGTCAAAGTGGTACAACATCATAATATAACAGGACTGACACCGCAGATTATAGACAGAAGGGGCAGAGTTATGTTTGTTCCAGACCGTCCTGATATTAGTGTGGATTTGTGAAATATGTCTTTTTTTGTTACCTTAGAGCAGACGTTCCAGAATAGTGTATGAAATAGATATGAGATAATAGAATTGAATCCTTTCAAAATGCTAATTTTTGTTATGTTCTCCTATCTACAGGGACGGTTCAGCCACAATAGAAAAGCGTGCGTTAGTGGTGAAAGTGGTGGATGTTACCTGTATGGTGCAGTTTGGTCCAGTGAATAGGGCTTTATAAGCAGAAGCAGCCACAGACAGAGCCCCCTTCACCAGTCCCTCTGTGATACCAACTTGTCCCCTACTGTAAAGGGAACAGTATTCAGAAAGCTACTCAACCGCTAAAGCTAATAAAATTATGTGAGTGAGTGAAATAGTGTATAGATGTATCCTTCTATGCTAAAGTCAGTGTGTGTAGATGTGTGTGTGTGCTGTACCTAGGCAGCAGTGCGTTGCTGGGTCTGGGGTTGTACGTCTCGAAGGCACTGGAAGCGGAGCCAGCTGATCTCGACAAACCAGATGAAACTATAGAGAACAAAACAAAATACATCTCACTTTACAGCAACAAAACTGAACTATGGTCAATCTGTTCACAATAACAGCTTCAGGCTTCTAATCAATCAAATCTAAATCAAATTACATAAGTTAAGTTGTTTAAATTAGAAGTACCATTGAGGTGGACTCTTGGTTGAGGTTCATATGGCTCACAAGCTGGTGGACTGGGGTCCTCAGCTAAATACAGTGCCTCTGACCTGCAAACAGACACATGGCACTTCTATCAATATCAAAATAACTGGCAAAAACAATCACACATTCACCCACAAGCTTTTAAAACTTCTCATCATAATTTTGGTCTGAAGTTTTACCAAAATAATAAAGACTTGAGTTGGGCCTCGTGCTTATGGAGCCTTGTGACAATTATATCCTTTGTTGGATTATTTTTTATCACATTTGAATGAGATATCTGTCAGGAGGTAGGCCAGATGCCTTTGAATTATCCTCATAAGGGGACTTATACATGGTTTCCCAACCTGTGGTATGTGAGCATGCAACAGACAGTACCTAAATTTGAGGTTTCTATTCTATTTTTTTATATTTAAGAAATAAATGCATAATTGACCATTTGCAGCCTGATGTCTGCCAATTTTAGTGTGAAAGATGAACCGTTTTGGATAGTGCAATGTCGTGATTGTGTTTCTTGCCAATTATCTTATTAAGAGATCCTTTATTTGTCCCACAGTGGGGAAATTTCGGGAAATTTTTATATTTGAATTAAGTAGCTTGAGAATATTCTTAAAACCAACCTTTCCCACTAGAAACCCAACTACAACTACTTTTCTGTGATAAATATGAGTTATCACAGGGAAAAAATGCCACAGCTCTCAAAATATGGCTAAAGCTGCCCCTAATTCAAGCAATTATTGACTTGCTGTTTTGTCAACAGTACTCTTGGCGGAGCAGACCTTGGCGAGTAGAGGGTCGGCGGGGGGAGCAGGGGGTCCGCTCGTGCCGGCGGCGGGACCACTTCAGGCGTGAGAGTGACAGCGTCCAGAGTCTGAGAGGCGCACAGCATCTGGTTGACGCTGCTGTGGACGGGGGGACAGGGCGCGGGGGGCTCCTCTGTTGCCCCGCCGGCCTCAGTCCCCCCCGCCTCGGTCAGAGAAGCCGCCCTGCTCAGTTTGGAGGCGGGCTCTTCCTTGCGCTCGTCCTGCTCCGAGTCCAGATTGGCTGTGGTGTCGTTGGGGGCTGTGGTCTCGCTGGGCGCGGGCGTTTCGTTGGGAGCTGTTGTATGGGTGGGTGAAGGTGGATCGTTGGCTGGTGTTGCGTCGCTGGGTGCTGCTGTGTCGGGCTGGGACAGGGCGGAGCTGTACATGGACGCTCCCAGAGGCCGGCTGGTGTCGAAGCAGTCCGGGAGAACGATGATGTAGTCGTCGCAAGAAGAGACTGAGGAGGTCTGGCTGCTGACCTGTGGAAAGGGAACTTCATTGTAAATGGTTCGTCCACAGGTTTTTGTCGCACAGTCATTTTTGTGTAAGCGATAGAAATAATGAAACAAGTGTATCTGCCGGTTACCTCATCCCAGTCTTCAGCCCCGTTCGCCTGTTCGTCCTTCTCCTCTTCATTCGTTTCAGTGCCGTTCAGAACAACAGCCTCCTCATCTTTCTCATTGTGCAAAGAAGCAATTTTCATTTCCGGTTCTAACAAAAGAACTGCACACAAGATTAAAATAAGAAAAGATAAGATAAGACTTTATAGATCTCACACTGGAGAAATTTACATCAAAATCAAACTAAAACAAAACCCCCAATATAGAGACTATAGTATAAAAGAGATTAAGATATTACCTGCCGTAGTGTCATCGACTTGTGTGACAGATATATTCGGAGGTGGAGCTAGACTCTCAACTCTTGCGGTGATCATTTCTTTAGCGGTCACTTCAACATTTGTAATTTTGTCGAGGCATATTCCAAGTCCTCGGGAAACCACTGAAATTAATTATTGAATTAATTACAACTATTACTATATTAGATACATTTTTCAGTTGAATAGAATAAATGAGCTTTACATTGTGGTTTGAGGCAGTTGTTAAGAGCCCTGCGCATCGGTCTGTGGTCTGGTGGCTCCTCCAGAGTCAGTGACCGAATAATAGTTTCACACAAAAACTGTGCACCGCTGAACTCCTCTTCTCTCTCCTCCTCTTGTGTCACAGACTCCAACATTTCCCTGTGAGGCTTTGACTTTGCCCCTTTAGAAATTATTCAGAAACATTATAGTGTAAATCGCTGTAAAATGTTTCAATCTGGGACTTATGTCGTACGCACCAAAAAGCTTTCTGACCCCTGTGTCCTCAGCATCGTATTTTGTGTCTGATTTATTATGTGAAGGTGTGGCCTTTTCCAGCACAGGTATGTCGTGTGGCAAAGGGGAGATGCATGGAGTCAAGTCTGAGGCATCAGAAATAACGGTACATAATACATACATCATTGGGGAAAATCACACAAAGTGCAACATATTTAATAGCTTACCAACAGGAGTATTATTGGGCACTTTTTCCAACTCTTGAACAATATTTATATCCAGCAGCTCAAAAGAGAGTAAATCCTAAAAAGGCAAAAGCATATTAGGACAGCCGAAGTCAATATTTCACTGTTGGTTTTGAGTGGCGTGACAGGACACCTGGGCAGTGAGCAGGTCCACTGAAGGGAAGTACAGGTCATCGTGGCTGATGTCCAAAGCCAGGACTGGACCAGTATCTTTCGGTCTTACCTCCTTTTCCACACACTTAATGTCGTCTTTCTGAAGGGAAACACATATTAATCCAGCAGTGTACCATTGTATACTACAGAATAGAATGGTAGTGTAAACTTGCCATTGTTTTCTTTTGAAGAGCAGGGTCAGTGCGACTGTCGCCTGGATCGACCACAATGCTGCACCAGACGCGTGGGCCAAACTGGCAGCCGCAGTGAGCGAGGCGCCAGTGGGACGTGTAGGTCCCCTCCATGACAGGAGCCACAAATGACACACTGACCACACCCACTTGTCCGGGCAGCAGTAAGGGCACTGGCACCTCCCTCTTCTCCTCTGACGCCAGGCCAAGGTTTCCCCACATGAACACTAGCTGTGTGCAGCCACACATACACAAAACACAAAATAGGAATACACATGCGAAAAGGAACTGAGACAGGAGCATGCAACTAAGGCCACACAATAACGAAAAGTCAAAGGTTTAAGTGAGGAAAGCTCAGACTAAAAGAGAAAACTTCAAACTAAATAACAGACAAAGAAATAATAATAATAATAATAAGACATTACTTAAAAGGGAAAGTAAAAAAACTCACACAGGGTAGGAGGGGTAAAGGGTCTTAGCTCAGTATTAGCTGCACTTGTTAAAAGGAGGGATTGAGTTTTGGGGCGCAGAGTGAAGCAGGGCACAGAGAGAGTGGGTCTGTCCTCTCGACGGTGGAGGTACCTTAGTCTCTGAGGTCCAGCCGACTGTGCCCGAGTTCTTCATCTTCCAGTATTTGATGAACTTGGTACCAGGCTCCAGACGGGTGCCGTCAGGCAGATTTTCATCCAGAAACAAGGCAGCCATTGTTGGCACCAAGGACGTGTGCGAGACCCCAGGACCCCTAGTTTCAAGTGTACAGAGCATTGTTGAAAATAGCCCTGGTTCCTTTAAATACCCATCTCTTTTGTTCTCTATGAATCAAAAAAGCAGGACCCCAGATTTTTGCAGCTCAAAAGCATTTTTCTTAGAAAATCTATGAAGCAGCAGCAGCAGTTTTCACATTGAGGTAGTTCCAACATTTCCACCACCCCAGATCAGCCAGCGAAACACTCATACAGACTAGATTACAAAGATGGCATATTTTTGATTTTCTTGGAAAAAAAGATTTTTGCATCCATGCTGGGTTTAGGTACCCAGCATTGAAGGACGCCCCTTCCAAGTTGGAGCTTACTCTGGACTGGAGGTCTGGGGATCAGGGCCCAGGGCAGAGATGGGGCCCTGGGCAGGGCCTGGGCCTGGACCTGAGGCAGTCTCCGTGGCGACACTGGGGGGCGCGGCGGGAGCCTGGGTGGAGGTGGATGCCACGTTTGTCAGGTTGGCTCTGGCTGAGGTAGAGGGCCCACTCCACTGCAGTCCTCTCTTCTCCAGACGCAGCTTCTTCTTGATTTCCTTCACTTCAGCTCTGAGCTGTCTCCTTTCTGCTTTGAGGCGCTGTCGCTCGGCCTTGCGCACTGTCCTGTCTCCTCGCCTTGGGAACCTGGTTTGAAATGTTATCAGGAAGACCTATTTGTTCACTATGGACAGATACTTGACGCAGAAAAAGACAACATAATCAATATGTAGAAGAATAAAATCTACCAGTAGCAAAACGTGTTTGTTGACTGAGCAAAAGGATTATAGATATTTGTCTCTACCTTAATTCTCCAGCCGGCCCATGCTCAGGGATTGAAAGAGGTGTCTTTGTTCTTATGAGGTTGTGGCTGGGGTCATGGCTATGTCTGCACATCTCACACAGTATGCAGGATGGACATACACCGGAGCAGAGATCATTTAGTGAGTGAAAACACTGGAGATTTGAGATGAGTCAATGTTATGATGAACATGGATGTACCTGCATTTGTACGCCCCATCAGAGGTGAGTTTGTTGCAGCTGCTGCAGTTTGGGGTGTAACCCAGAGACTCATTTGAGGTGGATGGCCCTACGCTTGGGCCTGGAGGAGCACCACCACTTGCACCGTTGACCTCAAGGCCTCTGTCTGAAGACTTGTGTGTGCAACACTGACCAGAGAAATCACTACACATCCTCTCCACCACTTCTTTCACAACTTCATCTTTAAACTGTGCACACAATATACAGATAATAAAGCTCCTTTCAAAGAAAAACATGTTCTACAAAATTAAAATAAAAACGTACCTTCTCCATATAAGATCTAAACCATACAGGAGGTGGCTCATCTTCTGGTTTGTTTATTTTGCTGTCTTTCACTGCAGCCTGAAGCAAGACCAAAAGAATCCCCAGTTCAATACACATCCAATTTACACATTTGACAGACATTTGAAAAAAAAACTTACAGGCTCTTTCTCTGGAGTTACTTGAGTGCCTTTGTCGACTGTCTTCACCCTGGATGGATACGGAGGAGCAGGCCGTAGGTCTCCTTTAAGTTCCTTCACCTCAGTCTTCAATGGGCCACAAGCTTGTCCCTTCATTTTGTACACATTCATGTGTAACTGGTTTCCCTGCTTCTCTGCACTCTGTGAGACACAAACATGTGAATATGCTACAATTTATACTACGGATAAGTTTGAGTGTCATTAAGGGGATTTACCTTAATAGCTTCTTCATATTCATCTATAAACAAAACAGTATAGTATGAATATATTGTTGAGAGTAAGTCCTGATATAATTTAGTAATACAGTATTATAAATAGTAGTTTTTACTACAACAACTGACGCTCTTAAAGTGAATATCTTACCTTGGCTATTTATACAGATCTGAAAAAGAAACAAAAACAAATATGTTAAGTGGAATTCAAATGAAAGAAAAGGCAATTCTGAAATGTAGGTAGGGATTGAGTGATATTAATTGGTTTGGAGATGTAGTCAAAATTTTACACGTTTGCACTTTCACTAATCAAACTAAATCTGATGTATACAGATAACGGGGGTACATAATTCTTACCTCTTCGTTGTCCTCATCAAAATATTTAACTTGAAAATGGTTGATCCCAAATGACGCCTTTATCTGAAATGAAAACAATATTAGATCACGCCTTTGTATAACAATGTTTTGATACAACAGCACATAAAATTCCTTTCTACAAACGTGTTCACTGTTGTGTTTCGCGTTGGTCTCGACAGCCTACGAAATAATGTTGCAAAACGACGATAATGGATCAGTTCGCCAAATGATTGAAGGCAATGTGTAATTTACAGAGAGAGACTCGAATTAAACTAAATCAGAAATGTTCAGATGACGGTTTGTGTACGAGTCTAGGCCGTGTCTGGGCCTACTGCTTTTCGCCAAACTGCGCCAGCTTTTAGCCAGCACGCTTGTAGCTGCTTACCCAGGTTTCCACTGATTCCCACTCCAGTTTATCCACATCTTGAGCCAGAAAACGCTTGACATTGCCCCTGAAGTTGACTTTAATCGTAACAGGGAGCCCCATCTCGGCCTTTATGGGGATTTCGTCGCTAACATTGGAGTGACACTGGTTCCTTCTGCTCCCTGTTGTTTACATCGTCAGCTGCGTCGAGGGGAAAAATATCAGTGACGTTTCGCGCACGCGCAGTAAAACAAACGGAGCGGCGCGTTTTTAGTGCGTCATCATCAAGCTCCCAAGTGTGGCTGGCTGTAGACAACCGACAAGCCACACGTTTTCGACTTGAATTAAAGTTTTTTAGGAACTATCTAATATTATTTCACCCCGTACGATGTCTTCGCTCCTTAAGGTGGACAATGAACTTAAAACTAAGGTACTTGAATACAAAACAGGCGGATATTCCAGGCTACTTCACGCGTGGTTGGTAGTTCTGTGCTAATTGTTTGCCAGATTTTAGCGTGATACCGGCTAATAGAAAACGAAGGCTAGCTGGCGCATTCCCCGCCTGTGACTTTACGTTTGTCAATCATCGTTAACTTTCATTTGATGGGCCCAAAGAAGTCTGGGTCTGGAGATGGGTTTCACCACGGAACCATACGTGCCAAAGCCGGGGACACTAAAATGGCAGACCACATGTGCAAAAACAGAGGCCCAAAGTTGCATGTAGCCAATGTTATGTTATGTTATGCGTCATAACAACATAGCGGTGTGGGTGATTAGTTGTGCAGGAGATTGTTGACTTTATGTGAATCGACATCGGAAAATGATGGTTCTATTATAATCCTATGTTACACATGTTTGCAGCAAGTTGTGCAGCTCGTTAGCAAAAACAATAAAATGTGTGAAATGAGATAAAATGACCTAAGCTGCCATGTTGCCTCTTGTAAAAAGTTGGTTGTTTTAATGAGTGTATTTCACATTCGAAACTCACGGACTGATGTACTTTACAATTTGTTATGACTCGAGTTTAAGGTTTTGTCCTGACAATTTATTTTGTTTTTTTCCCAGGTTGATTGTTTTAGGGAACGTATCACATCAGAGGTAATCAATCATTTTTATCTTAAATGTTTTAGACTGAAAAACAGTAAATATAAAATCTATGCATTTGTCTCTCTACAGGCAGAGGATCTAGTGGCAAACTTTTTCCCCAAGAAATTACTTGAGCTGGATCACTTCTTAAAGGTATATAATAGTCATTGCAACTGTTTTATCATAGTGGTCAATCATAACGGTGGTCATACCTGCTCGTCAAATGCCCAACGAGTGCAACGTCTGGTTAATACTTTCATATAATGCAGCTAAAATGTACCATGGTCTTCCTGAAATTGTGAGGCAAGTTTCTACTTGGACAATGTTTTAAGCCAGGTTAAAACAGTTATTTTTAGCTGTGCATGGTGGATCTGAAACGTATAATTTTAGGTGAATGCAGTTCACATTGCTTAGTATGGATCTGGTGAATTCGAGACTGGTCAGTGGTGTCAATGTGATTGGCAAACTTCCTTCCATTACCCCAGGGCAGCTGTGGCTATAGTAATAGTTCCACAGAGTATGGAGTTAATCATGTTTTTGAACACTCATTGTTATATAACCAATACTTTATGCCCATTCATTTACCATTACCTGATTTCAGGATCCCATCATCAACATCGCAGAACTTAAGGAGATTCATGCCGAAATAAATATCACAGTGCCAGATCCAATATTGTTGCCAAACCTCCATGATGGCCTTGATGCAGTAAGGGTCTATATTCTTTGATGAAAATTGGTTGAGAAAAATCCATGTCACATAGGTTTTTTTTTTCTCACAGCAAAATGCAAAAAAGCGAAAACTGGAGGATGGAGCGGATGACATGAGTGAGTGCTCTCATTGTGATAAACGTTCATGTAATGTGGTAAACAAAGCTTTTTGATGCAAGCAATAGATTAGCTGTAGCTGTTCAGTATCAGTTATTCACGTCTGAATTTGTTCTGATGGTCTTTCAGAGACTGGCACCAAGGTCTTTGTTATGCCTGGTGGCATGATGAAGAGCAACTCCATCCTTGTTGATTTAATAGAGAAAGTCAAACCAGAAATCAGGACACTCATTGAAAAATGCAACACAGTAAGTCTATGCCAATTTACTCTTTGCATCATGTTGATGTTATGCATTTATAACAAATCAATCTCCTTGTTCAGGTCAAAATGTGGGTTCAGCTTCTCATACCAAGGATAGAAGATGGCAACAACTTTGGAGTGTCAATCCAGGAGGAGACGGTAGCTGAACTCAGAACAGTCGAAGGGGAAGCAGCATCCTTCCTCGACCAAATATCAAGGTGTCTGATCACATTTCTGTTTATACAGATCTCTCCGGATAACAGGATTTTTACAATGTTTTATTGTTATTTTTCAGATATTACATCACAAGGGCAAAGCTGGTTTCCAAAATAGCAAAATATCCTCACGTCGTGAGTATAGATAAAAGTTGTTTACATATTGTATTCATGCATTCATGTACAACAGCACCATCTAGTGCTCATTGGTTAAAACAGGTGTGAAGGCGATTGGTATGGACAGTAAAACAAAGTATGCATTTGTGTTTTCAGGAGGACTACAGACGCACAGTGACTGAAGTTGATGAGAAGGAATACATCAGTCTGAAGATAATCGTTTCAGAGCTCAGAAACCAATATGTAAGTCGTTGGATGCAAATATTCCCAACTGCACCACAGGTTTTTCATTCATTTAATTGGATTTTTTTCCTAGGTAACGTTACACGACATGATTCTGAAGAACATTGAGAAGATCAAAAGGCCTCGGAGCAGCAACACTGATGCATTGTACTAATGTTGATCCAGTCATGCTCCGGACAGCCTCCTGCATTTCCCATCATGCCTCTGGAGCTACTGTCAGCTGCTTGCTCATGGCCCTGGTCTCCACCTGGACCTCAGTACAATCAGCACTTCCAATGCTGTCGAAAACGGACCCATAACTCGTTTGTTTTGTTTTAAATGTAAAATATGTTTCTTTTAAGCCCCCTTAAAGACATAATTATCCTCTCATAAAACAGAGAGGTTAGGTCATAGAAACTATATGTACCATGTATTTTTTAATTTTAATTAAAAAGTTGTCCTCAACCTTTTGTTGGTCTATTTGAAGTATTTAAAGACAAATTTTGTTTATTCATGTCAAGCAATGTATGACGTTTTTATTGCAATGTTTTCCATTGAGCGAAGGCTTCTGCGTAAAATATTTCAAATGTGAACGTTTGGTCTGAATACTTTCTGCTTGTAAACCAACTACATCACAAATGGGTTCCTGGTCATTTACTTGGCTGCTAGTTTATATATATATATATATATATATATACATACAGAAAAATATTTTCTATATTCAAGTCCTTTCCTCAGTTTAAGGCCCATTTGAGCCAACACTGAAAGCACACGTGTATCAGAACACTGGCTCACCTTTGGCCTCAGCAGACGGTGGGACAGGAGCATGTTTGGGTTAATATTTAAAGGGTGTTCCCTCTCCACCATCAGTCCGGGGATTTCGCAGAATCTCAAAGGACACAAGTTCTATTAATAGGTTTAGACTGATATTTTAGAGTTTGAAACTAGTTCAAATGGATTGAAAGTGCAAAGGACACATGGACCTTGAATATTTATTAATTTATTTAGCACGTTTTGGGCACTTTACATGGCACTCCATATACTGATAGTGGAATGCTGTGGCACAGCTGCCCTAGGCAACTAGTCTATGGGTCAGACTCATACTATGCTGGTTGGCACTATAGAGCCACCCGACTGTCACTTTTGTTCACAGAAGTCTCCCATCACAGTACTGATCAGGCCCTGTGCTGCTTAGCTTTTGAGATGTAACAGGATCAGGTTTTCACATGTAGGGGACAACGGAGGGCAAGTAGCATGATGCTACATCTGGAGGAGCCATCTTTTTAATGTAACTACACACTGTCTCCTAAATGAACAAACTTCTGTTGATATTTTGGCCCAGTCTGAGCAAATGACTCAGGACTAGTTCTGTCTCCTCAGGGGCGCAGCTCCCCTCCTGAGTGTTAATGGACTTGTGAATCAAATGTCTAAAAACTCCCTTTTCATGACATAGACATGTTCACTGTGCACTAAGAAATGTAATCTCATACACAATTAAAAATGTATTTTGTTTTATTTCATGGGATTATGTAAATCTACAATTCAAACTCACTTTGATACAAAAAATCTGTAAAAATATTTACCGATACTTGCCGCCTTTTTCTTCTGTAAAAATCTTGCCCAGTGCCCAAGGAACTAATGAGGTAGGAATAAAAATCGCTAAAGTGCTTTTTCCAAATGACAGGAAATAGAAGCTGGTGTGGTTTTCAGGTGAAAATGTCCATCCATCCACAACATAAAGCAGAGCCAGAGAGACTGCGGTGCAGCTGCTCCTGAAGCCATAACTCCTCTGTTTAGTGTTTTTGTACAGGGGCGAGTGGAGACCCAGGCCCAGGCCGGACAGGGTCCCCATGTTGCGCAGCAGGCTGGCGAAGGGGGCAGTGTCCAGGTGAACCCACTCTGGATGGATGCACCACTTCTGGGCCTTCTCCATGGTCCAGAGGAGGTCCACGCCCACTGCTCTGAGCAGCAGGTAGAAGGCCACAGCGAAGGAGGTGAGGAAGAGGGTGATGAAGAAGTATTTGTTTAAACTAGCGCTGTAGATCCACCTGAACTGAGAGACCACTTCAGCAACGAGGATCCCTGCACATATCAGTGAACATGAATTATAAATAGGGTTGCACAGGGAAAAATGTTGTATTTATTTCAACTGTTTCAAAAGGAATCACTGAAGAAGTAGGAAAGCAAGTGATGCCTTTGCCACAGAGCATGATGGGAGAGAGGTGTAGGGTCAGAGGGTGCTGGGGCCTGTGTCTAGTCTGAGTGAACCAGTTTGTGTTTGTGTATCTTTTCTCAGACCATCGGTGTTAATGTCATGTATGGCATTTCCGTATGGTTCTTTTTTGCTCAATTGGTGAACTGTATTGATGTTATTTTTTTATGTTGTGTTGTTTTGTCTGATGTCTTTAATGCGTGAGAGGGAATAGGAAAACTAAACACATCTGCTTCATCCAACCACTTCTTCACGTCAGAAGATACTGTATGTGAAAAAGGGTTTGCGTTGAGCAGGTTTGGCAAAATGGTGTGTGTTATTCTGACTGTTCAGTTTTCAATTATAAATAATCTTAAACGGTAACTGTGCCACGGACCTGTGAGGACACCAGCGATGACTTGATGAGGGAAATGTGCAGCCATGTAAACTCGAGACATGCAGACGATCAGCAGGACGGCGGCCATCACAGAAGTCAGCAGCACCTGGAGGAACCTGACAAACAGCTGTTACACGACAAGGGGAGACTGTTGCTGCAGAATGAGCTTTAGTTCATCTTTACTTGTACAGCAGCGCTGGACACTGTTTCTCTGTTGCCATGGAGAGCAGAGCTGTGACCATCACGTACCAGACTCCAGCCGCTCCCATAGCGTGACCTGAGGGGCTTCCTGCAGACCAAACAAGTGTCCATTCTGTGCCATAGGTGTGTGTGTGTGTATAGGCACGATTACACAAAAATATGTGTATGGGCGGCACCGTGGCTGAGTGGATAGCACTATGTAGGTTTCCTCCGGGTGCTCCAGTTTTCCCTACCATCTCTGTGTAGATTGAGAGATGAGTGCCCACAATTGTAAAGTAATTTGTGACTCTGGTCTGTGAAAGGCACTATATGAATAAAGATTACTTACCTACTTACTTTCTTTCTTACTTACTTACTTACTTATACAGTACATATATTCAGAAAAGCTTTAAGTTAAGTCTCCAGCAGAATAGAATGCGTCTATAGAAGTGTGTTTTAGTTGAATATTTATAGATGCCAGTATAACTCAATGGAAAAGAATTATTTGATAGCGATTAGATTTACAAACCTGCCATATTATTCTCATGTCCAAAAGTCCTTACTACTGCCTAATATAGAAAGGAATTCTAGATGCCTTTATAATCAAATATTTAGACCATAGTGGATAATATTCTGACAAAGAGGACACAAAGCTCAAAGTTTTGGTTTCATGTGAAATGTTCGAGGAATCACAGAGAAATTAGCTCTAGATTAAGACTAGAAATCTCACTTTTGACCGTTACCTTAGTTACCAGTAGAGATCTCTCAGCTGTCCTGCACCACAGCTTTTTAACCATAGGCTCTTTGGAATATTGTGATGTCACATGAACCCACCCTATTTGGACTGTTTCAGATTGTTTTGACCTAGTTTATGGTGAATGTTTCATTACTAGACCAACACAAACTGGTGCAAAGTTCAATGTTAAAATTAAGTAGAAAAAATTGTAAAGTTGCCCCATCACAGGTTCGTTATTGTTATACATCTAATTTTAGTGCTTAGAAAATCTGTGTGTGAGAAGAACAACTATACAGACCGATATCAAATCATTAGAATAAGACAGTTTTATGTTATGTCAGACAAAAGTATAAATATGTAACTTTTAAACATGTTTTTCATATTGCTGATGGGAAGAGCAAATGTAAACATAAAGTCAGAGCAGTGTTGTACCTGGTCCAGTCTCACACGTGATGGGAAACTGCTGCAGAGACGGAGCCGGGCCTGAGCCATAGAAGCCAGTCTCGTGGACCCACCAGTACGGACGCTCTCCAAACAGCACCCTGATGCGACATCACACACACGCTTTACCAGGGGAAGACATTCACCTGCATTTCTCATTTTTGCGGACAGCACCTGAGCTTAAGTAAAGGAAAATCTGCCTAATTCAAATTAACTACTTTGTCCTGATTCATGAAATTGGGTTGATGTGTAGGAAGATTTTAATGTATTTATTTAATTGAATATTTATGTATATATTCTTTATTATTATTATAATTATTATTATTATTATTTTTCAGGCAAACACAACACAGGAGCATCTCAGTTGCTATTGTCATAAAAAACCATATCTATAACATAATTTAAAACAAGGGAAGTGGGAAGAAGAGAATTTACTTAATCCCACCCCATTTTGCATTTACACATTAGCTTCTCTGCTAATGCAAACAAAAACAAAAAAATACCCAGAAAGCAAGGATCGATACATACAAGATAATTAAGGAAAATCCTGGCAGGGGTATGCGCTCTATAAGTGCTCCCATAGGACTACAAAGTATATACCTGGAGCTGTATGTGTCTTTGTCATGGCAGATAATTGATAATTGCCTATAAGTTCACAAAAGTATGCTCAGCTTTAGTAAAGTGCACAGATGGCCATTTCACTTTTGTGACATAATTTTTTGCATGTTTTAAACCCTAACGCAGGCCTGTCTTTGTCAAACGTTACCATTTCAGAACCAGGTTGAGCCAGTCTCCGACCACAGCCACCCAGATGAGGCGGATGGCCACGTCCCGTCGCAGGTGAAACCAAAATGGGAAAAATAAGAAAAAGGTCATGTGCAGATCTGCCACGGACGAGGCCAGACCAAACAGTCCTTCATAGCTGCGATACTTGTTTTGCAGATTCACAGAAAGCTCGACCCCCCAGCTGTGCAGAAGGTCCATGGTTCCAGATGTGAAAACCCAGAGCGTGTCCTGTGTGAATGTGGAGCAGCTTTGTTGGTCCTGTCATATGCTGCGATCCCTGTTGGACTTTAATCAAGGTTAGCACACTGTGTTTGTCTTTGGGGGCAGACAAAGGGCCGTAATCTCTGACCTTAACATCCTAAAGTTCAGACAAAAGATGGAACTTCTTCGAGAATGCTCTGCTCCGTCAAACCCTGCAGACCGATCGATACGGAATTTAGATTAGATGAAATAAAGCTTGTAGTTTTGTGCTGGACAAGAATGTGTGTCAGGTCCAGAGAACAAACTATGAGACCTGGCATTACACAGTACGTGCAGGGGCCCGCAGTAGGCAGGGCCCCGCAGCAGGGAGGCCCCCACAGCAGGGAGGGCCCCAGGCTTTGGTTCAGCCTGAGTCATTAGAGCAGGCATGTCCAAACTCAGGCCCGGGGTCCAATTGCGGCCCTCAGTGTCAATGTATGTGGCCCTCTACCTTGCTCACTGTGTCATCCATCCAACTTCAGCTCAGCCAATGCATATGTTGTACCTTGTTCTAAAGCCCAGTATGGAATTCAGTCGTTGACTTCATGTATACATCCTGTACTGACCTGGTTGTATTGTGTCACTTCCGTTAATGGTGCTACTGTAGATGGTGAGATAGTAAACATTTGTCATTCAGCCAACTTCAGCTCAGATCATTTTATAGCTCAGAACAGCCCGATGCCATTAGTCTTGGTGACGATCTAGCAGGACACTTGACATTCAATTACATTTACGGACATTGGTCATCTGCCCCTAATGGATCAATGTGGGTTTTTATCATTTCATTTTGGGTGTTTGAACTCTTTGATTTTCTGATCTGTGTTGGCGAATCGATGGCTTTTTAACCCTTTAACATTCACTCCTCGAAGAAAGCGATGTCATTTTTTCTTTTTGTTGGATTTTCTAAGATGTAGGAGCACCAATAACAGAAATAATTAGAATATTTTTTATGTTTCTTTTTAATTATAGGCCTATACCGAAAGACTGAGATGCAGTTTGATGGGAAAAGTGCCTAAAACCAAGTTAGATGCCCAAAGAGGTACATATCAGTTCCAAGCTTCAAGTAGTTATAGAGATCGAGGAAACCATTAAAGGGTTAAAGTCCTCCGAGATAAATACGGTTGTGATTTAGGGCTATACAAAAATAAATGGAATTGATTACATGGTGACCTCAGCTTTTGTTTTGTTTCATTATGACATGTGTTTTAAGCGTTTTGTGTGTGTACATTAAACCCCTCAGGGCCGCGTTGTGTATTATCTGTTCCTCAATCATAAAGTACATCCTCTTTACAGTCCCGGATGTAAAAGGAACAGCTGTAAACTCATCGACAGACTTCCACTGTTCCATGTTTATCTGGGCTCTTTTGCTGTCGTCTCTGTTCACACATGTAATCATTGATTCTCTTATGTAACTGTAACTGTAACTGTAACTGTAACTGTAACTGTGTGCTGCCTGTTCAACTCACACAGAAGCAGATCCCCCGGGTTTTGGATGAAGGAGAGACGCTCAAACTACTTTTTAACTATGACCTCGCTGTGTGCTCAAAGTCAAAATCTGAAGGAAAGTGTGTCCTTGGTATTTGAATCATGCTTGACTCATGTGTGGACCTGTCAGGAACCATGTGGACCATTGGACCATGTGTATATTCAGTCTGTGGTTCTGTGACGACGGAGCTGGAGGAGTCGACCTCTTTTGCGTGTTTTGGGTTGAGTCATGATCTCAGCTTTGTTCTACCAAAGAGTAAACAAAACCGTTATTTGACAAGGCCTTCTGGAGAGAAACATTTTACAGGAAAAATTTGACAGAGAAAATGTAAAGTGAGGGAGGAACAAGTGGAATGCTCCCACTGATGTCTGCTATTGTTCTGTCCCTGGGCAAGACACTTAACCCCACTCTGCCTGATGCCCCCCCTGAAAGATTAAGGCTGTGTCTGCGTTGAAGGAACAGCCATCATCCTGTGAACCCACCGCCTGCAGGAGGATCAGGGAGGGACTGGTGCTCTGTGAAGTGGGTGGCTGCTCTGATTGCCACCCCCCTGACCCAGAAATGGATTATAGGGGGGGGGGAAATGAATGAATGTCATTTCTGTCATTTTTTGTCATTTTTTGTCATTTTTGTCTTTTTTGATACATTTTTTGTCATTATTAGTTTTGTTTTTTTCGTTTAAAAAAATATTTTCTGCCCGGATGAATGCCTGAGTAGTCGAAACGCGTTGGTGTCCCGTGAATAAAATAAAGGATTTTTACTTTAAAGTGAGTGCCTCGGACATTCTTGACAAATACATGCCTTGTTTTAATGTTTTAAAAACTTCTATTTGAAAATTAGTCAATATTTGGGACCAAATTGTGATTTTTCTTTTGTTTTCTCCAGACCACCCAGCCCTAAGCCCATCATCTCCCTTTATGTGTGAATATACAGTATATGTTTCTGACTGTGATGAATCCCAAAGCAAATACTTATCTTGTTTTTCATAAATGTTTTGCTTTTGGTTAGAAGGTTGTAAATGATGAACGTTCAAGCAACACAAACACTAACTTGCAGCCTGAAAATACACCCTATGTATTCTTATTCAAACCAAAAAACCCACACAAAAAATAATATTTCAGAACTCCAAATACTAGGACTAACCTCAGGCCCAGTTTCACATCAATCCTCCACAAACCCCGGCCCCCTCCTCTCCCGTAGCTTCCCTCACTCTTATCACGTGAACACAATCTCTCTGCTTTTATCTCACAATGTCCACATTTCTTTCTTACGCTGTGTGACGTCAAACAATTCCCTTGCTTTTCCCAACACATGTACAACACGCTGTTTGTCTGCCGGACGTCCCCCGGCTGACTCCCTGGGTGTTTTATTAATGTCCAATGTCCAAAGGTCACGGTGAGCATGCGTTTAGGTGGTGGGCCTCTGCTGTATAAAAACAAGCTCCGGTGTGACGGACAGGGCCAGTCGATTTCACGCCTCAATTCTACCAGTTTCACCTGTTTGCACGTCTTTGGTTCAGTTCAGGGATGGATGCATTGCAAGGTTTCGGGGTCACCAGCACCCACTATCTGCAGACCAACTACAAAGACGCTCAGGGTTTGTTTCTGTGGGTCTCCTGGGCGGCAGATTTGAGAAACACATTTTTTATTTTCTTTCCTCTTTGGATTCACATGCGAGCTTCTGTCGGTATTAAGCTCATCTGGGTGGCGGTGATAGGAGACTGGTTGAATTTAGTGTTTAAATGGTGAGATACTGACCCATAGAGTATACATTATGCAAGAATATTTAGAATTGTTTTGAATCAAATGTTTTTTTTGTGTGTGCAGGATTTTGTTTGGGGAGCGGCCGTACTGGTGGGTGCATGAGGCGTCCTATTATGATAACGGCGTCCGGCCTCACATCGAGCAGTATCCCATGACCTGTGAGACCGGCCCAGGTGAGGCTCAAGTGCTACTGTATGGTCTGGACTAAAGCTGGACTAGACTAGACAGGGATCTACAGTATACCAGGACCAACCAGGACAAAAGCATTTCATGAAACAGGCTGGGGAAACAGTACTTGAACTATTTGTTTTGTTTGTTTTTGACATTGGAGTTTACTATAAGTGACAATGGAAGCTGGATGCATTCTCCTTTGATCAGTATATTGACCAATATTTATACAATTTAGATTTACAGCTATTTATTTGCTTGATATTGAAGATGGTAAGACTGATTCGTACTATTCATTCATTTTAAAAGATGTGATAATTATTCATAAGAAAGAAGTATAAGATTTAAGTTGTTTTTTTGGCAAAATTGTGTACAAAAACTAACACAATCCTTTAAGTTATGAAGAGAACCTTAATATTTTGTTGTCAATTATAGTTGAATAGAAAGAAATCACACCTGCTCTAATATTTAGATACATACAAATGAAATATAAATATGTAGCTAGTAACGCTGAGGCAACAACTGGACTTTACTCTTGCATCTACAACTATTGCCACTGCCCTAATCACACAATTTCGTACAAAGTCGTACACTACACACACGCCGACGTCAAAGACACTTATGCAAGGATATTTTGTTGACCTTAAATTCCTTGTTTTTCTCGCAGGCAGTCCGTCAGGCCACGCCATGGGAGCCGCCGGAGTCTACTACACTCTGGTCACCTCCATCCTGGCCCTTCTCAGCACCAAGAAGAAGATGGGGATGAAGAAACCCTCCCAAAAAGACTGGTACAGGACAAGTCCCTAAAACTTTATGATGTGGTATTGATCTTGGCCTGCTGTCCTGTTTACGCCCGGTATCTCTGCAGACACACTATCTTTTCCCTGTATATGGTCGATCATTGACCTGGAGCTTAGGAAGAAAGTTGCATTCACGTGTTGTTCTTCTGTACCTGCAGTGGGGTAATAGTCCTGTTGCTATAGTTACTGTCATAAAAGCTATAGGGGACATCATTTTGTGCAAAACAGACTTATACATGATTTTAAATGTGTTGTAATGGTTTTCCCAGAGACATACATGTTTCCTGCGTTCAAGAGGCCATTGCTCAGACAATCCCCATTTTCACCACCATTCTTTACTGTTTTTAGTTTGATTTTTCTTTTATAACCGGTGATGCATGGCAGCGTTGTGCAGGCATTTTGGCTCGCTGCTGTGATTTTCTGCTGCTGGTGCTTTTTGCGTTAATTAAAGCTGGGGTTCCTAACTTTTGTTGCATATATAATACATGTTGTTTGCCCTAACATACAGAGGGAAAACGAAGCGAAGTCATCAGGCCTGTCCTCATTGTCCTAGAAGTTACAGTTGTTAGGACAGAACCCTGGGAGTCACTGTTTGACTTTTTCTGTCTGAAAAAGCTGTCACGGAAGGTAGAACCAAATTGAAGTAGTTGATGGATTTTATTACATGGTTAAATATTTTTGGGTTTTGAAAGTGAGGTATCCGAGATTGAAGTCATCAATATTAAGAGATTAAAATATTTAAAATATTCAAGTGAAACAAAAGTGATTATTGAGAGGCATAGGTTATTTATAGCCGACACTTTTAATCTTGTAAGCACCATACTGAGCGTGTTGTCTCCTCTGGCAGGTATCTGAAGGTGACTCTGTGGAGCGTCTTCTGGGGCGTGCAGCTGGGCGTGTGTCTGTCCAGAGTCTTCATCGCGGCACACTTCCCTCATCAGGTCATCGCCGGCGTCATCACAGGTCAGCGTCTTCAGCAGCAGTGCACAAAAAACCTCAAAACTGCAGAATACAATTGGCAGGTTCCTTTTGTCAATTGTTCAGACATTACGTGTTTGAGATAGTAGTGGCGGTAAGGATGGTCCGGATTGGTTCAGGGTTAAGGTTATGGACGACTACTTTGAGACAAAAATACAGACAATGTTCAAAATTGACCCAAAAAATGACAACTTTTTATTTCATAAGTGTGCAACATCAGTCAGTTTTGTGCTAAAGTCACAGAAATATTTAAATTAACATACACTTTTATTTAAAAATAAAAGTATATGTTTATTTTATATATACCGTTTTATATACTGTTTTGAGAGCGAGGAACTAGATGGATTTTAATACGTAGTTTGATTTTTGTGGTTTGAAAGTTATCTAACCCAGCTTTAATATTTATAAATGAGCATTTTGTTACCATTTAAAGTAGGGTTGCACAGTGGTTGGACTAGAAGTTTAAAAAAGTAAAATGAAGAATCTGCACTAATGTGACTATAATAATAATACAATAATAATAATAATAATGATAATGATAATAATAATAATGATAATAATGATAATAATGATACTAATGATGATAATGATAATAATAATAATAATAACGATAATGAGGATAATAATAATAATAATAATAATAATAATGATAATAATGATACTAATGATGATAATGATAATAATAATAATAATAACGATGATAATAATAATAATAATAATAATGATAATGATAATAATAATAATGATGATAATAATAATAATAATAATAATAATGATAACTAATAATAAATAATAATAATAATAATAATAATAATAATAACGATGAGGATAATAATAATAATAATAATAATAACGATGAGGATAATAATAATAATAATAATAATAATAATAATAACGATGAGGATAATAATAATAATAATAATAATAATAATAATAACGATGAGGATAATAATAATAACAATAATAATAATAATAATAATAATAGTAACAATGATAATAATAATAATAATAATAATAATAATAATAATAATGATAAAGATAAAGATAATGATAATAATAATTTTCTGGATGCAGGTATGATCGTGGCTGAGGCCTTCAACCGCACACAGTGGATCTACAGCGCCAGTATGCGGCAGTACTTCTTCATCACCCTCTTCCTCACCTCCTTCGCCGTGGTCTTCTACCTGCTGCTCAAGGCCGTGGGCGTGGACCTCCTCTGGACCATAGAGAAGGCCCAGACTTGGTGCGTGCGTCCGGAGTGGGTTCACCTGGACTCCACCCCCTTCGCCAGCCTGCTGCGCAACATGGGGACCCTGTTCGGCCTGGGCTTGGGTCTCCACTCGCCCCTGTACACCGAGGCGAAGAAAAGCAACAGCACAGGACAGAAAATAGCGTGCATCGTGAGTTCTTTGGTCTTGCTCCATCTTTTCGACTCGTTCAAACCGCCCACTCACACCGCGGCGCTCTACTACCTTCTGTCCTTCTGCAAGAGCGCCACCGTCCCGCTGGTCACGGTCAGCATCGTGCCCTATGTTGTGAGGGGGGCGCTGAATTTCGGGGGCAAGAAGAAGCTCTGAGATGTGATTTTAACCGGATTTCACGTCTGGAACTACAGGACTAAGACGAGAGAGAACTATGTTGAATGTGAATGCTGCAACAATGAAATCATTTGAGGACTTTTGAGGACTAAAAAACAGATCATATCGTTTAAAATACTTGTTGCTTGAATTCTGTGAATTAAAGCACTGTGCAGTAATTACCAAATCGTGAAATGACACTATAGCAATTCAACGGCGAACCTTTTTATGCCATATCCATAAATACAGTCAGGCACACCCAGACGACAACACAAGGTTTTGTTTCCCACCCAGCTGTAGTAGTTGTGTGAAGCCATATATTGTCTAATACATTTTTTTTCAATGTCAAAATTGTAACAACTGATCTGAGCTGCTCTGGAGAAATCTCAAATGTGGAGTTCATGCAAGGCAGCTCAGGAATTTACCAGAGTTCCATCAGAGAGAAAGGAAAAAGAACCTTATCCACAACTACCACAGAAGAGTCCAAGCGGTCGAGAAAATACTTCTGATCAGGGTCAGAAGAAGAAATTATGATACTATATTATAATTTGGCATTGATTTGACAATAAATGGCTTCACACAACTGCTAACAATGAGCAAAAAAATGTTTTTATCATTAATAATTATTGTCATTATCGTTCGTAATCTCCAAAATATGGTACACTTTTTTTTTCTTCTTGGGTGTGAAAACATTCAAACACAACTGTATGTACACAGAGTAATATATTTTAAGTGCTGTGTTTTAAATGTTTTTTTTTTTTTCTTAAATAAAAGTATAAAAATAAATCTATTTTATTTCTTGTTTTGCATTTCACCAAATATAATATACATCAGAAAAATGCATGGGTCCATTTTTCTGACCAAAAAGACAAATGCAAAGAACAATGTCTTAAATTACTGCTGCTTTTCTAAACTGGAGACTTTTATTAAGAATTCTGTGGTTGAGTGAAAGAGCTTCTGACATCTCACACAAGAAACAAGTGAGGTAGAACTAATACAACAACATACTGTATATATATAGTTCCATATATCACAAAATCATGCATTATGTGTTTTTACAGCAGCGACAGTGGGTTCAGATGGAAGACCAGACTTTCCTAGACCATAGTTCTCCTTCTAAACTCAGATATCTGCGTCTCCATCCTGCACCACTTTTGAAAACTTTAATTCAGATATTTTTGTTTTCACCACAACCATAAAATAACTGTGTCTCATATTCATAATTATGTCCCTGTTCATAATCTCACAGGGATTGTCTTGTGTGGACCTTCCCTTCTTCACTCCGCGATAAGCAGTATCTGAAAGAGTTTATCTTTGATGAAACATTAGCCGAGTGTTAATGCTGAATTATGTAACGCCGTGTGCCCAGTAAGAGAGCACAACACACTCTATTCTGAGAGATGGCACCTCTAAAAATAGCGTTCTATTGTTTAACAGCGTTTTAGTTTGGCCCTCAGTTAAGCCATGTTATAACAATGGCAGTATTATAAGTAAGTAATGTTTATGTCGGTGGGTGCAAAAGGGTTGGTGGGTTTTAAATACGTTTTTTAGGACCTTTTATGCATGTGGTGTGTTTTTAGTATGTTTGAATGACTTGCACCTCCCGAAACCCCCCGGCTCCCCTATGGGACACAGGTCTAGACAAAGCCCCAGTTTTGAATCCCTTTTTCTAGATTCAAGATTCAAGAATTTATTTGCCATTTGCCGTAAAACCACATTGGAATAACTGTGCAAGACTCCCCCAGTGTGCACCGGACAAAGAAGTTAGCACACACCCGAGCTCTTGCTTTTTAGCATTGGTTTTCATAACTTTTATTTGCTTTTTATGGATTTTTGGATGGATTATTTGACCCTGTTTTTATTCTCTGGCTTTAAATTCAGCGGTCTTTTTGAAACCGGGTCAAATAACTGTTTTCCACTTGTGATAGTTATTTATTTATATAACCAAAGCGCTTTACAAAGTTCAGAGATCACATATTTTTCTATTCTCTCCACACTCAACAATGACGGAAGCGAGACGCGATCCAAGCCCACGACCAACACCATCCACTCACTCGCTCACTCATCACATTTAGAAAATCGGAGCCCCCGGACACTACTCATTGTGTGTCCGCATTGTGTGTCCGCATGAGGCAGACCCAGGACATGTGTCGCACGTGGCGATCTGGTGACCTTCTAATCTGAGGCCAGCGGTGACGTCGAGCCTCATGGCGTCACAGAGGGATGAGGGGCCGAGAGGTGATGGTGAAACTGATGAACTTTGCCCGTCACAGATGCACATGACTGCTGCTGCTGCTGTTTGACGAGGAGCGGTTAAGATTGAGATCCTTTATTCGTCCCACAATGGCATGAACAATAGGCATGAGGAGAACAGAGCACAAGATAAACGAATAATAATGCATCGGTTTTATATAGCGCTTTCTGGACACTCAAAGACGCTTCACATGTCATTATTCATTCACTCCATACACGGTGGTGATAAACTACTACTGTAGCCACAGCTGCCCTGGGGCACACTGACAGAAGCGAGGCAACCAGTATGTGCCATCGGCCCCTCCCACCACCACCAACCATTCATACACACACCAGACTCATTCTAGGCAATGGGGGTGAAGTGTCTTGCCTAAGGACAAAACGGCAGTTTGGCACTTTACAGCCGCAGCCGCCCCACTGGCATCAGGTGTTCCCAGAGGTTAAGTGTCTTGCCAAGGACACAACGACAGCAGACATCAGTGGGAGTCGATGGTGGACTCAAACCCACAACCCTCTACCTCAAAGGCCAATGCTCTACCAACTGAGCTACTGTCGCCCCGAAACAATAACTCTGTACTAAATGAAATAAAATGCAATCTCTAACTCTAGCAATAAAAGAATCTGTTTACAATCTCGATCTTTAGCATAATAAGGAGAGAAGTCTTGAAAATCTCCAAATTTAGCATAATGAACGATCAAGATTAAAGAACAAATCCAAATAGCAAGTATAAAAGCTTGTATGTTCTACTGCAAGTGATACTAGTATATCGTTGTCTGTAAACAGTTACAGGGAAAACATTTGAAGGACGAAGAAACTGCCACTATCATTCAAATCTGGGGAAAGATCAGAGGCCTGTGTGAAAAAAACCCTGGAGTGAATGTATAGTCGGAAACAAGTTGCTGTATGTATTTGTTATATAGATTATAAATTGGATTACGGAGGAATTGCACAGGCCCTATATCTTATTCAGAGTTGGAAAATGTTTTCTATGAAGTTCTCAGAGAGCAGCCAAAACAACACAAGGTGAGCTGTTACAATTTCGGTTTATACATACAGTATGTAAAAGGAATAGAGTTTAGTAACAGAGTGAGACTGAAATCAGCTTTAAAAACTATTCAGTAATGCATTCTGGTACATGGTCCAATCAGAGTACTGCATTGTAAATACTTGGGATAATTTAACACTAATCTGCATAAAATTATAACGAACTGCTATTTGTTATGGTAAAAGGTTAACATACATCTCTAATAGTGACATTTTCAATTGTGTAATATTCTGATGAAATTACATGATCAAATTCTACTTTGTATTTCTTCAGTTTTTGAAAAGTAAACATGTGACAGTAAATAGTCCAAAAAATACTCAACTAGCCTCAACTATCATAAATAATTAGTACAAGATAAAATGTTATGGATCCACATTTGATACGAAGGATAAAAGTACTCAGGTCACTTTTGTCCGTTTTGTGATTTTCTCTGTAGTGATACTTGCTCAATTGTATATGTCTAGTCTCAGTGCTAGTTGTAATATGGATAGCTGATTTACAAAACTTTTGACAGCTCCAAACTCCACACACAAACCCACTTAGAGCTGATAAATCTGCCCAAAATAAGACACCACACTGATACACTTTTAATTTTAAACACAATTTATTTTCTGCTTAAATAATTCATTTGTTCATCCAGTGTAGGCTATGTCCATACAGAGTTGTATCAGGATTTTCTGGTTGACAGTGGATGCGTCGGTGCTTTTGTATGAAAAAAGACAAAGACACGCAAACGTACACAAGAACAGAACATCTGATCTTTAACAATACTGTCGATTTTAGGTAAAAAGAACTATGTTGATCCTAATGGCGTCAAAAACAAGACATTCTGCTCTTGTGTGGCGATACAACCAATTAAATAAGATAAAAAATTATCAAACCGTTCAAATAAAAAGTCCCCTTTATAAAACACAGCAGAGCTAATAGTATGAATGGGCGTACAGACTACTCGGTGCAGCTAGCATTGTAAAGTTCTCTACAGTCATTGGTATTGGTGAGTAATCAGAAACTGTTATCTAGCACTTGTGGAAGCATTCGAAAGGGGGGCGAGAGAGTGCGTAAAAAACTCAATTAAAACAGGCGCGGATGGTTAGATTATTTACTATGAGTGTCCACGCCAAAAGTACCATTGGTAATAGTAGGAGTACAGTGCTTTTCGTATTAGCAGGAAAAATAGAGGAGTTCAAATAAAGTGGCGTCACATGCAGCAAAATGTTAGCTTCTCTGAGTCAAAAAAACCCGAAAGAAAATGTTTGCGGACTATACCGACTGGATAAGAGAAGTATCCGAGTGGCTAATCGTCAAGCAGATCCTCGCCCGTGTACGTGTAGTATTCGGAAGAGCGACGTCGGAGAGAGAAACGCTCCAGACAAAAAAGTGCTTGTCCAATCAAAAGGCTCTGATTCGGCAAAGCTTTCCCTTCACTCATCAGTGCATAAACTCTATGGATTTTTGTACAGTGTCAGTTATATACATTGAAATCACCCCTTCGCTGCTCTATAATTCTTTTTTTTTAATCACGAGAGCCGCCTGATAACCATATAAGGCAAGCGTCTACCAGGAAGTCCTTTTCTCGAGCTCTAAAATTTCAAAAACGTGTGTTGTCTCAGTGGCGCCATCTTTGGTCACACTCGGTCCCTGTGGTTGCGGTCGATTTTTTTCACGTCGTTCCAGCCGTGAAAGTGGTGACATGCTCATGCTGAAATCAAATGGAAGAGAGGAGGCTTGCTTGGCTGCGTCTTGCTGTAAACCCATGCGTAAGTTTAGAAAAGTGAAAGAAGATTGGTGTTGTTTTGGTGCTGTCGGACGTGGCTCCCTGTGCAGATGTTTCCAGTTTGAGAAGTTTCCCTCCAGGTGCATGGTGGACGACTGTGATCTGGACATGAACAGAAAATCTATCAACAATATAGTAATAATAAAGCAAATATATGTTACCGCTTGTAGAAATCACAGTATTTAACACAAGATACATTATAGACTTTGCCTATGGGCTTTCTCTATGTAATTTTGTTTTATGTTTGGTTCAAATAAAACAGAAATCATTATAATGTGGTGTTGGATGAGAATAAATCATGTTTTGAAGTGATAAAATAACGTTATGCTAATAGTTAATTAATTTAGTGAAGCTAAGAATGCTATGGTATTGTCAACAATTCTTCAAAATAATAGAAAGGACAGAGAAGTGTTGTCTTTTCTGTTGTCTCCAGCCATAAGTGATGTCATAAATCTGGGATACCTCACTTTCAAACGACAAGCAACGATGGAACTAGTTTTAAACAATGTATACAATCCATCAAACTAGTTCCTTGCTCTAAAACAGTTTGGGTCTATCCCTAGTTTTTTTACATGCATGTTTTTTTTCTCTTCTGTCCATCCTTAGATAGTAAGTAAGTAAGTAAGTAAGTAAGTAAGCTGATCTAAATCCTTAGATCAGCTTGTTCAGACAGAAACGTGAAAAAAAGAGAGAATCAGCCCTCACTCAGCCAATCAGCTCTCAGCCAAAAGCGTCCAATTGTGACTCACAGGGATCTTTCTTACAAGAGTGCAAAAGATTAAGAAAGCATGTTGTTCATGATATTTAACTTGAGCAACAAACAATATTTATTATTTAAGGAAAGAATTTGCGGTATTTTCTAACCAACACTAATTCCGCTGACGATGTATGTATTGAGGCTGAATCTGCTGAGCTGCAAAAGTGAGTTCATAAATAAATTGTGTTTAAAGCTGCACTAACTGACTTTATTTTTTTATTCATTACGAAAGTGCTATCCATGTCCATGCAGCGCATTGGGATATACGTCCTTTTGAAGAAAAAGTAGCGCAGGTTTGTGCTGCCGTGACATTATATTTTGGATCGAGTTTTGATGAAACAAAGAAGAGAATGTGTTTCGGGTCGCAGATTGTGACCAATCACAGCGGACCACTAGCCCCCACTTTCGTGAGAAATCTACAGGTCTGTTAGCATAGACAGCTGAGTTAGCACAACAAGTGGCGGAGCTAACCTGAAGCTTTGTGTGTCTTCGTCACCGGTTACTGCTTACACAACGAGACAGCCATCCAAAAGAAAGTCTCGTTCCTCCGCGCTTCCCGGTTCTATCGTTCTATGGTCACGCCATCCACGTGCAAATCCATATCCATGTATTATCCATATTGGGAGACGCAGCTCCGTCCCAACAGTAAGTGTGTGTGGGGGGTGATAGCTTCGTGGGTGCGGGGAGGGGAGCAGAAAGAGAGAGGCCATCGAGTCCGCGGCTTCAAAATCCCAAAGTCAGTTAGCGCAGCTTTAATTATAAAGATCCGTTGTTCGGACAATAAATTATATGCAGCCCGAGAGGACAAATAGATAACCGCAAACCGCAAACGACTACACTGCACTCTTCAAGTCTTAAACAAAGGTCATCTTGCTCCTTATTCCTTGTACGACCATAGTTATAAAAAATCTCTTACCAGTTCATTGACTTGAGTGTTACGAGTGGCCCTTCTTGCTTTGCTTTTTGCTGCCGCCGTCTCCACTCTGTGCAGGGGAAAAACACACACAGGTACACAATCAGACAAATGTACTGACGCAGATACAATTATAGATTCTGTTTTAATGAGTTCAGCAGAAGTATTCACGCAGCATGCTGAAAGAGAGAAGCCGGTAGTGAAGGATAGAAGTTTGTTAGTGTGTTAGCCCAACAGAAAACTTCTATGTTAGACGTTAGTGTCATTCCTAATCCTGGACTACAAAGATGGCGGCGCTGCGGTGGGTCCAACCTCAGGTTTGCCTCTCTGGGCCTCGTCTGCTTTGTGCCCCTGTCGTGACCGCTTGCCCTTCTTCTTGCCCTTTCCCCCTTTTCCAGAAGAAGGGGCTGTGTCAGCGCCCTCTGCTGGTAAGTCACCAGTAGCAACACCACCACCATCAACAGTATCAGCACCAGAAGCAGAACCAGAAGCAGCACCAGGAGCAGTCCCAGGAGCAGCTTCAGGAGCAGGGACTGAGTCTGGCACAGAATCAGCCTCTGTCTCTTCCTCGTTTAGCTCCTCTGAGTTGAAAAGGCGGCGCACAACCTTTCTGATCACCTGCGCGGGGAAAAAGCCGTGACAGAGGGAAAGGAAACATGTTTAAAAAGAATAAAACAGGTTAAAGATGAATTTGTTTTTTGAGTGTTAGGGTTGTTGAATGAACCTGTGGACCAGTACGGGTTATCTCGCAAAAGTCACTGAGTGTGTTTACAAAGCTAGACTCTATTCGCCGTTGCTCCCAAACCAGTCTGACCACTCAAGTCCCAGTCTATATGATCGGATGGAGCATTTAAAGACCCCTTGTAACTTGGCCTTGATGCTCAAACTTTGGAACAGTAATTGTGAATAAATGTACAGTTTATAAAGTAAATGTACTTATAGAGCACATTTTCCAGAGATAAAAGCAACACATTTAAATATACAGGTTTGCCAGCCCTATATGTTGCGTAATAATAAGTAAAACGTTATGTACATAGTAAAAACAAATACAATTTTAATGAAAACAATAAAATACCATAAACTATATACGGCAAATGTCAAGGCCTAGCATCTCGGTTACTTTGAGGATTTGATTTTCACACATCCACAACTGCAGCAACACAAGTCTTTTCATTTCCACAGCGCAATTAAACGCACCATGTTCCCCGCTGTTTCCGCACGTAACAAAACAAGGAAATACATGCGGTGGGACTGTGAACTTCATCGCAATCTTTCCAATGAGTGAGTCGACTATACGCGTCTAAATACATACATGTCTCAGTAGTATCTGGATTACGTGGTCGGCGTAAACAGAGTAGAAATGGTTTGATCCAGTTACTGCAGACTGGGCCAAACTGGCTGCTTTTTCATATGGATTTACGTGTGTTTTGCTCTGTATTGAATTCAATTGGATCCGGTTTTCACTAGTGCTTTGTAAACATACTCAATTAGTTCAATGTTCTCTTTTGCATAGAAAGTACAAGGTCCATTTGATTGGTCCAGGCCGTATCCAATGGGAATATATTATTAATGAAAAATATCTATATTGCTGTTAATATTGATGTTTAACGCCATACTTTTCCTCATATTAAAGCAAAGATGAAAATGTAAGAAAATAATAAAAAATAATAATAACGTTGATTTAAAAAGAGGTGTTAAAGTTAATGAAGTGAGGAGGGGGCGGTTACTTTTCGTGTGACCAGATTTCCGTCTTCATCTGTGAACTGCTCCTCTGTCACAGACTCTCCGGGAAGGTTTCTGGCCTCCTCTCCCTGGATTTAGTTTAAAGAAAGAGGTTGAAATGAGGGTAAAAAACTAAAATGAGATGAATGCCAAGTCTGAGGCAAGTTCAAAATCACAACAAACGTCCATATTGTCATGAATGAATATGAAGCGTGTGCCTGAAAATGTTGTATTTAGGATTAGGTCAAATATGCAGCTTTTTAAAAACATATTCACACATTTACTGTACATAAATATAACAAACATGTACATGGTTAGACAAAACAGATACAGAATAATCACATCAACCAATAATTAGTTTTAATTTCTCATTCAATTTCCCCCAACATACGATCAACCAAAACACCTGCTGACATGCATAAATAGTTTTTCATTTTTTTCCTCATAGGAGTTTCAAAAAAATACAAATATTAAGAGTTAGAATGGACAGTGGCTAACTAGCTATGTGGTAACTCCGATCCACTGCAATACTTTTTTTCAGTCCACAAAAGCCCTTTTAAAACAATTTACAAAATGTTCTATAGTACATCTTCTTCAGTATTCCTAATGGGGAGAATGAGTAGGGATTTATACTCCAGGAATTGCAGCTCAATTGGAAATCTGAACATGTAAAATATTTAACATTTTGTCTGCATACATGTCTCTTTTACATGAAATTATTATCACTATGTGCATGTAATGTAGCCTTTTGCAGAGAATACAAGCAAAAACCATGCTACACTGCAACCAGTTCCTTTTTCTGCCACACTTGCTTCTATTTCTATTGAACTTGACAAATACCACAGCAAAAACAACAGCCATCAAATCCAAAAGCCACTCCCAGCAGCAGAGCCCTGGTCCCCTGGTCCCGGGGTCCTGACCTTTAGAATGACACGCCTGCGATAGACTCGAGTGGTGACGGTGGCCTCGTCATCAGAGTCAGAGTCCGGAGCTTGGGCCCCTCCCTGATGAAGGCGTCCCAACACCAGCGTGGGTCATTCATAGCAAGATTAGGTTAATGATAATATTTGGTGATGAACTAACTTTTTCTACTAAAATGCTAAAATTTTTGTCTATTAAAGCTGAGATTAAAAAAAAACACAGTCTGGTAAAAGTAAAATGTTGCAAAAAGTCTGACCCCCAACATGGTGTCTTTGTCTAAAAATAATGTATAAGAAAGAGGCCCTGTTTTTTACTTTCCTGTCTGACCTAAAAATTGGCCAAAATACATGGTATACAAAAAATAGATCCGATAAAAACAAACGGGAGAGTGAGGAAGTTATTTTTGTGGTTTAAAAGTTAGGTACCCCAGCTTTAAGTAGATTGTAAAAGCAGATGTTTGAGAAAATACACTTTTCTTGTCTATACATTTTAAAAAGACATTTGTTAGATGAGAACTAAGGAAGCAAAACAGAAAGTCAGAGACATTGTTGAATAAAAGCCAAATGGACCATGTTGGGTGCAGCCTCTTGGTTCTCTTGTTTCTGGGCTCGGCACCATAAACAAACCTCCTCCCATCCAAAACAAACGTATTATTCGAGGAACTAACAATAACCTTGCAGCATTGTTGATTGTAATACTACCCTAGATCAGTGTTCGTCAATCTGAAGTTAAAGATAGTCTTGTTCTGACCTGGACTTTGCTGCTCTCCTCTTTGGATGCCTTCTTCTTCTTGGACTCGTCTCTTGTGGCGTTGCTAGGGCTTCCATTTTGTTTCTCGGCCTTCACTGGCGGCTGCTCGAGAGAATCAGCCAAACTCTCAGGGCTGGAAGAGAGAAAAAGTCATTTAGATATACCGTACATAGTTAAAATTTCATACTATTGATGATTTATAAAGGGGGAGATTTATAGCCAGTCTAAAGCAAGTTGTATATGCGCTTTTTCACATGAGAAGCAAGCAAATATGTAAGAAAGATTCTTTGCTTGTCAAATGTTAAAGCCACAAATGTAGTTGTGTTGCCAATTTTGGTCATATTGGTTCAAGTTCATAATGGAAACTATATAAAAAATCAAAAAAATCAAATAATTGCATATGGTTTTAAGCTTATCTGTGTGGGATTAGTAACTGTATATTACCCACAGTTCTCCAAAAGCCATAGAAAAATAGATATATATAATAGCAAGCCGTAAAACACTTTAACGCAACAAATTAACAATACATTACATTTTACACCCATTCTTTAAAATGACTTTTCTCTTGATGATGAAACAAATTGAGAAGTCAGAGTTCAGCCTTCTCTCCATGTGTGACACTCACCTCCCGTCCTCGGGCCCTGCGATGTATGGTCCTGCTGCTGCTGCTCCGGACGACTCTGCTCCCTGCCAACCTGAAACTGAAGAAATGTCCCTCTCTGCTTGCCGTACTTGCTCGAGAATTGCATTGACCCTCTCCTCCGTCATCTCCTCGTCCTCCAAGCCTCCCTCCAGCCGAATGTCTTCCAGCAGACTCTGTATCCGCTCCGTGGTCATCTCCTCCTCTTCCTCCTCCTCTTTTCGTTCCTTTTTATTGTCCAAAATCAAGACTCCGCCATCTTGTTTTGTCTCTACGGCTCTTCGGTCGTTGTCCGGACTCTCGTAGGAGACTGTAACCTCTCTACGCAGGCTGGACTCGACCATAACATGGTCTCTGGGCTCCGGTGGTTGCGTGACAGTGGCTGGTTCGCTGCTGGAGGTGCTCAGGGTCTGATTCAAGGACAAGTCACTGGGTCTAGAAACGGGTGTCCTACTTTCAGATTCTACGTGGGATTCTCCAAAGAAGTCGTCTGATCGGAGAGGGGTGGGTGGCTCGTAGGTGAGGGATGAGGGCGTCTGCAGTTCCAGATCTATATTGTGGTAGCCTAGATGGATGGGAGGACCACAGGTTTAGACAGGGGATGGAGAAGGAGAGACTTAAGGGGGAACGGAAGGAAGTAGGAGGGAGGGAGGGAAGGAAGGAAGGAAGGCATGGATGGCATATTATGAAGTAAACAAAAAGTGGCTCAAGGCAGCGCTTGTTCAGAAGTGTTGAGACTATTATGTGAGCATAAGTACAACATGTTTTTTCTTCATTTCCTGAATATTTTAAACATTATTTGATGTGTTGAAATTGTTTTCCTATTTTCTATAGGTTTAATTCATCTATAAAAACCCTTTTCCTTCCAATAAAAGTATACATAATTTTATAAAATATTACAACATATATACACATAGTTTCCGGAGATGTTGTTATGTTTTGATTGGTTCATAATTCATACATTTTTTAAGATTCTTCATTGTTATTTAACGGAAGAATGCTAAGTCTATGTATGTACTGCTCGTGCGTGCATAAAATACAACTCTGTAATGGTCAATCAACAATTACATCTTCTTTTGTGCTTGACGTGTACAATTAGAGAAATCAAACAATGATCTACAGATATGATCAGTCAAAAAGAAGAATTATGATCTATGCCATGACCTCAAACTTGTGAACAAGCACTCTTTGCTCAACATATGCAATGGGGAAATTAACCAAATACGGACACATGAGAAGTCACACAGAAATATGGAGATGGTTATATCAGGCTTTATACTCTACAAAGTTTATCATAGAGTCTTTTTTCAGAAGTTAGTCACTTTGCGTTTACATGGACAGAGAATGGGCAGAACAATGTAGTCTGATCACTCTTTTTTCATTCTAAAAGCTGCTCAAGAGCCAAATTGATGTTACTGGGATGTTCAAGGCACATCCAGTACCATTAGCTGTAAAACTTTGGACCTGCGATAGTAACGGAAATAGGTATCAGACATTCAATTCCATTAACAACATCGCAATCCAGTTTTACATGCACTTGGAACATACACTGTAACAATATGGACAGTGTGTTTCCTCCATTAAAACTAATGGTCTGTTACCATGGATGCGGATTGGCCCCTCCCACAGGAAAACTGAATAAAGTGTTTTCTGCTTCCCTTGCGCCAAGTAGCACAAATCCTGATCACACAGCACACTCCGTGGACTGGAACTTTAGAAAACCACTCCCCTCAGCATTGTCACGCATGTGTAACTTAGCCTTGAGCCAAGAGCCGTCTTTTGAACCAAGCTTTAAAGCTGTTTTTGAGACACAAAAAGTCCCCATTAGGTTGCAAAGTCTGTTTCAACTTCTGCAGCGAGAGGCTCAGACTGCAAAGAGCTCTAGTCCAGTCGATAAACCGGACTGGCTTTTATCTGTTTTTTTCCTGGAGTCCATGTAAACGCTCTAGTTAGTTAGTTGTTAGTAGTTTCAGTATCAGTATCTATATATATATTTCGGGAACGGAGCGATCCCGTCTGAAGTGCGATGGAACACCAGGGGGCAGTGGAGAGGAGGGAGGAGAAAAACAAGCAGCAGTAGGAGCAGCAAGTGAGCACGATTCAGATTTTAAATGCGTAAAACTAGAGGGGAAAAAGAAGGAAGTGGCCAGGATACAAGACGAGAAGGGGAGAGGAGGAGAGTAGGAGAGATTGGACAGACGGGGAAGGACAGGGGCGATCGGGAGCACATAAACAGGTGCAGTTGGGGCAGGGGCCTGAAACTGTAAACAGGAAGTTTAACTAGGAAACGGGAAAGTTGCAGGGAATAGACTCGGGATGATTGTCAATATCGAGGGTTTCGGAGACATTGGTTTTGTGTTTTGGGGAAATGTGGAAGAGCTACAAAGTGTCACTGGTTTGGCTATAAAACAATTCACATGAGACAAGAAGACAACAGTTAGTCAGACAAGACATGGACACGTAGCATGGAAAGACAGACATTGAATGCACACGATGTTCAAATGTATGATATTTGAAGCTGCAGAAGCCAAGTTCATTGCTTTTATGAACTGATCAGCAAAACGGGGCGTAGTCCGAAGCAGAGACAACTTTTAAAGACGGGAAATCCCACTTGGTAGTGATAGAAAAAGTTGTAAAAGGGACAGGAGCTTTGCAAACGCTACGTCATGTTGTTATGTATCCGTGATGCGCATATGAAAGAGCCATATGTCACAGGTCAAGCGTTAATTCTAACTAAAGACAGGGTCCTCTAGCTTAGCACCAAGGTTAGCAAAGGCGAGTGAGTGATTGAAAAAAAGGGTTGCTTATGGGAGGCTATTATTTGGGTTGGTTAGAAGAGAGGGGAGAATCAGGAAGAGGCTGGAATCAAAGCAGGAGAGTGGAGGCTTGGAGCACCTGGAGATGAGCTATATGGGAGCTAACAGCAGTAACACACAGGTTTTAGAAATTAGCATTGGCATGATCTATTTCCAACTCATCTATGTTAGTAAGATGAGTTCAACCTATAGGCCAGATGTGTTGAAAAGACCACCACATACTGTATTATCAACATTAGCAGGCAGCCTCTGACAACAAAGCAAAAGCCATGCAAATTTGCTTCAGTAATAGCTTCCATGATCATTAATACAGGTTAGTTTGCGTCAAAAAACACTAAAAAACATTAGCATGACTTGTTGAATCTAAAGCCAGTATAACCACAATGATCCAATATGACATTACATTTCTTTTTCCAATTATAATGTACAGACAGTTGAATACATTTTCTAAGCAAGTTGCTACCATCTTGAAACCAAAGAAGAATGACAGGTAGAAGGAGAAGGATAGACTTGCCACACTTAAAGCGACATAACTTGGCTTTATAATCATGTTTCCATGTATTTCAAAAGAACAACCATAACATGTGTGTGAGTTTGTGCAGGTTACATACACAGAAACATAACTATTAATGAACCAAATTATGATTGGGTGCCGTAGTCATCTGAAACACCAGATGCTTCAATGACACAATTGCACATATTTTTATAAATTTCCATGCTTTTGAACACACACTGAATTGTCTCATAGTCCAATTTTCATTATATTTACCAAGGTGAATTATTCAATTGCGCGACAATTATAATATATTTTAACGATATATAGTTTATTATAGGCAGAGGTGGCCACTCGAGAATCAGTCGTATTAGTATGAGTATGTAGATGTTACATTTCTACTTAGCATAGAGTTTTAGATGGTAAGTTGCAAAAAATGTACTGTTATATATATAAAGTCTTGTATCTTTTAAGGAGACATACTTTTTGATTTTGATTGATAAAGTCAATCCTGTGTATCATTATTGTACATTTTGAAACTTTTAAATGCAAAATACTGATCGGATGCTGATTTCTATATTGAAAATTGCACTAGTGGTTTGCAACTGGTCCTTCTGTGTTTATCTGAAACAGGAACCCCAGTTGGAGAAATGGTCTCTTGAATGCAGGAGAATAGAAACAAAAGTTGTGATTCTGCCTGTTTGAGTGTATTTACTTAAAAATAGTGTGTATAGTGTGTAAATAAGCAGAGAGAAAATTATAATCAAATGCTCTTAGGTGTTTTTTGACAGTGTCCCATGTAACTATGTACAGTATTTTAAGAGTACCACCTCTGTCTATCTTTCTATATCTTCATCTCCAGATCTAAATTCCTGGTGAAATATTTTTGTTTTTTTTTACGCAATGCCCTACCTAATGCCTACAGCTCAGAGTGGGCGAGGTAAGGAGAGATGGAGGGAGAGACTGAAGAGAGAGACTGGAGAGGCTAAGTTTGGGCTACTCTTTACCATCGGACTGATCCGGGAATACTGCGTTATCATCGGCAAAGCAGCGAGTGCCTGAAATGTTACCGTAGTCAAATATGGGCCCTTCCAGCAAAGTCACAATATCCAACCGGCTGATCTTATTGAGCGCCGCAGTTAAGGCATCCGCTACAAGAGACACAAATGCATGGTCAAAATTACAATCAAGAAGTGGGCTTTCAGTTATTTCAAGAATTATATATACATTGTAATATCTAGCATAATGTTTGTAGTAAAAATACGGAAGGAAAGCTGCAAAGAATTTATTAACATTAGCATAGTTCAAATAAGGGTGTTTGTAACTAGCTAATTGTCTATTTTCATTAGCAAACTTACCAAATAAAGGTTGAAATATGTTTACAAGTTCATATAATAAATGCATTTATTTTTTTAGAATAATGCTAATCTAGTTGTCCCTGCAACCTAAAAAATGATACGATTCTAAACACATTTAAAGTGATAGACAACACATTTCCTCCACTATTGCACGACTCTATAAAAGGTTGTTGGTAAAATGACAATTGTGTTTTCTCACTTGTGGCATTTTTGCCGTCCCTGTGAACCCATTTCTTTAGCAGCATGAAGCTCTGTGCAGTCAGAGAGTTGGGATTTTCCACTCGGATGAAGTTGATCTCGTCCACAGAGAAATTCAACTCCCTGGCCAGCTCTGCAACAGAAGAATGGCACTTTGAGGAATCTCCGACTGGTGCTTTCAGGTGACTGTGTTAAGACGACAGTGATCTATCTGACATCAGTTCAATACGTGCTGCTGGATAAAAGATCACCATTTATTTTCTAATAATTAAAATTGCAATTATTTAAAAAAAACTTCAGATTCAGATTCATTTATTTGCCATTTGCAGTAAAACCACATTGGAAAAACTGTGCAAGACTACCCCAGTGTGCACCAGACAGAGAAGACGACACACACCAGAGCTCTTGCCACAAAATTGTCGCATGAACCAACTTTCTTTTAAAACAATGAAAGATATATGATTGTATTAAAATAAATTCTAAGTATGTCGTCATGTGTAAACAACAAACGGCTAAATACTAATAAAGTGCCACAGATCAGAAAAAAAATTCAAGATATAATTGATTCTAAATTTTTGTAATTGTGGAGAGTAATCTTTGTCATTGTAATTTAATTTTGAAAATCTGAAAGTGTAATGTGTAATTTGTATCTTTTATACCTATGAGGGTTTGTGTTATCATCTTGATTTATTGAACAGCGGTCAGGAAAAGGCTTGCTGCTGCCAAACAGACTCTGAATATGTCGAAGCAGCATTTGATGTTGTGTGCAGTGTGCAGAGATTCCCGGTCGGTGGCCATAAATTCCCCTTCCGGAACATAATGTGCGTTACATCTGCAGCTTTGCAACGGTAACATGCATTAAATATGAATCAGGGCCTTTTCCTCGACGGGCACTGCCTCTCTGTCACCGCACACAGACGGACGGGAGGCTCTCCACTCCCGACGTAGTATTTCTCATGCGAGTTGATCCACTAACACATAAATACAAGCCGCCTGAGCCACACCCAGCGGGAGACACACGAGGCTGGGGCAGTGCTGCAGTGCAGGTGGGCCGGGTCAGACTGCAGTCACCACACCCTAAAGTTGGATATTGTTGTCGTCAAAATGAATGATATGACACAGATACGTCTTGGGCCATGTCTTTTGCATGGACTGTAATGTGTAAATAATAAAAATCTGGGCTTTTCTGGACATTCATAACATCATTACATTCTATAATCTGCAAAATAATTAAATTGAAAGATAACAAATGCTTGAATCAGGTAGTTTCTCTTCTTGAATGTATTATGAATTTGTAATGCCACTAGCAAAAAATGTCTAGTTTTAGAAAGGAAAGGACAATTCTCCCTTTATGAAATGAGACTAAACAACTTTTTTTCAAACGCACATATTGTTTGAATACAGACAAAATGTAATCAAATTAAGATACAGTTCAAGCCATTTTTGCCCATTTTTTATTCACTCATGCATATTAGTATATTATAGTTTAGCATAGTGTCTGAAAAATGTACATAATGTGCTGTTTAAATTGTTTTTTTTTAACTTACATTAATTGTCAAGTATGCTCATAATCATGTCTTAAATATTGACCTACATATTATAAAAGATATGTGTAAAACCTGTTTAGGTAATATTTTTATCTGTTAAATATTCAGATCTGCCCTTTTACAGAATAATTAAAACAAGAAATCAAATGTTGTAAGTGGTCATCTTGATTGTTCTTTTCTGTTCTGTTTATGCTTTGACGTAGTAAATAAATTCCTCTGCAGTGCTGCACAAACGCTGAGTGCCACAGGGGGGCAACAGACACCACAAAACAGACTGCTTTGAAGCCAGTTCAAATTATTCACATGTGGGTGGGTAGATACGGAAAACTCCTCATTGCACCACAGCCTATTTGGCTTCAAGATCAACCCATCCTTAAAGAAACATGACTCAAGCTCATTTTAGAATAATACACAAGAATGTATCAAATGTATATAACAGGCAAGGATGGTTAAATTAAGACTATTGTAAAGACTAAATTGTAAACCACGGTAAAAAGCAAAGCCTCACCAGTCCAGCTGAGTCCGAGGTGGTCTGCTACTATGGCCATGCGGAGGTCTGTCCTCTCACATGGACTTTGTGGACCTAGATATTCACAGCATCCGGAAAGCAGGGAGGAGCGATAAAAAGATAAATTAGTTCAAAGAAAATTGACAACATCATAATAATAAAAAATCTTGTATTCTAAACTAAATTGAAGGCCTTTATCAGTGTGTATGTTTGTCATTGGTACCAACTAATTATGGAATGAAGATAGTGTATCAAATGTGTATCATTTTGATTTGTATAATTAATTTATGGTAATGTGCCTTGTTTGGTAGGTAATTTTTACATGCATTTTACTGGGATGCGTGAATTCCTAATTGTTACTGTAAACTGGCTTAAATCATGAATTATAATGTGCATTGTGTGTGATATAGACTTCCGGTACCAAACAACTTCAGACCTCAATTTTACTACTACAAAAGGTTATTCAGTTAGTATTAGTAATTGTTAAAATTCACATCACTTCAAAACTACTTTCTACCATCAAGCAACATTCCCTCCCAATGAAGAAAACAATTCATCCTCTTAACTCAAATCACATGCCACCAGCTGTATCGGCCTTTAGCGTCCTACATAAGTACAGACTATATAGCTGGTGCGAGGTGATTTTGAAGTTTAGCTGATCAAATGTTTTCTCTGTGGGCAAAAGGACTGCAATTACCACGGCAAAAGACTACCTCTATACGTCAAGCAAACAGACCAAAGCAAGCACAACACTGCACGGTACAACTCAACTATGCTCTAACAAGAAGAAGTATGTGTGCGGCCCTCCCTTATAAACTGTATTTAATTTGAAATGAAAAAAATCTACTTTTAAAACTATTGCTACTCATTTAAAACCAAATATATGGACACTTGACATTGGGAAGGAGAGCGGTTATTGACATTTATCATGTATCAATTTTGCATTTGCTCAATCAGTAAATAGATAATTGTGTGCATATGACTGCTACCGTCATAATGCTGTAACGGTATATTGACTATATGTTGATTGAGTGTCAAAGGGCTGCAACAATGAGTCAGAATAATCTAAGGGTAACTATTAGAAACGATTGAGTAGACAAAAGATGTGTTATAAAAAGTAGCAGTATTCAATAGCAAGATTATTTTAAAGTCTCAATGTGCGAATGAAATACATATGACTGGTTCAATAATTGCTCACTTGTTGACTGACGTAATTGTCAGTTGCAGCCTTCCTACCATAAAACAATCAACAAAAATGCCAAGATTCTACATAGACTTACTACAGATAGGTCCCTAGCCAATGTCTGATACAGTATCTATTACCCCTGTCATACTGAGAGAGCACAGGACAAGAAGAAGAAAAGACAAGAACATCACATCACAGAGCACCCACAGTCCACCACCACAACAGCAGCATGCATCTCCTCATATAGACAAAAGTAGAGCTTATAATAAGTTGAAAAGAGTTTACAAACTCTCTGTGACAGGACGAGCCGTGAGTGGGGCCTCAACCTGACTCCCTGGCTTCTTCTGTCCTCCCCGTGTCCGCCTACACATCCTGGCTGCTGCTGGCTCAACCTCAGCTGACGCATGGCTAGCTGGTGCTGACCGAGGTGTAGTGGTGGAGGTGGGTTTGGTGCAGGTGGGTGAAGGGCCGGCTCTCCTCTCTGACAGGGAAGTGTTCCTGCTTCGGTGCTTCGTGTCCTCAGTGGGCAGCGGCTTTTGCACTAATCCTGGTTTACCCTTAGCTCTGTCGTCCTTGCTAACACATGCATTGTAATTTGTGTTTTTCCTCACTTCCTTACTTTTTTCTAATGTGGATTTTCTGCCATCTTTGAGAGTTTGGATAACTTTGAAAATTTGAATGGCTTGCTTTTTAACCACAGATTTTGTTTCAACCACTTTTCTTTTTGATGATTTCCAAATGGGAATTTTGCTTTTTGGAAATGACTTATTGGATTGGTCAGATGCTTTTTTAACTATGTACATTGTATCGTCTTTCCCTGTTGTTTGCTTGTGCTGTGCTTTTAAAATAGTTTGAGTGCATAGCTTTTGATTAAGGATCCTGACTGGTAACCTAGATTTGCATATATTTACTTTGATCTCTTTAGCGGCAGTTTGTGCAATTGCGAGATGAGTGTTATCACTGTTTTGCATGTTGGTGTCAGCCCGATCTGAATTCGAACTTTTATGAGAATCTTTAGTGCAGCTATAGGAGCCCCTGCTCTCCTTCGTACCACCTAAAGTATAATAATTCATAACTCCTAATGATATATTGCTCCAATAATCTGTCATACTCGAAGTACTATATGTAGAAAAAGATGAATTATAAGAAGTTTCAGAGGATGTGGTTGTGTAATGTGATGAATCAAAAGTGCTTGCTCTAGATTTGGAAGTGCTATTAGAACTGTTGACATTATTGCCACTTGAAAATTTTGATCCTGTTCTAAAAGTGGAAAACGTAGGCTCAGTGTGAGAAGTAAAGTCGTGACATGTGCTGCTACAGCAAGCTCCATTTGAGATTTCTAGTGGTACTGTGGTTGTAGTGGTTGTGGGTATAGACAATTGTGGGAAGCCCTCTGTGGAGTCCTGAGTGTCCTGAGTGTCCTCGTCATCGTGTAAGTCTAACTCTAAATCCCTGACTCGGTACCTGCCTGCTAAAGGGTAATGCTCACCAATCTGAAAAAACTGCAGCCTCTCTTCCACCATGTCCCTCTTGCTCATGTCAATTGCACCACTGCGCGTCATCTCAAACATCTTCCCTTCATGGAAGGGGAACGGGTTAGGCTCGCTTGTGGGTGTGCTATCGTCCGTCGGGGTTCTGGCTGGAGTGGTGTCTGGTGTTGTGGCCTGGGACTGCTCATCCACAGCTAGTCCAAACGGCTTAGGCTCATCATTACCCTCTTTAGTCCCACCCATATCAACATCATCTCCACTTTTGCTTGGCCACGGGTCAAAGTCCAGCCCTTTGGTGGCAACAGTCTTAAAAGTGGAGTTAAATTCTTCTTCTAATTTATAACTAAAATAAGTGTCTGAGAACCCCTCATTATCTGAGGGCTTTGGATCAGTAGAACCATTTTCTTTTTTGACTCCATTTGCTTTCCCATTTGGGTCTTTGTTGCATAAATCCTTCTGATATTCCTCTGGCGTTTTCTCCTCTTCAATCACCTCCAATTTAGTTGGAGGGAAAGACCGGTCTGTTGATTTGTAGGTTTCAGCTGCCCAAACATCTCTTTTGCTGTCTGGGTACCCATAAAGTTTAAAATCAGCCTGCTCGCTTAGTCCATCGTCCTCATCCTGGAGTTCATATCCATCTAATGAGTCTATCTCTGTTGCATCAGTGTCATGGGAAAACTCTGCTGTTGTTGCTATTGAACAGTCAGTAGTAGACTGGTCATTACCATTCTGCTCATAATCATAGTCCTCCCCTTTACCGTTAGACCCCTTTGAACCATTGGATCCATTAGTACCATCAGTACCATTTGTACCATTTGTACCGTTTGCTTCTTTGTTGTTCCCATTTTTATCATGCTTTTTTGATTTCCTCTGATTCTTTTTCTCCTCTTCCTCTTTAGTCAGTTTCTTACAAGGAATAGGCTGGAAAATAGATTCGTCATCTTGTTCCTCTTCTGTCTGGCCATCTTCAGCACTAGATGGGACAGGTGTTGGGGGTTGGATGCATATTGTTGGCTCTTTGAGAAGATCCCTGTCATGTTCTTCTTGTAGATTCACCTCCATCATTTCCGTTTCTGTCTCTGAAGATGCACAGGACCCTTTCCTCTCAGTGTCAGACTTATCTGATGAGGAATCTAATGGTGGCGGAGGTGGAAACTCTATGTAAGCAATACCTTTGTCTCTTGGGATTTCTTTTCTTTCTTGCACTATTACAACCTGTCTTTCTTCCTCTTTTGATTGCAATCTATTCAAAGCATTCAACTCCTTTTCATTGTCATTACTTTCTAGTTTATTTGCATTAACTAGATCTGCCTCAGCATTTGGACTATCTTCGCTTTTTGGGGAAACCTCTTTGAACGTGAAAACTGCTTTCTCCTCTCCCTCTGATTCTTCTGATAACTCCATTATCGGACTTGGTTTCCCAGGCATGAATCCCATAAAACTCTCCAGAGTTCGTGTGGTGAGATCATAGCTTATCTCTTCAGAGCTAGGAGTCTCTGGGGTTATAGGACTTTTCCCTGAACTGTCTATAAAAGAAACCTGCTCCAATGTATCGTCCTCAGGGCTAATAGGGCTGAGGCCATTGTTTGACTTTTGCTTCACGTATGACCCCTTGGCATCTCTCTCTGCCTGTCTGCCAACCTGTACACCTACATAAACCGGTAATGTCTTAATACCCTTGAAATTTTCTTTTGTGGTTTCTATGGTTGGGGGTGTAATGACTTTCTCTAGAAAATCTCTCGGGCTTGTAAGGTTATTAGAGTTTGAGTCTTTAGGGGCATTGTCCAAAATTTCAAAAGTCAAATCTGTCTTTCTATGGGTTATTTCAACACTGGGTCCTTTTTTAATTAAGGTTGGTATTTGCGAAGGTCTTGGCGTTGTAGGTGATTTGGGAACAAGAATTTGTGATTCTGACTTTTTACGAAGGTTTTTGTTAAACTGTTGATTGGTTTCTATTTTTGACCCTTCAATTGTTGCATCAAGAGACTCCCCTTTCACGGTCTTTGTGACCTTTCTAGTCTCATTTCCGTTATCTACAACTTTTTTAATGCATTCTTTGGCTTGTCTATCCATTGTGCTTTTAGCTTGTTCACTATACTTCTGAACAATGGCAACGTTTTGGTTTGCCTGTCGATCTTCTCCTAACTTAGGAGACTTTGATGGTGAAATTATTTTCCCGCTTTCCTTATCAACATCCTTTTCAACAGAACCCTTTTCTGACCCTTTAGCAAATACGGGAAGTTTACTTTCCTGAATCTTTTTAATGGATGGCTTTGGCTGGACAGGTGGGGGCACTTTGGTGGGACTCGCCTGGCTGGCCTGCTTTTGGGCTGCAGCTTCAAACTTCATCCTTGCCTCAGTGACTCTAGATGTTGATCTTATTGGAGAAGATTGTTCCGATTTGCTTGATCTGGCTGGTTCAGTCACATAGGAAGTGGCACTTTTCTGGGGACTGCTTGGTAAACTTGAACTTTTCTTTTCTGTTGCTGTTACGCTAGTAAACATTTTCCCAATAGAATGCTCCTTAAATTGATCTTCATTTTGCGTCTCTATTCCTGCCTTAGACTTTTGTTGAGTTTTTTCAGGGCTGCTGCAAACTGAACTCGGCCAAGACCTTGGTTCTTTTAATTGTCGCTTCATAGGCTTTCTTTCTGGTGACTGCAACTCATCATTTAACTTTTCAGTTTTGTCACGGAAAAACTGAGAAACTTCACTTAGTTTTTCCTCCGCTTCCTTAACTGTCTGGTCCACCCTGTCTTCGTAAAGTAAATTCTCCCTGCTCTTGGTATCTTGCTTGTCCTCTGTAAATCGCATCCACACTGCATGTTTAGGGCTGCCTGGTTCAGTGGTGTAATGGAGAACTGTCACTTTATCAAACTGCGCTGATTCATCCCTATGAGAATATTTACCCGATTTTGGGGAACCCTCTTTAGAAGACCCCCTTTTGGGACTATCTTTTTGAGGGCTAGCATCAGTACTTCTACCAGATTCAGGACTTTGGTGTATTTTTTTCTCAATCACGGTATCCTCAGTGTCAGACTGGGAAGCTGAGGACGCATCTAGCTTCTCTGAAAGTAACATTTTTTCTGCAAAATTGTACGACTCGCCTCTAACCTCTGAGAGCTCATCATCACAGTATTCAATAGAATGTTGGCTCAATAGCTTAAGGGCTTTGTATGAGTCATCTGCTATCAGCTGTGCAGAACTAGGCCGACTGTCCTCCTCTTGAGATACAGGGGTGTTGACCCGGGAAGTTTCTAGGAAGGATGGCAATGTTTCCTCTGCAATAAGCTCCTCCTCTTCCTGTTGAACATCTTCATAATCTAAAAACTCCCTAAATCCACGTTCACCTTTGTAAACATACATCTCTGGGTGTTTCTTGGTCTCTCTGATGATAACCTCTGTTGGTTCCGCTGTGCTATGCCCTTTTTCGATGTGCACCTCAATTATTCTCTCAACTTTAGGTTTGGATTTGACATCTCTATCCAGAAACCTTGGTGTTAACTCGTCACCTTTGACAGAATCCTGGCTGGTTTTATGTTCAAAAAGTCCTGCAAGTTCCTTAGATGGATCCCTTCCAGACTGAAAGGCTTTCATGATATCTCGCACTGACATGCCCTCCTCTATCATCTCTGCACTATCTGTGAATCTGTGGATCCTAGTAGTTGTGGTGATCTGAGTCTCCTCTTTTAAGCATACACTTTTACTCATTATTGACTCATCTTGCAACATTTCTAAAGCTTGTGCCGAGCTACGGGGCTCAAAGTCTATGGCAGGAATGGCAGAGGCAGCTTCCTCCATGGTTAGAAAATCAGCTCTAGCTTCACTGACGCAAGGAGGAATTGGAGAGTCTGTAAATAAAGGCTTAGGCCCTGTACTTTCTGCACTTTGGGGTGCTGAAGGGGTCTTTTCACTTCTTGTCTCAAAGCCACTATCTGACAAAGGGCTCTTATCCTGCTCATGGGATAAATCTTCAGGTGATTCTAAAATTTCTGCCCCTTCAACCAGTTTGCTTAAGTCTTTTTCAGATGGAGAAGTGTGCATCGCCGAAGCAGGGGGAGGCATTTTTAGTTTGTTCTCTTGTAGCGTCATTGATGGCTTAAGAATACGTTTCTGCTTTTCCTCACCCTCCCTCCTTACTTCCTCTTCATAACGACTTTTCAACTCGGCCATTCTGGAAAGCGAGCTTGCACCAATTTCATTTGTCAAGTAATCGACGACCTTGGCCAACTCAATATCTTTACTTGACAATGCTTGATGTTTGAACAAAAGCTTGCTTTCTTCAAATGGCGGGTAAAAGTCTGACAATCTCTGTGCCTCTTCAATCTCATCTTTAGAAAACTCTTCCCATTCCTCTTCTTTGCCATCACTAATGATATCTTTTTGCAAGATCTGACTAACCCTAACTAAATCCTGCTTTACCTTTTCAACTAAAGTATATGGCTCCTCATCTTCTAGTTTGTCTTTGGGAGTCCCTGTATTTGAAGTCTGGACTGTCTTTACGGCAGTCGGAGTGTCTGTTTGTAAGATTGCTGTCATCCTCATTAAATCTTCTTTCATGTCAGCTACATCTTTTAGGATCTCCTGATTGGAAGCAGCCGTTGAGTGTATAATGGGTGGTGTAATGAACGGAGGAGATTTGAGTTGTGATTTCAATTTGGTAGCAGTCACACAGGTCGACAACGAAGAAGATGGAGAGAAGGAATCAGGAATTGCCATTTTTAGAGATCCTGGTCCGGGTTTGGCTGGGGATTCTGGAATGAGATTTGTTAATGAATAAACAGGCAATGTTATTTTATTTGTGCAAACTGTTGAAGTGGACGGAGGCACGGCTGATCTGAGGGACCCATAGCTTGAGGTAATTGGTGAGGATTTATGTGAGGAAGATATTGATTTCAGAGTCCCATATCCGGACACAGAACAAGAGTCTATGGCTTCGTTGATGGCTGCACTGAGGGTGGAGGTTGCTGCCTGTGTAGTGGCTTGGATCCTCTCTTGTAAACTGGTGCTTCTTTCAGATACAAGTCGGGACGAAGGTGAAGACGGCGTGGAGGAAGAGGAAGGGTACTTGACCGGGGACATCGAACCATTCATTAGTTCGGACGATGGGATTGTAGTCTGTCCCGCTGTAGTAAGCGAAGAAAGTGGTGACCTGCTGATGCGTGAGGACAATGTTTGATCTACTGAGGATTTCAATGATGAGATATTTTTGACAGACTTTATTGGGGATCCTGTTTCTGATTTATAAGGCAGATTGTACATGTTTAAGGATGTCTTTGGTGACGTTGGAGCAGAAACTGAAGACCCATTGCTGAGTGAATGAAGTGGGGAAGTTCTTGAGGTGTAAGCTGATGCAAGGCTTTTGATTGAGGCTGGATCTGTCGCATACTTGGAGGGGCTTCCAGGGGTGGCATAAGTAGAGGAGCTTTGAAGTGGGTATTGGCCTTGCTGTACAACAGTTTTAATCGGGGAAGCTACTCCTCTACAACGGACAGGGGAAGATGAAACAATTTCAACAGCCGCTGCTTTTACTGGAGATGGTAAGGTGGTTGGGTGTGATTGAGTTCCAAATGTGGTTTTGTAAGTGGGTGAGGTTGGAGACAAAGACCAGAGGGATTTTAGTGGAGAACCAGCTGGTGGTGAGTGGGGCGGTGAATTGGAAGAGGCGATTGGACCCCCCAGTCCTGCTGTCCTTGTTTGGCCAGGGACGGTAATAGGAGCAACCGGCCATGATGGGTAAGGTCGGGTTGGAAAGACAGGTTTGTGAGGGTAACCAGCAGGCAGTGTTCTTGCTGGTGTGCTTCGCTCGACTGCTGTTTCTTCAAATGAATTGTTTTGGAAAATAATAGTGTGGGACAAATGACAAAGGGGGAGTACAAAAAGGTGTGGAGGAACGTAAAATTATATGGGATAAAAGAATAACAAAACATGAAAGAGGAAAAGACCAGAGGAGGAAGAGTTGGTCAGTGACACAAGTAACAATATCATTTGTTTTAAACGACTGACTGAAGAGGAATACTTTACAGATTGTGTCAGGATATAAACAAACCGGAAGCAACACAAATAAAGTGAAGGGCACATAGAGCAAGGAAAGAAAATCTCAAATGAAAATGATGAAACACTTGACTGCGAAAGAATGGCAAGACAAATGCACCAGGATAACAGAAAAAACCCTTTCTTTGGATGTCATTAACATGGACTCCTTGATGTACACAAAATCCACTTTTTAGTGCCTTTTATCTGTTTTGTTAAAACAAATGTGCTACAGTTTTTTTTAATCCTATACCAAAGTCATGGGCTGAAGAAAATATATTGCAACTATAAATATTACAAATGATTTTCCAAAATGCACATAAAAGTGCAAACACTTTACGGGTCCATTTTGTCATGCGGTTTTGGTGTCAAGCAGTTTGCCAAGAACTGAAAAATGAAGCCAAACTCAAGACCATAAAACATGCTATTTTTGTCCCACTGAAATTATCAAAGAGAGATTCAAATTCACACTGGGACAAATGCCTTTGCAAAAATTGCAAATAGCAAAAAATTGCAAACAATTTTTCTTTAACTTCCTGTTAAACTTTTAAAACATTCTACCAGAAAGTCAAATAAAAATTCTCGATGTGTCTAAAATCAATGTCAAACCAAAAAAAATCAGCAGAAAATCAATCCAGAAGAAGTTCAACTCACAATATGAGGCAAGCACAGCACAAAACTGAAAACCACGGATTGACCCATGCAAAAATACCATGTACCATGTGTAAACAAGCGTGTGGACAGAGCATGTATGTGGATGAAGATCCATCACATTCATATCATGACAACTAACTGCAAATTGATAATCAAATAAAGTTAATAATTCATTGTGGTAATAAACTATAATATTATTCTATTAAGGCGTTGTTAGTAAAAATATCAAACTCACTCTGTGCAGGCTCGGCCAGATAGCTGTAGCGCTTACGTAAGGCTAGGGAAGCAAAGGTATGACGTCTCTCTGTCTTTTCAGTCTGCAACAATAGCAAACAACACAACACCTTTCAATTCTGGGTCACCCTACATTATGTGGGGCCAAATAAACAACATTTGGCCTAAAATACCGAATGGTGTTAGTATATGGTGTCTTTACATGATTTAATACAGCAGTATTTTATTCATGAAAACTATTGACTGCTGCTGCGTTCTTACAAAGAGGGTTAGTTCAGCTCAATTTGTGGAAAACAAACAACTTATTCTACTTTATATGAATACAAACTTAAATGGGTGTTCTATCTCTTACCAAATCATACCTACACTATACAGTTCAGTACATATAGTGGACCATACAAGGTACAAACACTTATTTTATGGCAAAGGATAAGCGCAAGGATAGGGCTATAATATGCAAAGCAGGGCCGCATAGTGCAAAAAAATGAGCAGCAGACGGTGGGAATGATGCGGTTTACCTCTTCCTCTGGATCTGACTCCACATCCTGGTTCCCAAGATGCATTGCAGGAACAAGGGTAGTAGTAACATAATGGAAAAGCAGGGGGAAAATATCAGGGTATGAAATAGGAGAAGCTCTATAGCAAACTGAGCAAAGCAATAGCAAAATATAAGCACCAAAAAGGAAAATGTAAAATAAATAAGCGTGAAAAACAATAAAAACAGCAAATAATGCCAAGCCACAGTAGCAGCCGCAAAGGGCCCGCAAGCCATAAACATGTCACCCGAATGAAATAGTAGATAGAATACACAGCCAATGACAAGAACCCACTGCATGGGGATAATTATATTTTACACAGAGAAGCTTTAAACAGATAAAAGACACAGTGGCGGCAGATTGGCCATAGTCTTTCTCTGTCTTGAATTATTATTAATGGGATGATATATTCCCTATCTGTGAGAATGACAATGGAAGTGAGGACATAATGGTAATGAATAACGTCGTACCTTTTTCACAGCAGGAAGTGTGATGTTGAGATTGCACACAGCAGTTTGAGGAAGTCCTTTTATGGTCTTACATTCTTTGAGGAAAGTGAGACGGCCGCACGGCTCCTGGCTGGGGTCTCGGACCTAACGGTAAGATTCATTTATTCAGACTATTGTGAATGTGTTTGTGTTCCAAAATAAAAATACCTAGAAAAAATAAAATAGCCCTTTAGGTGGCAGAGTATTTACTGAAATTGGATGTGCCAGTAGAGAGAAAACTGAAACTTAGAAAACTACTCAAATCAATAACAGAAAAAAATTAGACAGAAAAACATTCAGAAGCATTAGACAGGTCCTGCTCATGAAACTATTTGCTTTGGCACCTAGAGATTCATATACTTTATATTATTCAATAAAATGGATACAATTAATTTTTATTTTAAATAAAACAGTAAATTGCATTTGACTTTACAATCCACTATAGTGCTAGGCATTTACAAATAATCCATTAACCTATAAATTAATAAATATGTAAACCCAATTTTATCATTTGAGTCATTCAGTACCTTGACACAGAATGGTAATCGATTCTCCTTAAAGGCATAGAAGTTAAGGAGTAATTGTTGACCAGCTTTAGCCAAAGGTGTCAAGTTTCCATAGCAATCCACATAGATTGGCCGACCCTCAAGAACCTAGTTTAAAAAACATATTATACTTATTATCGACAAGATTCAAAAATGTTGCAGTAGATTTTTAAAAAGTACCTCTATGTCTTTGCTCCGTGCCACTTCTTCAAAGTTTTCCTGCTGCTCCAGTGTTTTGTCCACCTTGTCGTCAGTCATGCAGAAGCACCTCAGCCGGGACTCCACCGGATCATTCATTTTGGCAAACACCACAAACTTGGCCATATACGGCACACAGATAAGCTCCCGATACAGCTGAGTGGCCAGGCCTACGGTCTCTGGGATCTGATGGCAGTCTGCTAACCAGAACCTACAACATACTTACATCAAACAACTTGTATCTAACATGAATGAATGAAAACAAATCATTTTCAGTATATTTTCTTCACCTCGCTGAAACATTGGTTGTGAAGGACACACAGTCGTTGACAAAGGTGAGCGGAGTTGTGCCAGTGATGTCTTCCCATTGTGCTGGAGACGTGCCACCTACAGGAAGAAAAACACTTTTATTGACTATCATTGGACAATCAACTGTGCCTCTGCTAATCAATGCTTGCTTCACACATGGGATTTATGTCTTGCATTCCAGGGCTAATGCTCACGAAACAACCCTCCTCCTCCATACCAACGCTTCAACAGCACAACGTCACTCTTCATCTCATCGGCTCATCACTTCAGCTTGAAATCTCTATTCAATTCAATTCCCTCCTCAGCACATCTTTCAATATTTCTGCCAGGTTTAAGTGCCAAACTATATCCACATTTTCATGTACAGCATATCAGTAAAACATAATTCTAATGTATCTCCTTGACTAAGTCTTTCAAAGCTGAATGAGTATTGCCATTTATTTTCCTTTTTTATTATCTAACATCAACAGTTTTATTTTTGCCTGAGGTAAAATACCTGTGATGCTGCATAAAAGGCGAAGGCAGGGCGTGGAGTCTCCCTTGTAGCCGTTGGTGAGTCCTTCTCCGGACAGAGGCGGCACTGGTATCGTCATGGTGATGGGCTTGTGGAATTTCCTTCTTCTTGGCTCTACAGTCACTATTGGGCTGAATGTTGCTCGGTTTCCCAGGATTTTTTGCACTAGCTCCTCCGGGACGGGCTGGGCCTGTAGGAGGTAGAGTATAGAAGGTAAGGTGAAATATAGAATCACTGGAGAGCTTGTACCTTATTTTACCATGTACCCTGTGCAGTCTTGGTCTCATAAACAGATCAACTACTGCAGACTGATGTGGACTATACAAATATCCAGTATGCCAGTATATTGCCGTGAAGTTACAGGAGTGCATTTGTGCAACTCTTTTTTCTTGTTGGCATGAAATTATTTCTTTGTGGTACTATTTTTTTCTTGTCTACAAAGTTTGTCTATATCTAAAAGCCCATACCTAAGTAATACGAGCCATCTAAAAGGCCATTTAAAAGGCACCCAAGCCTGCATTTTTTTTGGAATACACACTATTTACAGGTTTTGTATATCACACTATATAGATCTATATCCTACATTGAAATAGAATAACATTATTTCAACAAATGTAGTTGCAATGTTGATTTAAAACTTAATAAAAGAGAACCTTTTACCTGCAATCCCACTTTAATCTTCTTTGTCAGAGCCCCCTCTGGGAAAGAGGCCTGGACCAATGGGAGGCTCCGGCTGCAGAGCGTTCCGCCCTCAGGCCCCATGTGGTTTGTCTCCTGCCTGATCCGTGACACAACCGCAAAGTATTGTGGGAAGTCCTTGGTTACGATGCGGCATATTCTCTTCTTCTCCAGCTCCTCCGCACTGTCCAATTCTAGAAACATATTTCAAAAGCACAACAGAGTTTTACAATATTAAAGTATATTAAAGTCCTATAAGGAACAGCTGAAACAAAAATGATGTTACCAGCGGCTCATGGCACAAATAGCATTGTAGAATGTTACTAAAAACAGATTTCAACGTCACATCTGGAGTGCACTCATTCATGACAATGGAAAATCATACTTTCTCAAACTCTTTTTAAGCAACTTCAGAAAGAATGAAGTTAGCTTGCTGTGTTTACATTTTGAGTGCATTTCTAGTTCTTCTTTTTACACATCTCCCCCACGTGCTGCTGTTTGTGATGTCAACTTTAGACTGTGCTTTTTCATCTCTATTGTTATAAAGGGCCAACATATCTCAAGATGGACATTATAATTCTCAATGTGTATATTATTCACAAAATAGTCATTTTTTGCTAGAAGGAATCTAGTTAAAAAACACAGGCTGTGCTATGTTTTTTCATTTGGACATTGCTTACCTTCGTCCATCCCATTGAGAACCTGGTTGAGTTCGTCGGTCTTACAGTCGTACACATGCTCCTTCCACATTTCTCCATTCTCGCTCCTCAGCATGATCAGCTCCCTCTCCTGGCCTCGCAATGAGCCAAAATGGGGGATCTCCACTATCACCGGCCTGTCAACACACATAGGCTTTCTAAATGAGCGACTTCGTTTACGAGTTAATTGTATAATCGGTAATACAAAAAACATATACTGTCTATACAAACTGTGTGGGGTGTCATGGCAAATGCATCCTCCATGCAGAATCTGGGACAATAATGCCATTTAACCAAGCAAAAAAAGACAGATGAGATGGTTTGAGGGGAAGGAGGAGAAAGCTGCACAGCCCTTTGTAACTACAGGCAACACTGCAATTATTAAAGTTGAGCTATCGATGTCATTTTAGCTATTAATAGTTAATAGAGACTTCCTGCCAAATGTAACATTAGTTGAGGTATTTTGTGCTTGTTCTCCACCTCAATTCCTCTTCACTGCCCCAACATAAAAATTAAAATAATAAACATTCCTATGTGTAACTCTGTAAAACACATCAGGAGCATAACATTTCATACATTGTCGAAGGAAAGAAAATATTTGTTTAAAAGATGAAGGAAATTAATCATGAAAAAGCAGGATGATGCCTTGAAGAAAATAAACCATGCCCAAAGAAGCGCAAGTCAGTTCCACACAGCCAATAAAATAATAACCTTCAGTGATCTTCAAAAGTTACTGCAAAAAATCTAAAAATGAATACAAATTTAACAGTGTAGAAAATTGAGGCACATTTTGTAGTTTTAGGAAGACGGTGTAGTTACTGTTCATACATTTTCTAATAATGTGAATACTGCATAGTGCCTCGAATATTGTAAATTCAATTGTATAATATTCAATGATATGAAAAAAGTTATAGCAATCACAATATTGAAAAACAAAACAGTAAACGCAATTATTATGTTTTTAAGAGTCAAAGTGACCTGATATGACAATGAGAGCTGAGAGGAAAAAGAAGTTGATTAAGCTCATATTTGAGATTTAAATATAAATACATTTCTTCCCAAAACTACACCTTCTTACATACTCAGCTCCTAACAAAAGTCAACAAAGATGATTCAAAATAATATCAAAAATTGTTAGCATGAATCGAAGCACGTGACCCTGAGGAGGTGGGCGGGTGCACACGACAGGAGCTTGCTTTTGAGTCGTACCCAACAAATTTAGTTCCTCTGGGTCCGAGCTGTAGCATTGGACAAACCAGACTCTCGCCTTCGTTTAGGGCTGGCAGCTTTCGGGGAAGATGGAGTTTACTGTGTCCACACCGCACACACAGAGGCACAAAGCACACACTCGGTTAGTAGTTTGTTAGTAGCACTAGAGTTGTCCGCAGTTGGAAGAACTTGACCAAGTTTGGAGACGAGACCAATCGTCCGGTGGCATTGTTGTTTGAGCAGAAGCCAAACAAAACCAAACTATGCTTATTTGCGCAGGTTATTTTGGCCTTGAGAAAAAGATGATGCGGTTTTCCTTCAACTACTGAATCCAAACTGGCTTCTGACATTGAGGAGCAGCGGCTCAACTGGGAGCTCCTCTTGCATGTGAAGATATTTACGCAGTTAGCTTTTGTCAGTCATGTGATCGGTGACTACTAATAATTTGAAGGACATGATGAAACACTTCTCCTTTACACGGAGGTAATTAGTGTGTATTTTGTCAAGCCCTTTTCGATCATATCTCAATGCCATAAATGTTTTAGAGCATCTCATGTTTATCACACACACTTAAATAAATGCATTTGGATCTCTTACTGTTGTGGCAAATGAAGCATTTATTTCAAACTCACTCGCAAACACACATTTCAAAGGCAGATGTTTGGAAAAGATGAAGGGAGGATGACAAAGCGCTGGGTTCTAAGGTCAAGTCCACAAAAAAATTGCTTCAAAGCGAACAGCAAAATATAATAACCTCTTCTTACCCCAAAAACTGTGCTCCCGCCGGCCCCACCTCCACCAGGCGACTGGCCAGCCCCTCCCCTTCCACCATTGGGGGAGGGGATGCCAACTTGTGCCGCTTGACCAATCGGCAGGTGATCCTGGTGGGCGCGGTGCACTTCCTGGGCGGGATGATGATGCGCATGCCGTTGTGACGACTTCCTCTCATGGACCCGCCCCTGGCATCCACCATGAAACTGACCAGGAACCTGCATTTCATCCAAACGGACAGAAATATACAGAAACAAATGTAAAGAAGTGAGGAGTAGATGAGTTATTGTAGGGGACGAATGGAGAAGTTCAAGTTGAGGTGAGGTCTCTTCTCATGCTATGCTTTTCAAAATACGTTTAAAAAAACACACACAATATGGTGAATTCTGAGTTTTATTGCCCTTTGTTAAATCAACGGAATGTCATAGAATGTAAAGTCAAAAAAAGCGCTTTATAAACCAATGCATTATTATAGACAATTATCTATTGAATCTACTTGAATTGTAAAAAGGCAACACACCAACTCAGAATTCTCATTGTCAACCTGTATTATATCCAAACTCGCAGATTATGTTAAAATTAAAATAAAAAATCTTCACACACACAATCACACCATGCAAAAAAACAGAGTGGTTAGTTTGCTGAAAGAGAGTAAACAGCATGAGGAGTTGCAAAAGAGATATTTGCCATTAAAATCATGTGAATCTTGTATCGTTTCAAATGCACACACATTTTACTGATTCGTAATATTTTGCATGGAGAGAAACAGTAACAGCAATGATCTGTTTTGCAACATAACGATTAGAAATGCCTATGAACGTGTGTCTGCAGCTAAACTTCACATGTGACAAACTAATGTGTATTTTTTTGGAAATTGAGTGGTTTACATCCAAAATCGTCACCAGTAATGACATTGCGGTTGTGATTTTGGAATTGTGTCTAATATTTTGTGCTCAGCAACGACTAAAAGCTATATATTCCTTTATCTGTCTAAAATCATTCATCAGTTAATAAACACAATTAGCTTTTAATACTGGATTTTTTATTTTCTCATTAATTTAGCCATTTTGCCAAAATCCTGGAATCAAAAACCATCTCATAAACTAACTTTTCATTGCGACATATCTCACAGAATAAGTAAGCAGGTAAACAACAAGCGATTTGACAGATTCACATACTCTGACTTTCAAATCGCTGTCACCATTAGGTCGAAGTGGAGCGAAGGCAAGCACCAGATTTAATGAGAATGTGTTGTAAATCATAACAGGTGTTGGTGTATCACACTATGAAACCAAAAAGAAAACCAAAAGAGAGAAGTGTTGAAGAGGGTAAACCACAAGGAAACCACCACAGTCAGTCACCTGCTGTCGTACTGCGGGAGCGGAGAGGAAAAACTGCAAGACGGAGGACAAAGCAACACAGGAGAGACAGGTCAACAAAGAGGAGCCACTGAGCACATGGGTCACAAGAAATATATGCAATTACAAGTCCTCCATTTTCACACTCTGGATAATGGGGAAGTGTAATTTTAACATTTGGACCTGAATGTAAGAGATGAAGGACAAGAGGACAATATGCAAAGGTCAACATCCTTTGAATCTGGGTAAAAGGACATCTCAAACACTATGAGATGTTCCCTGGGTAAAATATGGCAAGAAGGGGCACATAAGGGTCATAAGCAGGCAGACACCCATACACTCTAACATGAAATCATTACCCAGGGGCTATTAAGTTGAATGCATTTCCACAATTTTTTACATAATGGGTATATGTATAGTAATAGCACTTTCTGTATACTGATGTTTTGTGCTTGTAATATGTTAATAAGAGACACATTTGGTTTTAAGTTATTGTGAACAACAACTTAAATGTCTAAAAATTCCAAGCCTATGGTGTCTATTATTTTGCGCCAACCATTTTAGAAAGCTTGAAATAAGATAAAGAGCTCAGAGAGACATGCATCCTTCATTCATGAGTACTTCCAACACCATCTCTATAGTGAGAATAATAATGATAACAATGAAAACCACTCTGCTACAATATAATCGTTTATTTCCTGTGTCTCACTCTGTGTGTTACTCACCCAGAGTGGATCGGCGAAGACACAAGATTCACGTTATCGAGGGCATCTGCCGCCCAGCTGTATCTCCTCAATGAGTCGTTGTCGCAGTCCTTAGCCACAGACAAATGCTGTAGTGAAGAGGGACAAAAAGATATTAAATTGATAAAAAAGATTTTTATAGTTTTTCAATCGCAACATATGAGTGGGAGGGAAAAAACAAAAATGAATGTAGCAAATAGGGCTGCACGATTTTGGCAAAATATCACATTTTCCTGATCAACATTACAATTTTCAATATAAATGTGTATGTATCAACATACATGTCAAATATACATTTGAAAAAATCATTCTAACTGGTAGTGAAAACATGTTTCTAGTACAAATAAAATAATCCAATATTGCAGAGAACATAAATATTTACAGTCTGCAATGTGTAACTGTAAGGACGAAAATGTCTTTTTCAAGTTGAATGTGGTTAATTATGCAGCCCTAGTAGATACCGTATATTAAAAAAAAGGTATTTCCAGAAGATGTAAATTTAAGATGAGCCAACTTAAAATGTCTGGTATAAAGTTATAAAAAATAAACCATGAAATATATTGGAGTAGAACCAAAATAATGAGTTCCATGCACACATGACAGATGCACATGATGGATCTCAATGGAATACCTTGTTGCGCTGCTCTACAATGAAGGACTTTTCCTTACACATGGCCTGGAGCAGCATGAGAAGAGACAAGTCATTATCTATCAGAAACATGCTCCTGGTGTACAGTGCACTGGGCTTCCCTTCGGCCCGTTATGTCTCCCTAATTCCTTTAGTAGATTCACCTCAATTTAACCTGTTGTGTTGGCTGTGGATATCCAGAAACTAGTCCACTAATCCTTCCTATATACTAGCACTAATGAGTAATCTTGTGTGTCCTTTCAGAGTGAGGCATCCTATTGTCAACATCCTCTCAGGTGTAAGAGGATGGACGACGTTTGGCATGTGGCACCAGGACTGCCCGGCACACTTGGACACTCGCCCGGGTCTGGTACAAAGCAACTCTAGTCGGGTCATTTGGCTTCTTCTCTGTAGGTTCAGTGAGCACAAAAGGCCCATACAGTCTAAGTGGTGGACAATGTGGAGGTCGACCGTCCTGGCCTGTTTCAAAGCCCTTTTGTGTTTTGTATTTCCGTATTTGTCAATATTCCATTAATTCTTCCAAAGTAAAATGTAATAGAGTTAAAATATGCAACATGGGAAACGCGCTGAGGCTAATGTAGCTAACCTGCAGTTTTCAGCCCAAAAAACACATTCAAGTCTTACATTATATATATATGGTGTTATACAGGCTATAGCTGATTTGCCCAAATCTTTGAAACTTAATTTGTTGAGTTTATGGACAAAAGTGAGGGAACATGTATTTTTGGAAAGAGCCGGGTCGTCACTGTTGAGCTCAGTGAATACAAAAAATTGAGATTCTGAGAGTTTGTCATCTATAATGCATCCTTGTGCAAAAACACCTGATATTGCCCCTCTCCTCCTTCAATTTATCAGTGTGACAAGTTTTATGAGCCAACAAGTATAATTATCTCTTTACTTTAGGGCACAATAAAACTAAACAGCGGTTATCGCTTTTGCTACATTTAACAGCCCTTTTACAATATCATGCACGGCAAACATAGCAGAACAAAATGCAGTATGATACAAATAAACATTGCTACATAACCAGAACTATCGCATCAGTGCTGAAGGACTTTCATCTTTGTAAAGGGAGGAACTTTCAGTAAAAAATTCTGAGATGATTGGAAACAGCTGCCGACTTTTTAGAACTTGGGTTGGATATAAATAAGTAAGTGCTAAATCTAGTTACTGAATGAAATGCAATGTTCCGGAACATATTATTGGACTTTGTTTTATCCAGTTGTCTGTCGGTTTCTCAAATGTATGAATGAATGTATGACCTGCTGTGAAACAATTGCTCTTCAGGGATCTAGTCAAGTCAAGTTTGAAGCCTAAGTATAACATGTAATTCTGAATATAATTTTGGATTATCAGAAATCAGTTCAAGTGTGGGACATTTATCAAATTAAAGCTGGATGACTTTGTAATTGTGTGATCTGATTAGTTTTTGGCTTTGAAAACAGTTCACGGTTATATCACTAGTTTTCACAAGCATTTCATTTTAGCCTCTGTCATATGAAATCTTTAGATCAGCTCATCAGAGAGAAAAGTGAAAAAGAGAGGACCACCATCAACCCTCAGCCCAAAATGTACAACAGTGACTCAATAGGCTCATTCTAACAAGTAGGCCAAAGTTAACATGTTTTCTAATAAGGTGAAGACAGCTTGTTGTCTCATTTGTACTATTTAGCTTCAAATCAAAGTATCGAGAAAGGCCGGAGACACGTACCTCCCTGTTGGCCAGCATCTCCTCGATCATCATGCTGTCCCTGGTGTAGGAGCTGCGGTTCAGAGTGTGGGACCTATCAGAACTGAAGGAACGCAGGCTTGGTGCAATTACCAAGAGAACAATCACACAGACAGGGACGAGAGGTGAGGGGTGAAGGAGGGGGGAGAGGCGAGGGGGACACAGGGGTGAACAGAAAAAAAAACAAAAACACAAACATATTAAATGCATGCAGCTTCCAGGAACCTGGTACGGCACCAAGAGAGACCGCCTAAAGACTGTATTCAGATACGCTGCAAAGGGTTCAAACAGGTCAAATCTAAAATTGTTAAAGAAAATAAAAGGATTGCATGCTAGTCAGCCGAGCAGAAATGACCCAGCAGGAGGGCAGAGTGGAATGAGAAAAAATAATGACTGTTTATTGTTATGGACATTAAGCAGAATCTTTTTAAACAGCGATAGAGATTATGGAAGGGACTGGGAGGAAAGTCTCTATAATAAAGTGATATTTGGAGATGTATTGATAGCCAGACAAAGAATGCTGGTATCAAGGCAATGAACAAACAACAATAATATGAGAATTATTTGTAGTATTGTACTTGTAGTTTTAGTATTTTAATGTTTTAAGTTGAGTTTTTTTTTTAAGAGATTGGATGTGAAACAGGTATGAAACTTTATTTGAGAGTGGACAACTAAAATCATAAACATGAAGTAGAATAAAATTGCCGGGATTCATTTGTGGGAAGCCAGATTGCTGGATAAAAAAGTAGGTCCTGGCTTTAGTAGCTCAATATGACTACTTATTGTTGCCTAAAGGGCCTTGTACTGGCAACATATATGAATATTAGTATCAAGAAGTTTTGCGTTTTGAAATATATCTGGCAATCATCAATCACTTTCTCAGCCTTAAAATTCAGTTTGAAATGTCAGTATCACGATGACAGCAGTAGGTTGTTTGTGCCTTGGCATCCTTAAACAATGACGTTGAATATATGTTTTGGTCCAGCCTGGTCTAGACTGTAAGCGCTGCAGGTGCCGCAACGATGTGTGCACGACCGTGGGCTTTTATGGGTAAATAAAGAGCATTCCTGAGCAGTGACATGTGATCGCTGTTTGCCTGCAAAGTCTCAAAACCGCAATTACACCCGAGCTATTTGCACTTCACACGTTTGCCCATGTGAACAAATTAGCTCGCCCAGCAGGAAACAGAAATGCCTCGCTCCAAAACCAGAATTGCAGATGACATATGTCTTTGAAAATAAAACAAAAAATGGCTGGATGCAAAACTGATGCAAAATGTATCAGTTCAGGCCCCTGGAAGCTCGGTGAAAAAGGGCGACGTAATGCAAAGCGCCACCTGGTGACCACCAATGCACATAGACTCAAGCATAAAATTAAAATCATAAGTCATCGTCACACCATTAGAGATTTCTAGGACAGGCAAATCATAATTATGCAAGTGTGAATACAGAACCAATCAGAAAACAACTTTGGACACGGTGTAAAATCCAAGCCATATTTCAATTTTACAAGGTGTCTCAGCTTTTTCAGAATTGACTCATAAATTAAGACCAAAACACAGTATACATAGCACCACGACTATAGAGCTGTTAGTGGAATCACATTAGTCAAAAACAGTGGGGGAGGGATTCACTGGATCATCAGGGTTTGTGGGGGAAGAGTGAGGGATTGGTGGGGTCCCATGCCTCAAGCTTACCTGACTTTAGGACTAACAATTACACGGGACATAAGGAAAGAATAAGACAGTGTGAAAGGAAATAAGCGTGGAAAGAGACAGGCAGAGGAGTGGCTTTTGCTAGAAATATTAGCATTATTATTAATAGCACCAGCCAAGCAGCCCTATACAGTATACAACTATTAACTGTATTCATACATTTTAGCAGCAGATCACACGTATGTATTGGATTACTGTATCTTACCCTATTTATATTATATGACAGTTTCATGTTTCATTATGAGTTTAATATTGTACGTTTTTGTTTAATCAAACTGAAGTTGAAGAAGTAGTTTTTATCCTTTTTTTTTAATCAAATTTGAGTCTATTGTTTAGCTTGTGCAGCCTCCAGAATATCACTGGATCAGCCTTTATTTTGTGTTCATGTTTGTTGAGGATTAGCTGCGATTGGTTTGTCCTAGCAGCGGAAACGAAGAAGGGTGGGGCTAACAAAAGTCAATTGTGATTACGTTAAAGATTGTGAAATGTAAGACGGGTGGGATTTCTATATTATTTAGACACGAGAGGGCTCCAGCTTGGAGGTGGAGCTCAAAGCAGGTCATGGGAAAAACATCATAGACTTTTTCCAGGGCACAACTTTTTAGAAAATGTACTTGCTGGTTGAAAGTTACGTTCACCTTTTGTTATATTTTGTTTATAGTAAATTGTCTCCATTCTTGAGACCTGTAACCATGGCTATAGAAACGTTTTAGGTCATGTTACTATATTGTCAATTTAAACTTTCAGAAAGCCCCCAATCATTCACAATGCATGTCCATAAATGATGTCAGGTCAAACCACAAATACAGATTATTGGTTTAAGTTGGTGCATTTGTGTGGTTTAGCGCTCAAGGCCATTGCTATTGACGTGTGTCTAATTTCCTGCAGTTCCTGGTCCATGTGTGTCACTCCGCCCCTCCGCTGCAGCCCATGTGTCAATATTATCCCAGTTTGTTTCACAGGGCAAAAAAGTTCAGCTCCATAGATCCCATAGAAAGCAGCGTGAAATGTGTGCAGAGATATTGTAGAAACACATTGTCTAGATTGTCTAAAACTGTGACAATAAGGATTGATCAAGTCAGTGTTGTCTGCAGCTGCAACGAAATAATTTAGGCTCTTTCAACACACTGTTTATTGTGACCTTGTGATGGGTACTGGGTTTTTCAGATTATGTGGTTCAAAGCAAACCAAAACTGGATGATCAGTCGTATGACTACTTGGTCAATGCTGTGTGAATTGTATCTGTGTAGATAGCGGCACATTTTTTAAACGCAAACCAATACTGAGATTTTCTATGTGTGTGCTTTCAGTGGTCGTGGGAAAGTCTGGCCTTTTAGTTTTTGCACAGAGCCAGGACAAAAATATATTTCTGCACACTGATCTTGTTAATTGCTCAAACCATACAAATCTATTCATGGTTAAAAGGAAAACATACAATTTGCCCAGATAACTTTTTTTGTCAAGGCTATATACTAATCTTGTTTTTTTTATTTGACCAAAGAATCTCTTCAGAGCTGTAGGTATTTACCAAGTTCCTCTGCTTATCTCTGCGTATTGACATTTCATTGGATAATATTTACGTATTTGTGAACTATAGCGTCATTGGCTGTCTTACCTTTGTGACCGCGCCCCAACGCTGAAGCCCATGTACCCCTCCTGAGGCAGAGAGTCGTCCCCCAGCTCCCTCAAGTCCTGGGGCGCCAGATACTTGTCTGTGTCTCCCGTCATCGCATCGTCACCTACAGAGCAACAAACATGACAAACAGGTTACAGAGGTCAGTCCTGTTGCATGTATCAAAGGACAGGGATAATTGAGATGAGGATGAGAAAAGTAATCAATAGTATGAATCAAAACTTTCTGTGCTATCTGCCTTTTTCTAATATAATTTTCAAGGATCTCACATATGGCTAATGGGAATTAAATACAAAAAAGATGAACAAGGTCAAACCAGTCCATTAAAGCGATTTACATAAACATATTTTGATGTATCAATAGGGAAAAATATAAAATACATACAAGACTTGATGATTTGTCAAGTCTGAAGATGGTGCCCTTGCACACACCTCTACTACAGTCATTGCAAATGAACTAGCAGTAACTGTGAGCTAATTAACACCAATTTAGGTTATTTTGTCCATGCTGGCTTCCATAAATTTAGGGATATAGATGTTGGACAGATCAATGCCCGGGTCTGACCAGGGGCTCTTTCCAGTTAAGCCAACACACACAAAACAAAAAGTGTTTCTGTCACTAAATGCTTTTTGTTCTAGGGCAAACAGAGAAAAAACAAGTCACTCGCTAGCACACAACACATCATTTTAAACAGATAAAATAACAATATAGTGAAGTAACAATATAGGAAAACATGAGGCTGCAAGCATTCCTATAGTTTCAGGAAAAAGCCAACACACACACAGCAATAGCAACCAAGAAAACCGTTGAAAAATAATCTCACATGGTCTGAAATGAAGAGAGTTATAGCGGCATGTTAGTCCTTCTTGCCAACTGAAGTCAAAAGAGGTTAGGACAGGAGCGCCGTGGCAACAAGTGCATGCGGTGAAAGAAAGACAGGCATTCCAGTGGTCACAAAGCATTGGAGACCCCCACACCTCCCCAATTCTGCTCTGTGCGACACCCCAACCGCTACTATTACTAATACTATGGTGGTACCCCTCCCCCAAAACTTGCAAAACTGTGAATTATACTCACCTCCTTTGAAACACTTCATTTAGCCAAGCGGGACAATCCTCAAATTCCCCCGGCTGGTCTACCCCTTGCCTGGTCTTTCCCCTGTCTGCTCTTGCTCATGCGTGCACTCACCCGGGACGTCCCACCCCCGTCCACACACTGCCTATCACTGTCTCCCTCTCCTTTTTTTTTTCTCGCACACAAACAGATCAGCTTTCGTCCGCCTGTCCCACCCCTGCAATGGGATTATCCTCCCTGTGTCACTTCTGGATACCTACGAGGACAGAAATAGTAAAGTGGGTGTGTGACTGACAGCTTGTATACAAGGTGTGCTTCTGCCCCTAAAGCCACTGACACAAAGTCTCACAAATTTATTGTTTTCTGCTTTCAGATTAGATACACTTTGCCATTTCATTCAACTATGCATTGGGTTTTACAGCCTTAGCATCTCTTTGTTGAACTGATTCAACTATTAACAAGATCCTCTTCCAAGTATAGGAAAGAGCTTCATTTAGATAATACCTCAAATTATATAATATCCTCAGCCTCTTTTTGAAACAAATTTTCAGCAACAAAGGGAACCTTGTTTGAACTTTTTTGAATAATAACATGTCAAAGAAACACAAATAGAACAATTCTGAGTAACTGTCACAGTGGTTACATAATGACTCAAGAAAATAATGCAGAGATCTGTTATTATAACGGTGACTAAGACAAATATTTACATTGTGACTTTGGTGAAACTGTTCAGTCAAATTTGTGTAATTTGCATTTGCTTCGGGCCGAAGTCACGCTGATGACTGAGGTTATTGTTGATCTCAACTTGGAACAAGGTTTGTGACATGGTTAATGCAGGATATACAAATCCTTATTAGGGAATGACTTAAGCAATAAACTCACTTTGGTCTGAAGATGATAAGAAGAGGCCGACAATAACTAGATAATTTCTCAGGTACCGGTAAGTGTTCTGCTGTATTATAATTCTGTCACCAATGTGTTATGAATAAAAACCCACTTTAAAGGTTCCTTCAGTAGGGCAGGAAACATACTAAAAACTTTAAGTATGCATAGGGAAGTTCTCAGGCCAGCCTTGTCGTAGGTTCGTGTATAAATGGATTGACATTTATTCATTCAACATGTGATATCATTCAATGGGATAAAATCTATAAATCCATTTTCAATACAGATAAATACTAAAACAAGAAAAGGACCAAAATGCAACATCCATCATCAGGTATTGTTCAAGGACTGATAATTTTAAAAGTGCCAATACGCCAGTCCTATCTAATATTAATGTTTTCCAGGAGGATCTGCTCCAGTAAAGCTGTAGTACACCTGTTCAACATCAATAATATACATGTACACTATCCAGTAATAAGCCCAATGTGAGTAAGTCAATAATAAACTATGCTGTAGTTGACAAGTGTGTGACGGGGAGAGCCATTTGGCAAACAATCAGAACCCTTCACCCACCACTACAGCACCAATACGCACTTTGGGAACCTGTCCTGAAACTATATTTTAGCCTCTGAAACTGGGTCTACAACTCTGCACATTTTGCAGCTCGTTGCATTTTTGCATATGCACAAAATGACCCAATAATTCATAGTTTGTCTGTTTTGAGTGCCGCCCTGATTTAGGTGCAGGCTATTGGAGACATTAATCATTACTGTTGCGCAGCTGCTCGGTGCATTTGTAACTCATGTTTCACATACAAATTTAGATCACGATTTAGACAGGGTGCTTCAGCTGTGCAACCAAAACAACAGCACTGCAATAACAACACGAAAAAGTGCAAATTTGAGTTAATACATCACAACACAGCACTAAAACCACTGCAAACTTGTTTAATAGTTTGGGACTTACATGAATAAGTGATGTAGATATTTCCAACATCCATGTCTGTTTAAATGAATTACCAAAGTGTTAATATTGGTTTCCTTATGCTAACGCTATCACAAAACAATGTGGGAAAGCTAAGAGCCACTTTGAGCATGGGGTAGCCTCCTGGTTCAGTGGAGGTAACAAGAGTAGGTGAGGTCAAAGCCAAGACCATAAACTGTAATAGTAACCCTTGTTTTAAGCATTTTGAGCCTATTTATGGACTTAAACACTGACCCCGATTTATTTAACGATTAGGACCCTAGTATTAACAGCAACAGGTCATTTTAGTTGTATTTGGACCTTTCAACACCCATTATAAAGCTTACAATACGTGTTCATTATGAAAGTAGCCAACACTTGAAGCCAGAGAACTTCATTAGCTATTATCTGGAGGTCTGCAAATTGGTAATAGTAAAAAAATTCCATATTTTTACGGCAACATTCATGAAAATCTCTGCAACAATCATCATTACTATCTTGAGAAATACAGTTGGGACTATGGAGGACCCATAATATCCCCAACTATAGTATTGGGATATTAAAGCTTGGGTACCTAACTTTTTTGCTTAATAAATAATATATTCTGTTTGTCCCAATAGAAAGAGTCTTTTCAAAGTAGTATTTAGTGTCAGACCACAACATGCAGGTTTAAAAAAAAAAAAAAAAAAACTATTTGATGGCTGAGAGCTGATTGGCTGAGTAAAGGTGGTCCTCTCTTTTTGATGTCACTTCTGTCTGAAAAAACTGAATAAAAAATGCATGCATGTAAAAACTAGTGATAGAACCAAACTCTTTTAGGGCCAGTAACCGTTACATATTTTGCATTAGATAGTTCAATTGTTTGTGGTTTAAGAGTCGGATACCCCAGTTTAAATGTCATTACATTCTTACAAGCGCTACTTCCTCTAAACCAAATGAGCACTTTTCTTCCCCTGCTTTCGCACTATTGTACAAAGTGAGCTTCTGTGTGCTTTTTGACCCCTCTGGGCCTCCGTACAGACACATGTGCAGACAGTCGCTGACACGGCTCTGTTTGCTTTGCACCAGTGTGTGAACTCACAAAGGACGCATCGCTAACAAGGCGGCGAAGACAAAGGCTGGAGTGTATGTGAGCGCGCGGCCCTCTCCAGCCCATGAAACCAAAAGTGCCCCGCGTAGCCCAGAATGCCATGTGCAGACAGTCGCCATGGTAACCAGAAGGGAGGCAAAAAAACCGCATTGAACAAGATTTGAAAATACTGTAGGCTCAAAGTGTGGGGGGCGCACTGTTCAAATATTGTCTGTGACCTGAGAAACAGAACATGAGCGCTAATATATTAAAGTGCTAGGTCTGCCGAAGACATAGGCCTAGTACGACACACCTGGTAGTAGCTTTCTATTTCAATTGGAGGGTAGGTACCAACACTATGGGAAGATATTGTGGAATAAAATAAAGTCTCCTGGCCAACACCATGCATGTGCTTTTTGAATATTGTAACCACTTCTAAACTAATCTATGAGGAAATATTTAATATCAAACATATATATATATCTGAATAAAATTTTTGTTTCTTTGTGGATTGGCCCAAGAATGACAGAGACATAATTTCTAAATGTATGGCTCTTGACAGTTACTATAGATTTTTTAAACTATTATGATCTTTTGAATGTTGTTCAGAGTTTATTTATTTCAGCAATGTAGATGACCAAATGTTGATGTAGCAAAATCCCAAAAAAATCTCCATCAGTATTGGCTCAAAAAAAATAACCAAATTGGTCGTCTCCTGATAACCAATACATAGTCAAGTTTTTTTCTGGTTTCTTGTGGCTGGATTGGATTTAGAATAAAATAGCGAAAAGCCCCAGAGTACAACACCAAAATGCAATTGGACCATTCATAAAGTGGGAGAACGCACTACCACCTGCTACGCTACGGCACTAGGAAGCTACCAGTATATTTTGCCAAGTAGAAAATGTACTTGAAAGACTTTTTCTACTTGGCATATATACTGGTAGTCTTCCTAATCCGTAGC